CGTTGTTCTAATTTCGCAATTTCTTTGTCACGTTCTGTGGACGTTTTAATTAACATTATCTAATGATGTATGACACTGAATACATTTATTATATAAAAAGATATATCGAGAACATTCTGAACTGTTATATAAATAACGATAAATTATAATAAATCGTTTTTTTATACACATGTTTTCAAGACAGTTTTAATTGAATTCAGGAGTTAAAGGTTATGAATAATATGAATTTGTAATTCAAAGTTAACAATAATTCTTATCGTGATCAAATAAATGTTAATCGTACCACGTAACCAACGGGAAGTAGTTGAAATAAAACCTCGCTTACAATGGCGGGAGGCTATAAAGTAAGGAGGCGCCATTTTGAATTCATATTGACGCCAAAGCAATCGTATTGTCACTGGGAGGTCTGTATCCGGCGCCGGCCATTTGCATCGAGCGAGACTAGAATCGATTATTTGTTTAGAATTAATTTGTGCCCATTAGTTGTAACGCTGGCAATATTGTCTCGATTTCTAACCATAATAGGTACTAGGCAGTCGCTGTATAACTTTGTACCTTTCAATATAATCTAGACTCTGAAAGGATTACTTACCTCGAGAATTACTACTTAGTAGTGTTTTCTTGTTTTTAATTTAACCTGACAACTATATCGTCCATACTATTCACTTTAGCCACTATAAATTTTATATATTTATCATATTTACGTGTTGATTTAATTAATACAGATAATAATATTAAAATAATTTCCATGTTCTCATTAATGTAACAAACTTATAAGTGCTGAATCGAGGACAGGTGGTCACGCACGTGCCGGCTTCAATAAAATGCAATGAATGTCAAACGAACTCGCGAATATACATTTACACCCTTTAAATAATATAAAACTAATATCACCCTTATGTACTAGTAGTTAATGATCAATTTCGATGTATAACTTTATGGTTGATACGTCGTTTTGTATGTGTATTACAAGAGATACTTTCTGATTCCATGTCATTAGGATATTTATTGCGAGTGGTGGCCGTGCTATCGTTTTATTTTCTCTGTTCGGATCAAGTCCATAAAAGACAATTTCGCTATAACGCGGTACATCTCCGGTCTGAGGGTTGAAACCCACCCTCTATGACTGTCTGACTTTTCATTATCGAGATGTTTTATTAAGGAGGGGCAGCCCTGGGGGAAAATAGGGCTGCGGGTAAGTGGAAAAACGGGTAGAGAATTAGGAAATAAAAATCTTGGTAATGACGTACTTTAGTAGCTAAAGTTCTAAAATCTAGAACGTATTATATTAGAGAAAGTTGATAATATAAAAAAATTGATAACACTATCGGAATTTGATATCAAAAAACCATCAATCAATTTAATTAAATTATTCTACTTTTTAAGCACGTCATCACATTTTTGCCACAAAATATTTTATAATTATACAACCCTATAGCGGATCAGCCACCAAATATTGAGTTACCCGCCAGTAGGGAGGGGGTGGTATGTTTACACAGGGATTTAGGGCTGTCTATATTGCATTCCTCAACACAAAACTTATTTGCACATTTTTAAGACAAGGTACATCACTATTGCTGTTACGTATAATGGAAAAACTGAATGCTATATAAAGAGGAATTATGAAATGTAAAAACCATGCTAGTTTTGATTTAAGGCTTACTTTAGTAGCTCAACTTATAATAGTCGCTTCAACAACGAGGAATATATCGAGCTTTATATATTTGTTATGTCTACGTTGTCTATCAAAACAGGACATTCGGTAAATCAAACAATCAGTGTTATTACAGTCAACGTAATTCAACGAAACTGTTTAACAAAACATTATATACAACGCCACGCGCCAAAACCAAACATAATAATGCTATTATTGACAATAATAAACGTGTCTGTTTGTATATAAAATGCATATACCATTAACATGCACAAATCAAAGGAAACACATAATAACCCTACTAATATTATAAATGCGAAAGTAACTCTATCTGTCTGTTACGCTTTCACGCCTAAACCACAAAACTGATTTTAATGAAATTTGATACAGAGATAGAGTTGACCTTGAGAAAGAACATAGGATAGTTTTTATTCCAGACTTTTGAAAGGTTCTCTTGGAAACGCGATATAACCGAACTCCATTCAGGCGAAGCTGCGGACGAAAAGCTAGTAATTATATAAGACGAAAGCATACATATCTCGACCTTGGATTCTACTGTAGGGAGAAAATTAAAAAAAACATAATTAGTGACTAATGTAGGTATAGTATCAATTAGTTAGCGTCCTCTGTGGTGGTCTACGGACTTATACCCTGTGTTTACGATCTCTAGGCTCGAGCCCATGAGAACTAATTGGTGTAATCAAGATCGCAGCTGCGATACAAGCCGCCTAATTAGCTGTGCCCGCCGCTGATTTAAACGCAACGCTGATAAAAATATATACCGCGAAAAAAAACAATACGATAAAAATTAAAGGCACATACATTTCCGATACGTATTCGTTAATTTAAAAACAATTTAAAGATACATATTGATTGTAATCCGATGAAAATTATTACTGGTGTATTATTTCTGTTATCTTTTAAGGAACGCGTCTTATTCTTTAGACATTAAAATCAATACCATCTAAAAATCACAAAAGAAACTCCAAGAAGGTTTTATAAGTATGAACTATGAAGTGTGAGTTGAAAACTCTTAACCTTTGCTTTTGACCTTCATATTATGTCTTCCTATATGGTTCTTAGACCTATTAAATCCTTTTTGTTTTTGTTTAAATATCGTTTTGTTTAAGTGTCAGTCTCTTTCCATCTGATCAAAAATCGGCTAACAAGTAATTGAAACGTCAATAAAATATTAATCCAATAAAATTTACTTCTAAATATATAATATACATAAGCCGAATATAAAACTATAAATAATCATGATTATATGAATATCTACTATAGTAGAATAATAATATGTTACTACAAGGTCTATATGTATGTGTTATATAATTATTCAATATAAATTCCGTCAAAAATGTACATGTTCGTCAGTAATTGTGAGATTTTTCCCGTTGTGGAGGCGCACACGTGCAGGTTGCAGGGTCGTCGGCTTTGCATCGTGATTCATGCTCAGGTACACAATAAGACTGCCAGCTAGCTTTATGTTGTCTCTCCTTTACATTTAAATATTAAATGTTAACCTTACAGCCACGGCTGCTGTTTAAAATCTAAACTACATAATATTTTCAGTATAAAACATCTATAGTAAACTGGAATAAATATAATAACGTAAATAGGTATGTATAAAAATTCTGTTATATTGTTTATTCGGTTGAATATGTAAATTGTATAACATTCGATACAATGTATGAAAACAAAAGTCACAGATATAGATACACGCGAACATCTAGTACAAGGTTAATATATTCAAAAGACGAAACTCAAAAAATACATTAAATTCTACTGATGATCCAATATAGAACGCGGCGTCTCAAAGTGAAATGGGTCCGAATACTCAGGTGCGCGCGCAGCGATGATACATTGTGATGCCGCGCAGCAAAATAGAATTAAAAGAAGAATGGACCGGCCCTTACAATGCGCGTACAAACACGGAGCTAAATCCCACCGAAATGCTTCAGGTGTTCGTGGTTAATGCCAAGGTTACAAGACAGATAATAAAAATTAAGTTACTTTTAAAAAAGTTTTATATAATACACTTATTAATATGTAATTTTTTTTATCAGTGTTTTTCGCTTCACAACTTATTTTAAAAATTTATAACGGTATTTGTTTATTTGTTGTCATCATTTACAACATATTTTTTAACTGGAAATTTTATACTTACATTATATATTCTAAGGGATAAAAAAAATAATTATAGGTAATTGCATAAATTATAATTTTACAATATTATCCAAAATAAAAAATGACAGTTTATTGACGTCACACTCGTTAGTGATGGTAAGTGTAAGTTTAAAATAGTGCCATAGAAAGTAGTTACAGTTTCTAATTTAGTGTTTTATCTATGGTTACAGCCATTCATGACAACCATATTGTAGACTGTAGTTGCAGATCAATATTTAAGGAGAAGGATATAAAGGGCTTCCAGCTGTTTAACTTATGGAACGAAGTTAAGCTACAGAACTATCTTCTGCTTTCTACTTGATGTGATCATAAGTGAGAGAGTACATTGTACTATCTTGAGCTCGTTAGCCCACATAGGAACTGCTGTAAATTGAATATACAGGTAACATCTAGCATCTTAAAATATTGTCTTTTTGATTTACCAACTTCGGTTTTCATAAAGGATTTTAATAATCAGAAACAAAGCTGACATAATATTTTCGACTACTATAGACATCTGTTTTATACATAGAAAAAAAGCTTATACTTGTTATTATAGATGGCGGGATTCGTTATTGAATGGAATCAGTTTTGCGCCATCTGTTGTCCAATAGCTAAATGTTTCAACTTAGTACTACTACAGACTAAAGAGTATGTAGCATAGTATAATTTCTTTCAAACCCCGCTTATGGCAACACTACACCTATATAATGGGTCGCCATGTCGTATTTATCTCTATTTTGATTGGTCACTGCAGTTGGCGCTCTTCATCTATTCGTGAATGAAAGATGTGGGCATTAGCATCCAAGCCAGCGGCGTCGGCCATTTTGCCGTCACATAGGGGTGTGAGCAGAATTACAGAAACACATCCAGCCGCAGTGCGGCAATCGGTTCCTTATTCATTGCAAGTAAGTGGTAAAGGGTTTTATTTTATAGTAAACGAGATCTTTTACAATGTATTTTGCACCACGTATCTCCACCATAGACTCTTAAGTATTTATTGTGGTCGTTTTAAGGTGCAAAATAATCAAGCTCACCCATTCGAAAGCACAAAATAATTCTGTTTTCGTCAGTTACGAGCTTAACATTTCAATTATTAAAAATATTTCCAGATCCACGTGCTTTTACTTGAAATTTACCTTCATAACTTTCGTTTCAGAGTGGATAAGACCGATTCACAATGTATCTTTACAATTTAACCCTGCAAGGCTCAACGGCCATTTCGCATGCCGTGCACGGTAATTTTTCTGGCACGAAGCAGCAAGAGATAATTATATCTCGAGGCAAAACTTTAGAATTGCTAAGACCTGATCCGAATACTGGAAAAGTGCATACATTAATGAAAGTGGAGATTTTCGGCGTCATTCGTTCTATGATGTCATTTCGTCTCACCGGCGGCACTAAAGGTAATTAACCTTTTTAACCACGTGGTCTCTGACCTTACACGGGTTCAACGCTTTGTACATGTAACTTTATTTGCATTATCTTGCTCCATAGCCTTTTAGAAGGTATGTGGTATAACTAGATGCATAGAGTGAGACCAACGCGTCGCACTTGGTAATTTTAGTAATTGCTGGGATGTATCTCGTCTTGGAACAATAAAATATTCTTACGTAAAGACCTTCCTAGCGTATTATTTATGAATTTTATTCTCAAAATACTTTTTATCTACAGATTACATAGTTGTTGGATCTGACTCTGGCCGCATTGTGATACTTGAATATATTCCTGCCAAGAACATTCTAGAAAAAGTACATCAAGAGACGTTTGGAAAATCGGGATGTAGAAGAATAGTACCAGGACAGTACCTAGCTATTGATCCGAAAGGCAGAGCTGTTATGATAGGTATGTCGAATTTAAATAATAATTAATTTTATACCTATATGTAGTTAACTTTTCACTCTATTCTTCATTGTAATACAAATAACTAATTTATACTTATTTTAGGTGCAATTGAAAAGCAAAAATTGGTTTACATTTTGAACAGAGATGCTGAAGCCAGATTGACGATCTCATCACCGCTCGAAGCTCACAAATCCAACACATTGGTTTACCACATGGTCGGAGTTGATGTTGGCTTTGAAAACCCTATGTTTGCTTGCTTGGAAATAGACTATGAAGAGGCAGACTCGGATCCCACAGGTATATATATAGTTTTATTTACTTAATCAAATATTTTGATATTAGTGTGATTTTTTTTGAGGTCCGTGTTTACGATTGGCAGTGACTAAATATTCCTCCTCATATGATATTATCTTCATTACACTACTATATTGTTCTTTTTCATGTACATCTGACAGTATTTTTTTGTTCTAGGGGAAGCAGCTCAAAAGACACAGCAGACATTAACATTCTATGAACTAGATCTGGGTTTAAATCATGTAGTAAGAAAATATTCCGAACCTCTTGAAGAACATGCCAATTTTCTTATAACTGTACCAGGTGGCAATGATGGCCCGTCGGGTGTACTTATCTGTTCAGAAAATTACCTGACGTATAAAAATTTGGGAGATCAGCATGATATTAGATGTCCTATACCCAGAAGGAGAAATGATTTGGACGACCCAGAAAGGGGTATGATCTTTGTATGCTCAGCCACTCACAAGACGAAATCAATGTTCTTTTTCCTAGCACAAACTGAACAGGGTGATATATTCAAAATTACTATAGAAACTGACGAAGACATGGTAACGGAAATTAAACTGAAATACTTTGATACTGTACCAGTGGCAACCGCTATGTGTGTTCTGAAGACTGGCTTTCTATTTGTTGCTTGTGAATTTGGCAACCAGTAAGTTATTTTCTATATTTTCCCAATATATGTCTATGCATTGGAACATGTGTTATTAGACTGTTCTAAAGACACTGACAAGAAATGCTAGAGCATATATCTCTGAACCAAGGTCCTCCCTTTAAATATGAGGAGAGTGCACACTGATATGAGACAAACATTATTTTCAACCTTAAATATACAATCTTAAAGTTTCTGAATTATATATAACTAGCTGCGCCCCGCGGTGTTATCTGCGGATTTCCGGGATGTAAAGTAGTCTATGTGTTATTCCTGGACATCAGCTTCCTGTATACAAAATTTTATCATAATCGGTTCAGCTGTTTGAGCGTGAAGAAGTAACAAACATACATACACTCACAAACTTTCGTAATTATAATATTAGTAGGATATACATAACTCCATTGCATAGAAATTTTAGCCTTTTTATATATGGCTCTGTTACTTTGCAGCTACTTATACCAAATTGCACACTTGGGCGATGAAGATGATGAACCAGAATTCAGTTCTGCCATGCCATTGGAGGAAGGAGATACATTTTTCTTTGCTCCCCGACCTCTCAGGAATTTGGTGCTGGTTGATGAATTGGATTCACTCTCACCCATACTCGGTAACTAAATTATGGATTTTTAATATCAAGTATAAATGCAATGTTGATTTTTTCTAACATTTATATTATTTTAGCTTGCCATGTTGCTGACTTGACTGGTGAAGATACACCTCAAGTATATTTAGCATGTGGCAGAGGACCCAGATCTTCATTGAGAGCTTTAAGACATGGTTTGGAGGTTGCAGAGATGGCTGTATCAGAACTGCCTGGTTCACCAAATGCAGTATGGACTGTGCGAAGACACAAAGATGGTAAGTTGAATAACTATATCAGTAGAAATGTTGATAGTACAAGCTAATATATCCAAAAAATAGTGCTGGCTATCATACATAATAAAGCTATGGAGCTTGATGATTAAAATCATTGGTCCGTGTTACTGATATACCGTGACGCTATCCAAACAACCACATATGAAAGCTCCTCATTATCAACAAGTTACTAATAAAACCCTGGCTGTTTGTCATACATAAACACCAGTGGTTTTTCTTTTCAGGATCTACATGGCGTTGATGTCAAATGGAACTCTTCAATAGAACAGGTAGGCTCAAGAAGACAATGCCATGCTGCCCGCTGACAACAAACTATTAGATTTTTTTCATTAACAAAACAACCCATAAGATTAGATTTTACCATATTTTTTTCTTTTGGTTACAGATGACTATGATTCATACATCATAGTGAGTTTCGTAAACGCTACGTTGGTGCTTTCTATTGGTGAAACTGTAGAAGAAGTGACTGACTCGGGTTTTCTGGGAACTACACCTACATTGAGCTGCCATGCACTTGGCAGTGATGCGTTGGTTCAAGTATATCCTGATGGTATAAGGCATATCCGGGCTGACAAACGAGTTAATGAATGGAAGGCACCCGGCAAGAAGTCTATTGTGAAGTGTGCCGTCAATCAAAGACAAGTTGTCATAGCACTGACGGGGGGTGAATTGGTGTACTTTGAAATGGACCCGGTGAGTGTTTTGTATTTTAATCTCGACGTGTTGTAAGATTTGGCTTTCGGGCTGAATTTTATGAGAGTGGTGTGTAGCTGTAGTATGCAGTGACAGGCCCACAACGTCGTAGATCATGTAAACTTCCCACTAGTGGTTGAGGTTTGCACTTGGCATATTCCATAGCCAAACTGGAGTTACTTAAACTTTGAAGGTGGCAAAACCATGCCATGGACAAAATAAAATCTATATAGTTTTATTTGTGGGATTTTTTCTAAATTTGTATTTTATTTGTAGACTGGCCAGTTGAATGAGTACACTGAACGAAAGAAGTTGTCATCTGATGTATCATGTATGGCGCTGGGCTCGGTAGCTACTGGAGAACAGAGAGCTTGGTTCCTAGCTGTTGGCTTAGTTGATAATACTGTCAGAATTATATCACTGGATCCTGCTGTGAGTTTAGGATTTCTTTTACTTTTTAGTTACATTACAGCTTATTTTACTTATATGATGACAAAAGGACACCCCTGACATCTATGATTACAAACACCTAATATGCGTTATTCTCAAATATCTGAAAATATTTAGCAATTCCGGCACACTTCTTCTAGAAAACAACATACTAAGTTCATTTATTTTTCAGGATTGCCTAGCACCTCGTTCAATGCAAGCCTTGCCCGCCAGCCCTGAGTCTTTATGTATTGTTGATCAACCCTTTGAATCTGGAGCCAAATCTGCTTTACATCTTAACATTGGCTTAAGTAATGGAGTATTACTACGTACAACTCTGGATTCTGTTAGTGGTGATTTAGCTGATACAAGAACTAGGTAATTTTTGACAATTTAAATTTAGTTACACTAATTGTTAGCGCAAATTTGTAATGATGTAAAAATTACGCTCCGTGTTTCATCTGAAATACATTGACGACCCAATTAACCAGATCTGAACAAATATAACTTACATGATAAAATTTTTAAGCTGTAGAATTGTTTTTACATTAATTATTTCTTTTAAGATACTTGGGATCTCGTCCTGTGAAACTTTTCAAAGTAAGAGTACAATCAGCGGAGGCAGTATTGGCTGTGTCTTCAAGAACATGGCTCGGCTATCAATATCAGAATAGATTCCATCTAACACCATTGTCATATGAATGTCTAGAGTATGCTGCAGGATTTAGTTCTGGTGAGTAAAAACATATATAATACTATATTATCGACGTATTTTCAAAGCGCGGCTTTCGGGCTGTGCTTTGTTAATAGTGGTGTGTAGCTGTAATATGCAGTGACAGGCCCACAACGTCGTAGATCATGCTGAGCTCCCACTTGTGGTTGAGGTTGGCACTCGGCATATTCCATAGCCAAACTGGAGTCACTCAGACTGTGAAGGTGGCAAAACCATGCCGTGGACACTCTAAATTGAATTCTTTCATTATATTTTTACCATTTGAAAAGGTCTTCATATTAATTATAATTTTCTTAATTTCAGAACAATGTACTGAGGGTATAGTGGCCATCTCATCAAATACACTAAGGATTTTAGCCCTAGAAAAATTGGGTGCTGTATTCAATCAAACATTCCAACAATTAGATTATACACCAAGAAAGTTTGTTATAAATAGTGACAACAACCACATCATAGTTTTGGAGACTGACCACAATGCTTACACTGAAGAAATGAAGAAGCAAAGAAGGTGAATATAACATATCATTTACATAAATACAATAAGATTATTGTCTATTAATAATACATTTCCTAATGATGACAAAAAATCACACAAAATATTACTGAAATTAACTGTTGAATAACCTGCAGTACTGATCCTATTTTCTAAAAATAGTATTTAGTCTTACATTAAAAAAACAATGTTGACCTTTATATAATTACTTTTAGAGTACAAATGGCACAAGAAATGCGAGAGGCAGCAGCTGGGGGAACTCCCGAGGAACAACAACTCGCAAATGAAATGGCCGACGCGTTTCTATCTGATGTGTTGCCAGAAAATATATTTTCTTCCCCAAAAGCTGGTGCCGGTAAATATTATTTTACTTATAACACATGGCCACATTCTCTGGGCAAGAGCGGAATATGTCTTGCAACTGTCTGTCTCTAATCGGGTGTGGCCAGATGAACTCCGTGCGTTAATCCCAGACTACTTCTGTGAGTTGTTTGATTCAAGCACTGGAAACATTATTATTAATATTTCTTCTATCTATTATTACATTTTTACGATCTGTTAGGAAGAATGGAAATATTTTTTGTATTGTATCCATGAGTTATGAAAAAAAATGTGTGGCATTGCTTTCCTTATTATTTAAATCGTTAGAATCATATATTCACATCATTAGGAAGCATGACCAGTGTTATTTTAAATAAAACTCATACAAACTTGAAATTTAATGTTAATTAATTTCACAATCTTTGAGGAGGAACTGATAAATCATTTTTGGCATCCATAACTTATTTGAAAAAATGTCTGACATATCTTCCCTTAATATTTAATTCCTTACAATTATGTATTGACATTATTAACAAGCATGACCAGGATAATTTCAAATAAAACTCATACAATTGAAATTTAATTGTAATTAATTTCCTTCAGGCATGTGGGCATCTCAGATCCGTATATTAGACATGAGCGGCGGCGTGGGCGGGTGTAGTACAGTGTGTAAAGTACCGCTGGAACAGAACGAGGCGGCCGTGTCGCTGTGTGTAGTACGGTGGGCCGCGCTCGCTGACAACACGCCGCATCTAGTAGTAGGGGTCGCGAAGGACGCCTTACTATCACCACGGAGCTGCTCTGAAGGCAGTCTACATGTATATAAGGTACTACCATACATTTCAAGTTCATAATATGTATTAAAAGTATAATATTTGATGTATGTATATTTCACTTACTAACTTATTCTTTTCTAGATTTATAACACTGGAAAATTGGAATTGGTACACAAAACTCCAATAGATGAATACCCTGGCGCACTAGCAGCGTTTAACGGCAAGCTACTCGCGGGAGTAGGGCGGATGTTGAGGTTGTACGACATAGGTAGAAGGAAATTATTACGGAAATGCGAAAACAGACACATACCAAACCTCATAGCGGATATCAAAACTATAAGACAGAGAATATTTGTATCGGACGTTCAAGAATCTGTGTTCTGTGTTAAATACAAGAAGAGGGAAAACCAGTTGATTATTTTCGCCGACGATACAAATCCTAGATGGATCACGAACACGTGTATTCTAGACTATGATACAGTCGCTATGGCCGACAAGTTTGGAAACGTTGCTGTGTTAAGACTACCTCAGTCTGTTAGTGATGATGTAGATGAAGATCCTACTGGGAACAAAGCTCTCTGGGACAGAGGTTCGTATTACAAAATTATATCAACCTATTTTTTGTGATATTTAAATGATGAAACGAATTAAAACACACACATGCTAGACTTATGAAAACATTTGATTATTGTATTCCAACTCTGAAAATAAAAAACTTAACTAGCGATTCTGATATATTTTGTTGATATTAACCAGAGTTTTATTATAGGTCTTTTAAATGGAGCGTCTCAAAAGGGTGATATCACTGTTAATTTCCACGTTGGAGAGACTGTGACATCTTTACAAAGAGCTACATTAATCCCTGGTGGTTCGGAAGCGCTTCTATACGCTACAGTGAGTGGAGCATTGGGAGTGTTACTACCATTCACCTCTAGAGAAGACCATGACTTTTTCCAACACCTTGAAATGCACATGAGGAGTGAGAACTCACCTCTGTGTGGGCGAGACCACTTATCATTCAGAAGCTACTATTATCCAGTGAAGGTGAGAACTAGTTTTCTATACCTGATGGACTGACAGACTGACTGTTCAGTCCAAAGTTCAGTCAACAGCTGTCTATGTAAGGCAGGTGTGTTACAACTTTGGTAGAGCAAGTAGCGGCCCCCCGCGATTTAGTCAGCGTCGGTTTGACGCTGGCTTAGTCGCGGTCCGCGGACGTTTCCGAGAGTCGGCCGCGGTTATACCGTCGCCGTAGTCTAGGAAACGGACATATATTAAGAATTTTAACTTAGAAAAAAAACCTTAATGTTAACAATATAATGCTCAATTTTGTTTTTTATTTAAACAGAATGTGATAGACGGCGACCTCTGTGAACAGTTCAACTCGCTAGAGCCGGCGAAACAGAAGGCGATCGCCGGAGACTTGGAACGTACTCCGGCTGAAGTGTCGAAGAAACTTGAAGATATAAGAACTAGATACGCCTTTTAAGTGTTGTGTGCTAAGTTCATTAATAAACATTAAAATAAGAAACCCCTTTTTATTATCACAAACAATATTCCCTATAGATACCTATCTTATTTTAATATACTAGGTATATAAAATGTTTTTGGTTGTCTCCAAATAACAAGTTGTAAGAATGTTTCCAAACCTAAAGCGAGATAAAACATGTTCGTTACTCCAAAATTAATAATTTTAAGCTCAAATCAGCAAAAAGATATCGGTTCTACATACGTGTGAAAATTCAATCGGAATTTCACTTAACATCGTTGTTTAATCTTGAGTCACATTTAATTTAGAGGATCTGGAAAAACTAAAATTAAGACGAAAATGAATTAATTCTTATGATAAATAGATAATTCTTGAATAATCAACTAAAAGATAGTGTTACTAGTAGGTATGTAGCTCCATCAATTAATTATTATAATCCTTAGACAGGACTTAATTAATTATATTATTACAATTGTTATTTTGTAATAGCGACATTTAACAATAAGTATCATCTTGAATTTGAAAACTAAATTCTGGCATCAGCCATTTGGTAAGAGATTACGGAAAGTAACTCCAAAAGACAAATCTGAAACTATATCTCGAACAAAAAGTTATTTTAAATAAATAATAATAATTAGGAAGAAGCTAACCAGGGACTTACTACCTCATCACTAGGGCCCGGATAAATATGTATTAAAAAATCTAAAATATGGACGAAAAAATCAAAAATATGGAGTATAAAATTAAATACTTTCATAATTAAACATTGCTTTACTATAAGAAAAGGGTCACTCGTGACGTACATCGTTGTTACATTTAAAAACGATGAAAAAAGTAGCGAAATATTTATTTCAACAAAAAATAACAGTTTTATTCAACTTCCATTACACTAGCCTTATCAAATTGGTTTCAATACACAATGATGTGCTTCTTTAAATTATCAAAATGAAAACTGACCATTTGGTCGACATATAGCATTACATCTGCTGATTGGTCTCATCTCAAGTCACATAACGTGATGGATGCATACTTAATTCAGTAATTGTGTAAGTTATGCCTACAGCCCTCGAAACGTTCGCACAGAATTTTATAAATTTTTTTAGTGTTTTAAATCCTTTATTTTTATCCAAAACATTAGTGGCGGGAACGTAAATTTTATGTATTTTTGTGAAAATATGGATGATTGTGACATTTTCTTGTAAAATATGGACTTAAGTTTGAAATATGGTAAAATATGGAAAATAAAAGTTAGTTTTTCACCGTCTAAATATGACAATCCATGTAAAAAACACATTCTAGACCGAAAATCGCGTAAATTAAAAATATGTATTTACATATTAATCCGGGCCCTACTCATCACTGATTATAAAAATTAAATTAATGTACCTGTGGATATTTCCGGGTTAATATTGTAGAAACGTGATACTAAACTTCAGTTGCATATTTAAAATATAAATAGTTATGATATATATAATTAATGAAACCAATAAATATTAGAATTAATTATAATTTATTCTAATACTGAACCTATGGTACTTTTGTGATTGCTACGTTTGGGTATTAACTTTTATTTGAAATCTATAATAATTACTGGTTTTAGCCATTTTGTAGAGCACTACTAGAAAAAACATATCAGAAGACAGCCTAATTCGTTTGTCATCTTATAATTCTTTCATATAATAAACCAAGTGTGATTTGAATATGAGACATTAGTGAATTGTACACACTTCATTAATTATTTATTGAAACAATATGTACAAGTACTAACAAATTCGTGTAAACAAAAGTACTTAAATATACAACTGAAAGAGTGTCATTATACTATGTTAATCCATATTTCACTCTTATCGGTTACATTAGAAAAACATAAAACACTTGTAAATAATCGGCTTGGATTGACTGCAAAAATTAAAATAATAAAGGAATAGCAATCATTCCAAACCATAATCTGTGTCATAAGTGTTGGCCTAAATGTAAATTAGAAGAGTAACATTTCCTTTCATATACGTAAAACAATCGTTACTATGACGATAATATCGACCGTGGGCCTTTCCGAGGCTTTCGCCTGAAGTTTTCACATTGCGTGCTAACCTCTGAAACAGTAAATGTTGAAAACGTCTAGACGCCTTTCGTCGGGGGCGGGCGGTTTGTTTTGGGTCACACTTGTGACTTGTGTGTTATTTTACATAGACCAGTGAGACCGATGTAGCTCACCAACGATGAATGCGAGTGAATCGAACCGCGACGCGCAGCCACCTGTGCGCGGGCGTCTGCTCTTAGCCTTTTAAAAAGCACTCCGGAGCACTCATTAGCCGGTGCATTGTAAATGCGGTTGGTAGGAATACAGAGTGCAATACGAAATATTAGAAAGTGGAATGTATATTACTGTGCAATGCTATCTGTCGGCAAATTCGTATCACTAGTTCAGCAGAAGAAACAGCAGTGGGCTCAGGAGAGAGGTAAGTATCTCGCTTCTGAACGGTCCGCGGTCGCTCGTTGCGTGGTTGACCATATTATATTTAATTGCGTGGTCGGTCTAAGCACGCGCGCTTGCTATACCGCAGCATTTTTGCAACGAATTGCGAAATAATTCATTTATATAAAGTGTTTCTAATAAAAAGTTTATGTTAAAAAAATAACGTGTAAGGATTGTTTATGTGAAGTTCGGTACGTACTTATAAAATATATTTACAAATGTTTCATATATTTACTAAAATAAACAACCTCTAAAACCATAACATTAAAATATGAGCTTTATATTTTATTTATATATATCTTAATTTATATATTCAAGAGTTATCTTTATTTTTTTTATTATTTAATTGTTTCGTAGACTATATTTAAATTTTAGTTTTATTTCACAAGTATTTAATATACCTACTTAAGTTATTCAATTAGACATCAATATTATTAAAAAATATTTCTTAATAAATATTTTTTATTGAACACGAAATAGATTCGAAAATATTAACTATCGTTTAGCAACGAGCAATTAAATTTTGTTTCGCATTTTAGAAATCTATACTATTTTGATCTCTATAACAATTTTCTGGTAAAAGATTCGAGTAATTGTGTGATCACGCATCCACAACATTAAATGCTTCGTAATTAGAAAGTGTATATAAATATATATTATAATTATATACAAACAGTTTCACCGAACAAAATAAAAGCCAGGAGTAACAAGTTCTCCAATTATAAAGGTAATAATACTATTGAAGAGACAAAAACGCTATTGTGTCATTTCCTGTCTTGTTAAAATACAAATGGTCAGCACTTGTTTCCGGAATGGCAGTTATACCTATACAATAAAAACCATTCACTGAAGCAATCCACAATTTAAAGTTACGAAAGAGGATTTTTTTTTGCTTTTCATTTTAAGAGAACGATTTATCCAATTAACCAATATTTCAGGTAGCATTATGCACTACGTTACCTTATCGGAAAACAATAGCTTACATAAACTACTTAACAATTAATATCAATAAATTATGACATATGGTTAAAATAACAAACAATTATATGGAAGCTAGTTACGAGTCTGTTATATTAAGTATTACACAAAAGACATTTATCATTTATTCACAGCGAAAAACTCATCTACACTTAGATATAATTTAATACCATTTAGTCAAGCCTCTACGAGCAGTCTAAATAAAAAAGTAAAACAGTCTTCCAACTAATATATTTTAGTATATTTTAAAGCAGGTAAAATAATAGAAAATCGATTTCAATATAACGGCAATTAATTTTTTATCTGTAATACTTTTGTGTATATTTTTTATTACTTACACTGTGACATGTCAAAAACAAAACCTCGCTTTATATATAACCTATGTAAGTTCAAGGTTCACATCAAAGGTGTTTTGAATATCGATGACCTTAATGCCAATGAACTAGGAGCATTAATGAAATAGTAATGGATTTGCCGCTAGAACATAACGGACGGCTGATACTTGTTCCCGCTAACATACATATATTGCTAAATATATTGTATTTATATTAAGATGATGACTTCCGTATCTAAAAACGTAAATTTATTATAATCAATACATTTTTCAAAATATAATATTACGTCAGGTGTTCTGACATAATTGTATAATGTGTATCAATACTAAATGGTTATACTAATTAATATTAATGGAAAGCCTTCCATGTTTAGAGCATACTCTATTATCTATGGATCTTTTTCTAAGAACTGGTTTGTTGAAAACACTTAAACTGTTTGTGTCACTTTTAAGTAATATTATATAACATAAACATATAAGCGTTATATATAAGCGTCTGTGAAATGACATAATATATTTATAATTTTATAAATAATTATTATGTAAAATATATAAATAAAATATTATTTACATAATTAATTTATTTTAAAGAATCCTATATTATTTATCCGTCATGTGAAAAAGTTTTGATAAAATCCTGGCAGTATAATCACAATCACAGATCAATTTTATATCATAAACCAAACACATTATTTTATCCATAAATTGACAGCGATACAAATAATATTTTCTTCGATAAATAGACTGAATAAATCCATAAAACTCTATGTAGGTGTTGAAAATGGAGATAAAATCTTCTGTAAATCGTACCAAGCCAATTAAAAAGCGAATTACGCAATAATGTTAAATGATAGTTATTATCTAGATTTGATAGATATGGGAATGGCTCAGTTATTTTACTTCATCATTATATATTCCCAATCGCCTTTTTACCTATTTTATAGGTTTTTATATACAGTATTAAGTATTCTTTTTAGTAAAATTTTAGTAACAGATATAATAAAATTAACATTTATCAACATCAAGAATAAACAAAGCGACCGTTAAGATTATATAAAAGTTTACGTATAATTAATATAATGAATTAAAAACATCACACTCGTGAATTTATTGCGCACGAAAGCGTATCGGCTAACAAAATATTCAACTCGGCGTTGAGATAATCTTTTTGGTTCTTATACGCCTGCTAATTAGAGCAAATGCTCTAGTAAAGAGTATATCATTATTAATATTTCTTCTCTGGTATTTTATTGTTAAATAAAATTATTTTATATTAATGAAAAAATCAATGAAAACCTTATATATATGTATCAAACGTCAATATTAAAAGGAATGCAATAACATATACCTATTGAATTTTTTAAACACGCAAAATTAAGAGTTGAACGAACTAGAATTTCTATGAACTTTTTCAATCAAATTAGTGTCAAACACGTAAACGAATTTATCGATATTGAATTGTTATAGATAGGGATCAGTAAACTCCTCACTAAGTCTACATATTCATATTATTTCTTTTCCTTGCTCCACTTACGATCTATCGACAAAACTTAAAGTAGGTAACGTTGTTAAAGGGGATTTCTTAGAGGCATTCTTTGCCGTTTAAAGAAATGGCTCATTCTAAAATGACTTGCGACACGAAATACAGCTAACGTTGCATAGACTTTTAGTGTATTTTTTTAATAGTTGTACATATTTTTTAACAGAAGAGATGTCACATCTTTACCTTCCTTGGGGCTCGGGAGAGCGGTACACTAATCGTTTGCAAATACGGAATCAATTCGCGAGTTCCCTGGACCTACACAAACAGTCATCATACGAGTACCAAGAGCCGATCCATCGACAAAGAAGCCCCAGTCTACCACCGATCCATAATGTCCAAGTTAAAAAACTAGATGAAGCCAAAACAAAGGATACGATAAATCGTAATGTATCCGCTGCAAAGAGATTTGCGTTTTACGACGATGACGCGGAAGGTGATACCTCTGGTTACGGAAGTGAAACTATCAACCAGCATAACTTGAACCAGTGTGGAACATTCTATGACATGGGGAATAACAACCCTGTGGTGGCCTGGCAGCAACTTGGAAACGAAAACAGGTATTAAGGTTTAAACTCTGAAATTATTGCCAAAAGTATGGATTAGAATCCTCATAGTAATATTGCGTTATTGCGAAAGGTCAAGGCATTAGGTTCGTTTTTAAACTTAACTGTAATTTGCAAACATTACTAAGAATAACATAATACTATTACAAATCATTCAGTAGTTACAAATCTTTTCCTATTTTTATAAAGAAATAGAAACTGTATGAAAAGGCGTGTCTGGAAACCTATTTATTTTCTGAATCGAGGGCGTCTTACTTTTAATTTTCCACACGCAGCCCGCTGGCGACGCCGACGATTAAACCTTACCGGCCGGTCATTGTTCGTTAACAATTGCCACCGTCAACCTTAATACCAATTTATTAATCAAATAATCATTTAATTGTAGTACGTACGTTGAGATCAACGAAACATATATTTGTCTTATTGTCTAAAAAAAATATTCTTAATTCGTGCAATATATACATATATAAAGTGGTAATGAGTTAATATTAATTTAATTCAATATACTCTACGATATAGGAAACCTTCAAGTGGTCGGTCTGGTATGACGGACGGGGCTTTGTCGGCTCGGAGTACGTCCGGCGTGGATGAGGGAAGACCTCGCTGGGGTGACAGGGGGGTCGCCACGGGACGACTGTGGGAACCAACAGCCCCCACAGCTAGACTACCACAGGTATGTTAACATTTGCAAGCCACTCGACTTGATACACCTTGATAGGTGATATCATTAAAATCACGTCAGGATTATCATAATATAATTATAACGTTAAATCGTCATTAATCTAACAATAAAATGAAATTGACAAAAATATTTAATCTCATTCTGGTCCACAAAATGATATGTAAGACTTTGAGAAGAGATGATGAAACTAAAATCTCGTTCTATTGGATAATCGAAAAAATATGTTGTTTGAATTTTACGAAATTTTTTGTTTAAGTTTTACATCATGTCTTTGACAGTACGATCTATGCCCTATGGAATAGAATCACTCAATTTAAGGAAAATGATAAAGTAATCTTACTCATAAAGCATGAAGTGATTATTTCATCCAATGAATGGTATGATTTATTGACCCACTAAGGTAGAACTACCCATAAAATGAGTACAATACACATCGAGGTCTAAGATGTTATACATACATAGGTACATACATACATACATACTTCAAATTCTCATTGACATTCTGACATTTGCAAGATTCATTGTATAACTCACTATGAAAACTGCTCGTAGAGTAAATGTGACTTGATTTTGAATTTAGTAATCGTTTATTTATAAAATTACATTACCGTTGCGTACCAATGCAAATTTCGGAGTATTAATAAATCACCCTTGCAAAATTTATTTATAATATACCGTTAAATCTTGTTTATAAAATATCCTATTAAAATAATAAATACATAACTTTATGAGGAAATGCGAAAGTTTGTAGCTCTTTTTCGCAAAGGTAACGTAACGAATTTTAGTTAAAATTTCCAGTAACTTATAGTTTAGACATAAGAAAAACATACAGGTTATAATTTCTAAAAAATGCTGTGTGGTTTTCCAAGGAATACTGCATTTGTTTTTTGTCTGAGGTCACATGTCACATACTATATATGGCGCTGTCAATTGGTTTCCACGTATATATTTTTTAAGTACACATTATTAATTATTCTCTGAACCAAATACCGATATTCACTTGGACGATGCCACTGGAGCAAACTATTTTTTATCAAACATGTACACTTAAAACAAATTATGTTCTATTTTACATTAAAAATATTTAATTTTCAAGTATAAACTGAATTATTTTCTATTTCAGATGCCGAATCAAAAGAAAGGAACTCCATCATGGTTGGAGCGTGGCCTTAATATGATTGAGAGAGCATCTGATGTAATTATTGTCGACCAAAGCTCTACAAATTCAGGTTTAGACTGTGATCGATCTTCTTTGCATGGAAGTGATGAAGGAAGGTATGTTATAAATTATGAAAATTAATCCAATATATACAATGTATTGACAAGTTACTTAATCACAGATGAATTTTTAGATCGTTTCTCAGAGGACAAAATGTACCGATAGAACCAGAAATAAAAGCTCAAAGAGAAAGCAAACGTATGAAAGCACTTGAACTACAATCCGCAATATTAAATCAACTCGAAGAACGGGAAAAACAACGCCAGGAAGAGAGGGAGAGAAAAATAAAAGAAGAGCGATTAGAGGAGCTAAGAATACAAAGACAACAAGAAGAAGATAAGTTGAGATTAGAAGCAGAAAATAAGCGAAATATAGAAAAGCAGCTTCAGGAACAACGTAAATTGGAAACGCTTAAAAAGGCCCTCGAAGATGCTGAAATAAAGGCGAGGCAAGAGAAAGAAAAAAGATTCAACTATCATAGAAAAATGGCGTGTTTAAATAATTCAAATGAAAAGAATGATCCAAGTGATAAAGAGAACGAATCACTTCCACCAGAAGAATTACCGAGTCCGACTAAGTCGTGCAGTCCAACAAAAACACACAGAACTTACAACGTTCAATCAACAACTAGCGAAAAAAAGGAAAATAATTCTCAACAAACTTCAACATTCAACTCTCCCAGGTCACTAACAGCGAGCAATTTGAATTTATTTATCCACAACATCGCCCCTTTATCTTTAACAGAAAATCAATTTAATATTGTGCCAATCGGAATCACTAATCCTGCCGATATCGTTAATTGCCAAACAAACAATATACAACTAGCCGTTTTAGTACCTCAAAATAAAAATATTTGTACCATGTCATTATTAAATTCAACGCACGTCGGTGATATGGGTGAAATTGAAAAGATTCTTACGCCTAGGAAATATCGAACACTTAGAACGAGAGACGCCTATACTCAGACTGATCCATACAAGTTGTGCTCCTCTACCGTTGGTAAAGATAATGACGAAAAAGAAAGAAGTATAGACAAAGATTATCCTAATATAGATGAAAATGCTCCTCAAGAATCACACCGCATTTCCACCAAAAAAGAAAGACGTCTAAGGTCAGAAGAAAGGTTTAAAAAAGATATAGAAAGCCGTCCAAAGTGGGGAGCTAATAAACCTATAGCGCAATACAAAAAACAAAGCGAGAAGGATCCGTTCTACATACAAAAAAGAAAAGTTCGACATTATTCATCACATTCAAGTGAAGACAGCCGATCACCGAGCCCGCAAACAAGAAGTGATAAAACATTACCTGTCAGCCTGAAACAACGTAATTCATTGAGTCAATCGCATTGGAAAAACAAACGCGTTAATCAAGACCTCTCAGTGACAGCTTACAAAGTCTCAAATAAAGGAATTCCCGAATTTACATCCTTAAGTCAGATAACAGGAAACGAAAAAACCGTTACGAAGGAATCCTCTCAAACGAATTCCTTAAAAAGACTTACTTTGTCCCAAAAATTTATTAACGATAAGTATGGAAGTAGAAAAATGTCGTTCGATGACGTAAACGACAGAACTACAAGGTGTAGCTTAAGCGATTTGGATAACCCGAAAAGAGATAATGATAAGTTATTTTTTAAAACAAATGTTTCACCTAAAGATCAACCTGATATTTATAAATCGAAAATAAGATTGTGAATATATATTTTTCTTAAACAAGATTAGTATTTAAATCTAGCTTAAGAATATTGCGTGCAATAATACAATAAGATCAAGTGAATTATATTGATCCAACAGTTGGTATCTATTGAAACCGTCGACTATTGAATCGATGTTCGGTATCACTTGTGTCGCGCCATAGTTTCTGAATAGACTATCCCGCGTTTTGTGTAAAATCTGGTCTCATTGGGAACAGATAGATTTATAAAATGACATCAAAACTTGATGATTTATTTGATAAAAAGAAAGATGAGGCTCCAATGCTAGATTTATCCAAAGTTACAATAAATACTGCTGAAGAATATCGTGCCGTTTTGGACAAAGTTCCAGACTTTAAAACAAGGCCGGAAAAGGTTAGATTTTAGCAATTTATTCATAAGAAACTTGTCATAGAGATTGCTTTTATTTACGAGTTATTTTAAGGTACGGCCGGAAGATGTTAAAATAAGAGATAGACCAGAAGATCGGAAAACTAAAACGCCCAAAAAGGAAATTCGTGCTTATGAAAAATTAGGTACGCGTGGTTATGAAGAAAAGCACTTTACTTTTATGGACCCGATACCCGTGGAAATGCGAGGATTGAAGTTTGAAGAACTCTGTGCAGTACCGATTGAATGGCGGATGCTCACGTCAATTAGACCAAAATCTAAACTTGATGAAGAGTATTTCAACAGGTAAGATCATGATAATTTGTGTTTATATACCTAATTAGTTTTGTTTTTCTTGTATAAGACAATCTAGGTCAAAATTGTGGTAAACGCCAATTCAGGTATACATTTTTAGCGATGCACTCTAAAATAATGTTTGAAAGATTTTTTTTATCTTTACCATTTAAACTGTAAGTTTGAAAGCATAAAATGCGATATGAAAAGATTTTAAACTGAAAAAGAAACGTTTTCGGTTTGATATTATGTGCATAAGTCGATTGATATGGCATATTTTTTAGATTAATAGAACTTGGAAAGTCTGAATTGAAAACTAAAGCCAGGGAAAAGAGGGAGCACGCGAAAAATAACATGATTAGAAAAACTAAAACTCGCTCGGGTGTTACGGAGACACGCATCGTATCGTGTGCAGAGTGCGGGGAAGAGTACTGCAATGGTATGATTACTGTTACTTAAACCATTTAACATATAAAAATAATTATAAAATCAATTCTCTTATTGGATAATACGTCCATCAAAACCATCCCATTTAAATATATCACATTTTCAGGTAAAATGTGTTTGATAACAAACTACGATATGTTCGCGAGACTTAAACTAGAAGTTGAAACCAAGACTCGCACTCAAGCACCTCCAGCACAACTAAGCAAAATACGGCGAGTACGGCGGCGGGTGAGAAGGAAACGTACTAAGAGTGCTGCACCAGCCTTTACACGAAATACCACAACAAAATCTGGCGCCAGAAGCGATACTGAACATTAAGCAATAAGCATAACTGTCTGTCTGTCTGTAGCCAATAACTGTCATCAAGACTTAATAAACTTTTGACAGCTCTATGGCATTTAATATTGATTGACTTTAAACGCTATCTCTTTTGGCGAAATCTTTAAGGAAACGCCACTAATTAAAGAAGAAGAAGAACGCTATCTCTTAAATTAATATGGCCGATTTCAAACCATTTCACTTTTCAATTAATAAGATATCAGACAATTTATTTGTCACGCATATTTATCAAAATCTCTTATTATATTTTAACTAGCTTAAAGCTATTGTGCACTATATGCAAATGGAGTTATCCCCAATAGTAATAAGTTTTAACTAAAAATTTGTTTATAAAGTAATATGTAAATCTCTATGAAGATTATCTTATTACGCTTAGTATTTCTGCCCGTCTTTTCTTCTGGAAACTTCTCCTAAATGCCGAAATGATGATATTCATTTTAGATGCAAGTTTTTATATATATTTGAATTCAGCCAACAATTTAAAACATATACATATAATCTAGTCGATAATATATAGGTATGTAATTTAAGTGGAATCTCTTTTTATAAGCTATTTGACTGTTGGTTATTGTAATTTTTAATAATAATGTATTAATTTATATCGCTTTGTATTTCTCTTACCTTTATGGCATCACTAACATCAATATACCTCTAGAATTTAACTTATAATTTTTATCTATTACCATTACTTAAATTTTTTTGTGGCTCTTTAAAAAAGTATGCTTTAAAAGGATACCCAATTATCATCAATTATTATTTCTAATTGAAATTACTTACAAAAAAAATATGAAAGAGTTTTCAATATTACAATAAGATATAAAAAAACATGTACTATATGAAGGCATTTGAAATAAAAAGAACAAATTAATATCACTCTTTATTGATTTTAAAAAAATATTTATATTACAACGTTTTAGAGCCTAACATACTCAAGATATTTCCCTTATCAATTTAAATCTGATAACACTGTCGCGACACAGACAGTTGACCTACAACCGACTTTTATTGCTAGAAATATGAAGCCAAAAATATATTTTATTCATAGAGAAATGATGACGTTATAATCGTTATATCGAAAACCTATCAGCAACTGTGATCATGAATGAACCTTTAGGCCCTAAGTACAAGATGTCCAATAAAAATAAATAACTGAGCACAATAAGAAACACAAACAAATGAAAATAAAACTTTTCAAATATCTTCCTTACAACAAACTCACCTAAAGAAATAGAAATAACAATATAAATTATTATGGTCCAAACACCACAAGTCCGAGTAAAGGAATTTTGCTTTTATAATAAACTCTTAGAGACTTACATATAACATTACTATTGCAACAAAAAAATAATAATATTAAAAATTACCTCCTGACACAAACATATCACAAGATAGAGAACAAAGTAAAGATAAATAGAAAACACTCCGGGCTAAGATCAAAGACAATGTTATAAAAGTATCATGAGTTCTAATTCTTGAGTCGAAACAGTAATCCTTACACAGCCGACACAACCCATTTATTCACCAACATAAAAAATCTAAATTACAAATGAGTTCACGTGATGCTGGTTTTACTTAAAAGATGCTCCGAGACTTAGACTATTCATAAATAATAATGTTAGTACATACATATTATACCCAAAAAAAATTATAATATTAATTTAAAAAAATTAACATTTCCAATTACTTGATATTTTATTCTTACAACTAGTATACAAAATAGGAATCTGCAATAAAAGATCGATGTTCATCTGAGCTAGCAAGGTTTTGTAATAAATTATTATACATTTTTATGAATACAGCACAAAAGCATTCAGTGAAAAAACATGGACGGAAAATCCAAAAGCTGATAAAGTAATACGAAACAAATAAATAATCAGACAGTATGATGTTGGTCCAAATGTAAAATTTTATTTTGTACCCTCATATATTGTTAGTATGACGTCATAATCACAATGAATAAAACAATGTGATGGAATAATAGTTAAAGATTAACGCACAAATGGAATGGAGTCAAGACACTTATTCTACAAGCACCAGAAGTTATTTTTAGAACATTCATTTAATACATAAACGTCGTATTAGGAAACCTACGAGACAAAGATCATACCTTGGCCCTTATTATGCTAAGAAACATAGTCCACGATGCCAAAGCGAAAAAAAATACTAACACCAAAAAATATTGCAGATTCCGAAAGTTTTCCTCGTAAAAATATAATGACTCTTCTAAAATATATATAAAAAAAAATATCTATTATGCATTAACGAAAACAATATTAAATTCAAAGTCATAACATAAAATAGGAAACTAGGTAATCATGGACGTAATAGAAATGAATGTGTTGAATTAATTAAATGTTAAATTCTCACTATAAAAATCTACAAATGTAATGTCAGTCCCATTATAATTATTAATCAATCGTTCTATTTTATGACAGCGCATATCTTATGGGTAAAAGATCACTAAAAAATTTAAGTATGTCATATTATAATCTATTAAACATTTTAGAGTTGTAGTTCTATGAGGCATTGAGCTAGGGTTGACAATCACTTCACATTGTTTACTTCACTGGTCCTTGCGAGCCTTCTTTTTGCCCTTCTTGGATACTTTAGCATCTGTCCAAGTATCTGGAAGTTATATATATATACAATAAAATATAATTCCAATAATAATTGATAATTAAATCAAATCTATAATATAAAATGATTTATAAATACCTCCAAGTTCATCAAACACTGGGCCAACTGGTTTGTTTTCTTGTGGTTCAGATGGTTCCACACTCTCTTCCTCCACTTTCTGTGCCTTGGCTACGGGAGCCTGGAAACAGTTTTAATTATGATTTAAATATATTTGATTTATTATAAAGAAACTTCATGAATTATTTACATTACTGCATTATTATAATTTTGATGTAAATTTAAGTCATGCAGGCTGGTAAAGCTATAAGTAGAAAATAGTATTAACTTAAGGATTTTTAAAACCAACAACTTTATAATTCATTCACAGACATCCCACTGAAAAAGTTTTACACTAAAAATGAATAAAAAGCTGTATAAAAGTATGTTTTTTTTTAAAGGAATAGAAGTTCACTATAAAAAAGTATGATGTATATTTAATTGCTGTTGTTACCTCCGAAGCCTTTTTCTTGTTTTGTTTCTCTTTGTTTTCCTTCTTCTTGTTGCTTCTAAGATCTTTGACCTCAGTCAACTCATTTTCCGGAACATCTTCCTCCACAATTTCACCGGAAGCTACCTGGTCCAGACGCTCAGCCTGAATAAAAAAAATAAGATGTTATTTGTACTACACATTTTATAAAACATAAAAAAGTATTATTGTCTATGGAAGTAATAAGTGTGTGCTACATTTTATAACAATATAAAAAAATTATTATTGTCTATGGTAGTAATTATGGAATTATTAGTGTAATACCTCTTTAAGGACTCTCTGCAACTCTTCCACTTGTGCCTGTAGAGCTCGGGCAGCTTCCTCGTCAACTTCGGGACCTTCGACACTCAACACCTTAATAACTTCCGAGGATTCCTTCACTGGTTCCGATCGGGGAGCAACGACCTCAGTCTGATTAACCTTCTTCTTATTCTTCTTTGAAGGACTTTCTTTCTTCTCTTTTTCCTCGGAGCCTTTCACTTTCTTCTTATCACTCTTCTTTGGCACTTCCTCCCATACACCCTCGTCAAAGTCAGCGGGCTTCTCAGCGTCAACAACCGATTTAGGTTTCTTGGCCTTTTTCACGTCAGCAGCCGCCTCCTTCTTGACAACTTTGACTTCAACCTTCTCTTTGGGCTTTGGTTTCTCAACATCCTTAACTTTCTCCTCCTTTTTCTCCTTTAATGGAGATTTTTTCGAAGCCTCAGCCTTTGATTTTGAATCATCATTAGATGTTCTAATAGGTGACGACTTCTATAAAACCATACACAGATTTAATAAATAGAAAAAATATATAATTGGATAAAATCCACGATATATTTTTAAAAAAGTCAATGGTGTAAAATTATTTAACGAATTTTTCAGTTTATTTTAAAGCATATGTTTAAAGGTTAAAAATAAAGTGAGCTGTTTCGACCTAGTAGCTTATTGACGTTCAGAACAATACTATTTACGTTGTCGTGACATACCTTTTCCTTGTTTTTCCGTTTCTTATTTGAAGATTTCCTGTCATCAAGTACCAGAGGTAACTTATCAAATTGCGGTTGCTCCGCGGTGTGGAAACCGAATATAAATACGAGAGTAGCACATATTAAAACAACTGCTACTGCCGCCACGGGGAACAGAAACTGTGTATGAGACACTTGTCTTAGCAACTCCATATTAAAAAATAATTTCTGAATAGTTTTTACTTAACAGTCCACATAAAAACGTTTCGATAAGGTATGATAATGTCGAATAAATTAATTTCAAAGTGATAAAAGCAGACACGGAGACATGATGACGCGGCTGTGACGTGCCAAAAATTGCAATCTGTCAGTGTGACCATATTTTAATGTGTATTAATATTAATTGATTGAGACATGTCTTGTAAATATTCTTATTAGAACACATATAATTTAAGAAACAATCTTAATCTTAAAACTATATCCCGATTCTTGGGATACCAAAAGTACATAGTATATAAAAATTTAATAAAATTTTAATTAATTGTTAATCGTTGTTAAATTTTAACAGTTTAAGAAGTATTTTTTGTTGTGTTTCAAAAAAGATCAGACCTTCATAATTTTTAAAAATAGTAAGTTATGAACAAATAATAACTTTAAAGTTATGTGCAACATCCCTAATAATTGCAAATGTCTCAAAGCCTTTGTTTTAGTCACTGATTTCTTAATAAAAGAGTTATTAAAACATATTTTATTAATATCTTTAAATAATCTTGCTCTGCTACCCTTAATTCCTTATTATATCTGTTAGGAAAAAAAATTAAGCAAAACATACTATTCGCATTTTGATTTATGAAAAACACTTATATAATTGTGTAAGAAAATTATTGTACCAAGTACTTTCTACTTATAAAAAGAAAGAAATGAATTTTATTATCAAAATCAGAAATTCATAAAATAATTAAAAAATAGAAATTATTCTACTATAACTTTTGTACAATGTTTTTGACAATTAAAAGAATCGAGTCAATGCGGGCTCTGTCACATTTATATTGTTAGGTTATGTTTATATTTAAAGAGCAAAGTGTTAATTGATTATAAGCTTAGTTTGATAAGTTTCATTTAGCAATTGAAACAGTAAGAAATAAAAAGACCAAATATGGGTGGTAACAAAAAAAAGCAAAACAAAAAGAAACAAATTGCACAGGAAGTTGAAAATAATGCTGAAGTAGAACATAATGCAAATGATGAAGAAAATGATAATGAAGGTGAATTAGAAGACGAAAGAGGTACTAAAAGACATCTGGTCGATGATGGATCAGAATCCGATGTGGAAGACAGGCCGAAAAAATCAAAAAAGAAAAAGAAGCAGCCGGCCGCAACAGAATCTACTGAAAAAAAAGGTAAGAAATCAATACGTCAGATGAAGAAAGAAAAACATGCGCAAAGGCAGGCGGAGGCGCAATCTGCTGCTAAAGACCAATTAAAATCACAATGTATCACCTACCTGTCCCAATGGAAACATGATCGGGAAAATTGGAAGTTCATGAAAGCCAAACAAGTATGGCTGTACAAAAACAAATTCTCCTCACAACTAGTGCCTGATGAATCCTGGCCAGTTCTATTGGAGTATTTTGAATCGGCTAAAGGCAATATACGAAACATGCTTCTAACAGATGCACACAATATTATTAAAATAATGGACGATTGGACGGCATCACTAGAGAAAGACGGTGAGAATAATGAAGAAACTGATCAAACATCCGAAGTCCGAAAACCTGATCCTACAGTGTACAATAGAGCGAGAAGTTTAATACAATGTTTAGAAGAATAAAACCTTTGTTTGATTTCTAAAATTTATTGCAACTATATTGCATCATTGGTAACAATAACAATAATTTACATCACACAAATTTCAATATTATCTAAGCTTTAATTTTAACTTCGGAATCCTCGGAAGCAAATTGTTCAATCCATTTCCTCAGCTTGTCAGTATCCTGCAGTCCCACCATCCGTTGTTGAACCTTTCCATTCTTGATAGCTACTAAAACTGGTACTGAACTGACTTCGTAGTCAAGAGCCAAATCAGATTGTTCATCAATATCAACCTTAGCCAAGATTACTTTTCCTTTATTCTCAGAGATTATAGACTCCAATCTCGGTGTAAGAAGTCTGCATGGATTACACCAACTGTAATATATAAATATCATAAAGTACATACTATATAGTAATTTCAAAAGCATTATAAGGATAGATTATAATATATTCTTGGGGTGATATATGATATGCAAATTTTAAACCTGTAGATAACCTAAAAGCAAATAATAAATAAAACAAGACCATCATCACGTAAGATATCCAAGTATGCAAATATAGTACTAAATATATATAATTATACATTTCTCCTTATTGATCGAGTTTTTAACAATTTATAAAATCAGAATACTAAAATATTATTATCAGAAACTCATACTTACGTAGCAAAGAAGTCTACAACAACGGGAACCTTGCTGTTAATAACTTTATCCTTAAAGTCATCTGTACTTTGGATTTTTATGATATCATTCTTCGGCGCAGAAACTGACAAGTTTCTAAAATAAAAAGATGGCTTAAGATAAAAAGGACTTCTCATAATCAGAGAAGTAGTGCTTCGGCCGATCATTTTGGATGTGACTATGACTGCGACGTCTTGCAATGAAGGTGTAATAGAAACAACAAATTTTATCAATTCTTTTCGCAGTATAATGTGTATTTGCTTATGTCAATAGTGGCACGAGAAATGTCAAATTTGCTGCTGACAAAAGTGAGAGAATTCTAATAAGAATTTTTAAGTTAAATAAAGATCGCTAATATTTCCAGCCAGTTTTGAAATATATAATAATTTCAGTAAAGGGTACTAGATCATTCCTTACAAATAAATAATAAAGAATCTGGTTTTTACATAAAAAAAGAAAGCATAACTTATATAACGGCGATTCTATCTTTTTATTTTCAGATTTTATTGTTTAAGTCTATCTTCTATTCTTGAAAACGTAAAGGACTATTTGCTACCAGTCTCTAATAAACTTTTACGTTAAATTCTAAATATTAAATGATCCAAAAGTTGTAGCAAAAGCTTTTTCATATTATACTCATCCCTAATAGTAGTATAACCAGTATGTAATCATGCTTTTAAAAGATATTTTTTTTCTCGTTACCTTTAATGAAATTAATAAAGCTTAAAATTTAATTAATGCAATTCAGCAAAAAAATTGCAAATTTCGTTTTAAATTGAATGTTAAAAATGTAGATTACATCTACATACATAGCAAAAATAATAATAACCTTTTTTGTTATCTACCTATGCTTTCAACGTTTTGACACTTGACATCTTGATTCTTTCATGTGTCTCGCTTGTGCCTTGATAATCCATGGCATCGTAAATTTGCCAACACGGCTTTTAATATAAATAAAAGTAATGTCTACAATGTATTCAAGTGATGACTACAATGAGGTTTGTTATAATTTTAAGGTCTTATTATATATTAAAAATATATTCCCTTGGATTATTATAACCTATGCTTACTAATAGCGTATAGAATGTTGAATACTTTAATCATAGTTAATAGTAACTTTTTTCAAATTTTCATATAAAGTTTTTCATTGTTTTCATAGAGAATTGCTAATATATAACTTTTGGTTTCAATTATTATTATAATCGTTATATTTTTCTCTATATATTCTAGGGTGGTTATGAGTCCTACGGTGACTATGAACCACACACCGGAGACCCCCAGTATGACTTGGAGTATGACAGATCATACTATCAAATGCCCGACATGGTATGTTTTTATTTGAAAATAATTTTTACTTAAGGAAAGTATGATTTCTAATAAAAATGTTTATAGGTCAAGAAATTTTTGGTGTACTTCCGAAACATGATCACGGAAGGGGTGACGTTTGAGATTTTAAACCTCTATGAGAATACCTTCCCGAAGCTCACTGAGCAATTTTTTGAAAATACACCTTGGCCATCAGAGAAAGAAGTGGCTCCAGTGGTAGATAATGACCATGTAAGTGTTCGGTAATGATATTTTATTAGCTTATCAATATAAAACACTTTTGATATTGTAATTTTAAAATAGTGTCAGTTTTTGTTTTTTTTAAAAATCTATATCTGCTTTTAATGCTTTCACCATTATTACTACTGATTGATGTATTCTGATCCAAAATTGTTTCAAAATTAAAAATGTATTGCAAATTAAAATGCAGTAAATTTGTGTGCATCTATGAAACATCAATTCCTATATTATAGTTTTGCAATCATAAGTTTAAAATAGATGTTTATTTTCTAGAAAATTGAATGAGATACAGGCAATAACATAAAATATTTTATACTAGAGAATTTTCTTTTACAAAATACTTAATATATATAATGTTTTCCAGGTGTTCATGATCCTCTACAAAGAGTTGTATTACCGAGATATTTATGCTCGTGTGCCGGGCGGGCCTAAACCCGAGCAGCGTTTCCTATCATTCTATAACTACTGTGACCTGTTCAACTACATTCTCTCAGCCGAGACTCCTGTTCCCTTAGAATTGCCCGACCAGTGGCTGTGGGAACTCATTGACGAGTTTGTCTATCAATTCCAGTCTTTTGCTCAGTATAGGTAAAGTTTTCTATATTGTAACATATATATTTATATTTTTGTTTGATGTAATTATGCGAAAATATGTTTGGAATTTTTAAAGTAAGAAGTAAGAAAAAAATAATTATATTCTTACATTACATTGTGTATGGTTGTAATATAATATATTTTTTTATTAAAACTATAAGTATGTGTTATATATTATGGTACACATATATTTATTTGTGGTTAAACATATATTTTTTATGATTCCAGGTCCCGTGCAACCAAGCTGAGTGAAGCTGAGATTGAAGCTCTGAACACCGAGAATAAGGCGTGGAGTGTGCTGGTCATACTCAATGTATTGCATTCTCTTGTTGATAAATCCAATATTAAACGCCAATTAGAGGTAATAATTATATTTATTTATGCACAATAAATGTAAAATAAGAGTTTATATATTATTTAAACTTAGTGAAGTTTGAATACAAATTTATGTCTTTAAGAGATCCTTTCTAGCTTCACATAAATGTAGAAAGAGAAATTTAAGGGACAGTAATAAATACTTAAATCTAAAAAATAATAGCAGACTATATTCTGATTAATAAAAAATTATATTATAAAATATTCATGTATATAATTAACATGATAAATTTAAATGATATGTAAATATAGTACATAGAAATACCTTAAATTAATAATGATATATATAAAAAATTATTAGAGGAATAATAGGGCTTTAATCTTGGTTTCATTAGTTATTCAATTATGTTAATAATATGTGTAGTATTTCAATATTAATTAATTTTTTTTTATTTAATAGGTAGTTTCATAATTTATTCCATATATTTTTAATTCAGGCAATAGAAGATTATGATTGCAAAAACTGTCTCAATCCTCTAGAACTGCTAAATATTTTTGTTCTAGGTTGAGATTGATGATTTGTTATTTTATTGTAACAGGTGTATGCGGCTGGTGGTGATCCCGACTCTGTCGCAGGTGAATTTGGTCGTCATTCCCTTTACAAGATGTTGGGATACTTTTCCCTTGTGGGTTTGTTGCGGCTACACTCACTGCTTGGAGATTATTACCAAGCTATTAAGGTAATTAGATAATAAGCATAGTTTTTGACTTGGTTGATGTTCTTTTTAAATTTTGGTTATTAAAATTAAAAAAGTTTTTAGTTGGGTTTTTACTATAGCTTACTATCCTTTATAGCATTTTAGCAAACTTATTATTTGTAATAAACTATTTGTAACTAAAGGAAAGTAAAGACAAAATTTTGCTATAAAAAAAAGATACAACTTCGAAAACACCTATAACAAAAGATCTTTCCAAAAGTATTTTTTTTATAATTTAAATTTAAAAAATAGAATTCCATATACATAGTTAATTTTAAAAATAACATAATCTTATGTCTAGGTGTTGGAGAACATCGAATTGCACAAGAAATCCCAGTATTCCCATGTACCAGCGTGCCAGATCTCTACTTCATACTATGTGGGCTTCGCATACATGATGATGAGGAGATATGCTGATGCTATCCGCACTCTGTCATCAGCACTTCTGTACATGCAGCGTACTAAACAGCTGTTTTCATCACGTTCATACCAGAATGATCAGATCAACAAGCAAACTGAACAGATGTATCACCTGCTGGCTATATGTCTTGTACTGCATCCACAGTGTGTCGATGAGTCCATACAACAGGTCTGTTAATACATGAATTACTTTGATTTTAGACAAATATTCCTTCGCTTTTGTATGTGTACACATAACATAAAATTACACTAATTTAGTTAAACTGTTCATATAACTTGAACAATTTAAATTGATTTCTCTCAATAACATACAGTAGAAACTCTTTTAACCGGACTAATTGTTGTCGATAGGCATTCGGATAATCGAAAATCCGGATAATCGAATGTATGAAGGAAAGCCGGTTCTGTGCTTATGTAGTTCTAATATTATATGTTTATTTAAAAAATAAAGTACAATATGTATTTGGTAATTTGAAATTGGTAGGTAATCATGAATTAAAAGAATAAGTTTCATTTGGTTTAGAATATTTGGTAATTGTCATTTGACATACGCCACTCTTAACAACACCATTCTCTTACGCTTAGACATTTTTTTTTGACCGGACTTGTCCGTAGTCCGGATAATCGCGAATCCGTATAACTGAGGGCCGGATAATCGAATTTCTACTGTAGTAATTAATATTTGATAATAAAATTGAATAATCCATTATAATAATGTGATTGATACATTAATAACATATATTAATTCCAGGTGCTCCGTGAGAAGAATTATCATGAGAAAATGTTCAAGATGCAATACGGTGACTTGGGCGAGTTCGAGACATGTTTCACGTTCGCGTGTCCCAAGTTCCTGTCTCCCTGTCCTCCGCCCATCGAGCCGGGCTCCAACTACGGCCGGGACGCTGTGAAGCATCAGACGCAGGTGTTCATGGACGAGGTCAGTATTCATATTAATGAGAAACTTTGTAAGGACATTCTTATGTTTGTTGGTTTTTCCATCATATCGTCTGGGATACTACAACTAAGCGGAGGCAGTTCGAAACTTAATAATTTAAATAAATAAATGAAATTAATGACTTGTAAGATTATTTTGTTCATAGTGTGTAATAATTTAAAGTAATTTTTTCACAATGAATTTTATATTAAAGTGATAAAAAATTACTCATTATTCGATGTATAGAAACAGATTTTGAAGAAAATTTTGGTTGACGATTCTATTTCTGTGATTAACTCTAATGTGGTTAATTACTGGGTTTGAAAAGAAATGTCTTTGTAGCTTTAAGTAATATTTAATAATAATAGAAGATTTTAACATAATACAACGAAAGCTTAGGCCAATGGGTGGTCCACCATATTTAGATGGACACATGAGATGTTTTATAAAAGTGACTTTACACTAGACTTAATTCTATAATATAGCAACACACTATATTTATTACACCTTAGTATTAACTAAGTTTCTTATTATGTATCTGTAGTAAGCTTATTTATTTAGCGTTAGGATTGCTCAGCCTTCAATAAGGTGTATAACTTTGTTATTTATTTCTGATATAAATTATGAATATACAGTAATTTCTTATGTAATTGATATAAAAATATCTCATTGTTAAATGTTTCATTCTCTAAACCCTAATCCTTACCATTCTCTATTTTCATTATAAAGAATAGTATTTATATTCATAGTAACACAAATTTTAACTGATAATTAACATGTAAATAATTGTTTTATTCAACAGGTCCGTCAACAGAAGATGCTTCCAACGATCCGTTCGTACCTCAAGCTATATACGACCCTTCCTTTGGCTAAGCTGGCTGCTTTCATGTCAGCTGCTCGCGGCGGTGAGAGGGACGCAGCTCGAGAACACGCCGCCCTCGCCATACATTTGTTGTGCTTCAAACATAAGATGAAGAACGTGGTCTGGACTAAAGGACCTAGCGGATTGGATGGAAAGTTCCAGAGTGGCTCTGAGGTAATTACTATGCTCCTTTATAATTACTGAACATGAATTAATGTAAGTATATATTCTGTTCAGTGCTGTAACTAGCCTTTTATGCACCCGGTGCGAGCTTTCGAAACTACGCCCCTGAAAAATGATCTAACCAGGCTTTAAAAATAAAATGGACAAATGTGCATACAAATGAATCTATCTAGTTATTGTTTAACAAAGTATATAAGTATATAGCTACCATGCTTGAGATAAAACTAGATACTAGTCTGGTCATTTCTGCGCCCCTCCACGGGCTGCGCCCTGTGCCTGGGCACTGCCCTAGTTACGGCACTGATTCTGTCATCAAGTTCTTAATAGTCACTCCCATACTCAACCCTTGAAAAAGGTTTTAAGTTTTAACGATGAGTTTGTTACGATTGACAGTGAAAAAATTGTCACAGAAGATATCTGTTTTCTGTTTAGACTATAGGACTATAATATGTATATATAATTTAAGTATACAATACATAAGGCGGCCAACTTTCCGAAAACTGAATGCGGGACGTAACCTTTCGTGAATGGCGGGGGGGGGGGGGGTTAGGGATTGTGAATGTCATAAAAATCTTCGCAACTGCCCATATTAAATTTAAGTACTCTCTTACGCGTCATGAGTTCAGAAGGAAGAAAGAAAACGAGATTAAAGCGGGCGCGATACGCTTGTCGCTATTATAGGTAATTTGTGTTCCTGCACTTTTGACCGTGGTATGGGTGTTGTGTAGAAGTGTGGTAGAAAAATAGGGATGCGGGACATGCGGGACGCATACAACGTTTTGCGGGACTATTTTACGAATAATTTCAAAGCGGGATTTCGTCTAGCATTGCGGGACGGTCCCGCAGAATGCGGGACGGTTGGCCGCCTTAACAATACACTGCACTCACATTACTCGATTTTTACTTCTATCTTTAGACCAATAACTATATAACTCATTGAGACGATGAGATCCAATACTTTCGAGAGTATTCTTTTAAATGAAACTTAATACTTTTCTATAAACTACATACTCCCTCTGCCTGCCTATAATATTATTTGTTACATTCTACTTTAATTGTATTTTTATAGATCACTATAACCCTTGTAAACAATAATATTTTTCTTCTAGTTGGACTTCTTTATCGATAACGACATGATCCACATCGCCGACACTAAAGTGGCTCATCGTTACGGCGACTTCTTCATCCGCAAGCTTCTTAAATTTGAAGAATTGAACCGCAAACTACACCACATTAAAATATAAATGTCTCTGATGGTACATATATTTGTATCTTTTTCACAAATGTAACAGTAAAACAACCATAAATAAATAACATCAATATATATTTTCGTATTATTTTAACCTTGGCGCATATGGTCTGTAGTGACGTTGTTTCTTATAAAACCTCTTTGGTTCAACAATTTGGAATTGTTCTCTCTGTACTGTAGTAGGATGGGGTTCTGTGAATTGTTTCCATGGATTTTCAGGTTTTAAGGCTTCTTCCGCATTCACGTCTTTTATCCAATTACTATAAATGTCACTAAACCTGTTATAAGCAGCTTTGAGTACTGGACTGTCCCTCTTCTCTTTTTCACTCTACAAAATAAAAACATACACGATAGAACAAAACTTAATATAGCTACATAACTTATAAATAATTTTATAATTTACATTGTACTTTGTATGATTATAGTTACAAATATGGAATAATTATTCAATAAATAATACCTTCTCTATACTTCTTAAACATCTGTCATTGAAAGCCTCCAAATGTCTCAAAAAGGCAGTGTTAACCTTAAGTTTTTCTTGTTTAACTATATCCATAACATAAAGTACGTATCCAAATTGCATATTTATGGCGGCATTTTTTAATAAAGCTCCTAACATTTCAATGTTAACCCTGAAAACAAATAATTTGAGGTGATAATGTTTATTGTTTATCTATTAGAAAATCCATTCCTACACCAATCATTCTTTAATCAATAAGTGACAGCATTATTTATTGTCAGAAGCAAATTATAAAAAAATCTAAATATTATTGTATGTTAAAAGTATTTTAACAGTATATTTAAGCTTTTTAATGGTTGTGTTAATAAAAATTTAAAAAATATATCCATACTTCAATTGTTTTTCCTTCATTTCATTAAGTAATTTTTCAGCCTTTTCTCTTGTGGTACATGCTAAAGCTAGAGCACCATAAGTCATTATGTCAACTTTTATTTTATGTTTTTTATTAAAAGGGTGTTTTCGTTGACTTGCATTATCCTCTTCTATCATATTCCTGACCATCTGTGAAAAACGAAATATTATTCAAATTTAAAAGTACTAATTATGAATTACAAACCAATGATGCAAACTTACAAAGGCACCATCATAATCCATTCTGAGACACCTTTTCTTTATTAACATATTATAAAAATCTATATCCCTTTTAATTTTCAATGATTTCATTGTACTTATTAGTTTATTCTCAGCTTCTGTACTGTTTTCTATAAGCGGTAACATTTGTGTGAAGGTTTTAATGTCTGGCTTAATTGAATAAACATCCATTTCATTGAGAAAATCTTCTTGTCCCCCTATTATTGCAAATTTTTCTTGTGGTGTACTAACATCTTGAAATGCTAGTACCTGATCTATTTGTACAACCTTTGAAAGTAAGTTGGGTGCATATCTCTTAGGCGGAGGTGCTGTTTTCTTATAATCTTCAACAATTTCTAATGTGTTTTGATTTTGGCTAACTACTGCTAAATCTGTAAGGTCTGTTGTTGATGAACACTCTCCATCAGATGAGCTTTTTGAGAATTCTTTTGGTTTAACATGTTTTTCATCTGCTTTAGTGACAACATTTTGTTCCAAATCACTAGATGAATGTACAAATGATTGGTCTTCAATCATATTTCTATCATTTGGAGCACCAGATATTAATCTCTGTTGCTGTCCCTCTATTTGTTTCAATTTTCCTACAGATGTTAGTGGTAAATTTGCCTCAATAATTCCAATAACTTCTAGAAGATCCTCTTTAGTACCAACATTACAATCTTTAACACATCTCAGCATTAAATTAAATGAATATAGATTAGGTTTTTCCTTCATATTCAACATTTTCCTCCAAACAATGAGAGCATACTTCAAACCCTGATTTTTATCTGTTATACAAGCCTGTAGCAGGTGATTGAAGGTGTGGGATCTTATTTTAATTTTTTTTGACATCATTTCATCAACAATTTTGAATGCTGTTTGTAGATCTGAACATCTACCAAATGCTTTGATCATAACATTATAATTAGTTAAATTAGGTTCAATATTTTTTTCTATCATTAAGTTTCGAAGGTGTGTAGCCATTTTCAATCCATATGAGGGATAAGGACTATTGATGCATGCCTCAAAAAGACACGTATAAGTATCGCCTGTGGGGCGTAATGCGCGTCGTTTCATATCATTATATAGTTGGAATGCTTTCTTTGTATATCCAACCTCAGCACACGCACCAATAAGTATATTATAAATGTAATTTTCAGGTTTAACTCTATCTTCTTTAAGCATACGTGTTTCTAAAACATCAATAGCTTCTTTGATCCTTTTATGTTGTAAATATTGCTTTATTATGTCTGCATACTGTTTAATAGTTAACTTTTGAGATATTAATGGTTGTTCTTGCAAATACTTTTCTTCCTTTATATCTCCTTCATCTTCTAATGTTTCTTTGATGACTTTTTGTCCAGACAAGGTTCCAAAGGTGTCCGGGTCTTCTAAATATGTGATGTTATTTTCTGTTTTGTATTCTTTGATACTTTGTATCTTTTGTTGAGATATATTTGTTATAGTAGTTGTAGATAATAAACTTTGTCGTATTATAGTTGAACTGCCGTTCTTTAAATTTTTCAGTAAGTTTAAGCAACGAAATGCCATAATTGTTGATTACTTTTATTATGTTGGATTTTATATTTTTATGAAACACTTAATTAAAACTTTTTTTTTAATGTTTAAGGGCCAATTATTACTTTACTTAAATCAAACAAGAGATATTTAAAACTCAAACAAAAAGTTCAAAATCTAACCTATATCTCTTATTCTATTTGTTTACTAGGTAATAGGTATGTGTCAGAAAAGTGTGGATCGCTATTCGGTTTCAGTCACAGGAATACTAGTTTATATTATAATTGATAATCTATGGTGTAGACTACAACTTCTAGTAAAACCGAAAAATAAAACCCGTAAATAATATTATATTAAATATATTAACAAAAAATTATTTATAAATTACTTACTTAGGACTAGGTTAAATACTTAATTAAATTTTGAACATTAAGTAAACATTAACAAATTGTCAGACTGACATTTCCAAAAGTCAATTGTGATTATAGTAAATTTCATTTGCACGTGTTCGGCTTTAGGATATATTCTCAATATTATAAAAATATATTAAAAATGTCCAATATGGAGAATGAAGAGCAAATGGAGGAATCCTCGTCTGAAAGCGAAGATGATGAAATGGAAGAAGGCGACCAACCCGAAGAAGATTCACGACCTAAGACCTATCTTCCCGACCAGCCATTACAAGAAGATGAGCATTTAATTTGTGATCAATCAGCCTATGTTATGTTGCACCAAGCACAAACTGGTGCTCCGTGCCTTAGTTTTGATATAATAACCGACAACCTAGGCAATGATCGCCAAGAATTTCCCATGACGGCTTACTTGGTTGCCGGTACACAAGCATCGAGCGCCCACTTAAATAAGTATGTATAACCTTAAAATATTATCCCTCCGCCTTCACTATGTAGAGATATATAGAGTACACTTTATATTTATCTAAGTTCTTCAGTGTTTTAGTTGTAAAAATGTCTAATTTACACACCACCTCAAAACCAGAGGATGAAGAAGAATCCGACGAAGATGATGATGACGACGAAGAAGAAGATGAAGAAAAGAAACCACAAATGACTTTTGCATTCATCAAACACCAGGGCTGTGTGAATAGAATAAGAGTAAGTGGAATTCACTTCAACTCAGTATAACTCAATTTACACATCTTACATTATACAGATAAACAGTAGTGTGCCTTGTTAATCACGTTCATATTACATTTTAGACCACAAACTACAAAAACTCAGTTTTGGCAGCAACTTGGTCTGAATTGGGAAGGGTGGATGTGTGGAATATAACACAGCAATTACAAGCAGTTGATGAACCAACATTACTTGAGAGATACAATCTGGATACTGTGTCTAATCCAGTGAAACCATTATATTCATTCAATGGTCACCAACAAGAAGGGTTTGGCATGGACTGGTGTCCTACTGAGCCAGGAGTAAGTACCATTCATATTTTTTGTACTTACATTAATAGATAGTATTATCAATAAATTTTACCATTTTTTTTAAATTAATTTTTCTTCTTTCCAATCTTGGCAACATGTATTCATAAAAGAATGACCTTAAAGTTAAATAGTTTCAAAGTTAAAGGTTTATGTCACTTCTGCAAAAATATTAAAATTTATTATCTAAAGCGTTATAAGAAAAGAGAATGATTAATGAAAAAGACTTATTTTTTTATAAGGATCATGAAAAATAGTGACTTTGTGTTTGCATGTTTTGCACTGTAAATAATTGTTAAGAATTTTTTATGGGGAATACTTTTAGGTGTTAGCGACAGGTGATTGCAGAAGAGACATACATATATGGAAGCCAAATGAAGCTGGTACTTGGACAGTGGACCAAAGACCATTAGTCGGACATACAAGTTCTGTAGAAGATATCCAATGGTCACCAAACGAAAAGTATTTATATCAGCAGCCCTTATTATCATCTTTTTAATGAATATGTTAAATGTATGTGCTTTTTTCAGAAATGTCCTGGCTACTTGTTCAGTTGATAGAACTATCAGAATATGGGATACAAGAGCACCACCACACAAAGCGTGTATGCTGACAGCTGAAAATGCTCATGAGAGAGATATTAATGTTATATCTTGGAATAGAAAAGAACCATTTATAGCAAGTGGTAAGAATTTCATTATTCTTAAGAATCACTATCTTTAAAAATGTATATAAACAGATAATCTTTGCAGACATATATTACTTGTTAATTCCATAAATAAGATCACACAAGAGTGTAAATCATTTGTGTGGAAATAATTGATTTTACAATAGTCCCTCACAACCCTTGAGTCTTTGTGAAACAGTATATGTTCAATTAAAATAGAGTCTTTCTTATTGAAAACTTTCAATGCTATATTGTACTAGTAAATATTGAATGTAAATACTGTTTGAATTTAGTAATAACTAGCTTTTGCCGCGACTCCGTCCGCGTGGAATAGTGACTTACGGCAGATTTTTGGTTCTTCCCACATAGTTCCCGTTCTTGTGGGGTTTTCGGAATGGTCGAGTTCCCGTAGAATTTTCAGGATAAAACCTATGTTTTTTTTTTATTCACAATGAAGTACTCTTAACCAACAACATATTCATTTGTTTATTTGAATAAAGATTAATATTATTATGTTGATCCAACTTAAACAAATTATTTCGACCAAATTAGGTACCATAAAAACGGTTTTTGTGAGTTAATCTTAAAAGATACACATATACTGTTGCGGACTGTTTTTTAGATCATTAAAAGAGCTATTATTCTTTAATACATATTTTTTGTGTATCTTGAATCGTTTTCACGGCGCACGCAACGGAAGGCTTCAAAGATGAAATAATTTCTCCCGTTTTTTACACATTTACCACTATATCTTTGCTCCTATTGGTCGTAGCGTGACGTTATACAGCCTACAGCCTTCCTCGATAACTGGACTATCAAACACAAAAAGATTTATTCAATTCGAACCAGTAGTTTCGGAGATTAGCGCTTTCAAACAAACAAACAAACTCTTCAGCTTTATAATACTAGTATAGATAAGGTGTAGCAAAAAGGATAGTATGTATGTAATAAATGTATATCCATTTAGATAAGAAATACAAAAGTGAGTGAGAATAATTGGATCACTTTTCCATACTGAAACATGTTAACAATTTTTGATGAAATTTTACAGTTACATAACCCAAAAATCGTAATGAGTTTAAACAGTATTTTGCATAATCACATAACATCACTCTAGATATCACTCCTATTTTATTACTTTATTTATTGTATAACACATTTGAAAGTAATCTCAACAAGATCTATTCTAATGTTTATTCAAAAATACTGCATATCCTTAGTATGAAAACCAAAATTAATGAGACCATATTTTCAAAACTAGATTAATTCTCAATGCTATCTAACCATGTTACTAAGACTTTTGTTTCAAATTATAGGTGGCGATGATGGTTTTCTTCATATATGGGATCTCCGTCAATTCACTCGCAGTACACCTGTTGGTACTTTCAAACATCATACTGCGCCAATTACTTCAGTTGAATGGCACTGGACGGAGCCCAGTGTGCTTGCCTCAGCAGGAGAAGATAACCAAGTTGCCCTGTGGGACCTTGCTGTTGAAAGAGATGATGAAGAAGTAGTGGAAGAAGAACTAAAGGTATTGTATTTCTTATAATTTTTTATAAAAACATTATATTTTAGAAATATAATTTCATTTTTATTGATAAATCAATCATCAATTTATTGACAGATTTTCAGTTTTGTAAAGATTGAGTTAAAAGTGAAATATTTATTCCATCCTTTAGACCAGTGCCAATAGCTTTTAAAACATAATTAAATTATAATAGAATGAAACTCATTAGAAAAGGAGGGGAATTTTAAAAAAATAAAAGGAAAAATAATTTACGGGCGATCTGAGGTCGGGAAGGGTATGTGGATGGGTATTTAAGGGTAAAAAATGGATTTTCTCGATTTCTGGCAAAACTAAAAGTCCTACGAAAAAAAGTTATATGGCAAAGTTGTAGGTAATAAAAAGATCTAAAACTTGTATTTACAATATTTTCACATAACCTCCCAATTTATGTGAAAAATTCAAAAAACCTGGTAAAAAATTTGGTATGTTTTCTATTTGTTGAAATCGGAAAATAGTTTCCGATGGTGAAGATAAAAATATAAGTTTCTTATTTACAGTACAATTTTTGAATAAAATAATCATGTCTCTTTTAATAAAATGACACTCGACATCGTTTTGAAAATGCATTTTCTAATTTATTTTTAATAATTGTGTACTCTAGAAGTTCTTCAGATAGTCCCTCTTTTAGGTAATTTACATAAAATTGACATTAAGTTGCTAAAACTATTCAAAATAATTTGAAAGAGCATTTTCCAAACGATATCGAGTGTCATTTCATTAAAAGGGACATGATTATTTTATCCAAAAATATCGACTGCAAGTAAGAAACCTATATTTTTTTCTTCATCGAAAAATAGAGATTTTTAACGAACAGAAAACACACCAAATTTTTAAAAACGCTGATATTTTGACGGGTGATTTTTCGATTGAAAATGAGGCTGATTTTTCTGTATTTATTCAAAATAAGCTGACAAAATAAATATTTCTAATCAAATAAATTACAGTGCATTTGTGACATCAAAAGGAAAGTTTTCACCAAATTTTGTGACAAAACATTGTTTTTTAGAAGAGATAAAAATAAAAAAACAAAAACTAGTTTTTTTTTAATTTTTCACATAAATTTTGAGGTTACGTGAAAAAATTGTGAATACAAAAGTTTTAGATCTTTTTACTACCTACAACATTTCCATATATTTTTTTTCCGGTAGGACTTTTAGTTTTGCCGGAAATCAAGAAAACCCATTTTTTACCCTTAAATACCCACACCCGTACCCTTCCCGACCTCAGATCGCCCGTAAATTATTTTTCCTTTAATTTTTATAATATTCCCCTCCTTTTCATATGAGTTTCATTCTGCTATAATTTATTTTCACTTTTCATTAATTTTAAAGGCTTCTGCACTGGCCTACTTGGTTACAGGTTTTGTAATAAAAATGTCGGATAAATTGTAAAAATTATTTTATATCTGAAAAATTTAAGTTTATTGATTTTTAAATATTAAATTCAGTTTTATTGACTATTATCTCAATTTCCATAGATCATACTAGTTCATAAGTATAACTAAGTTAAGGAAGACAAAATTTGCTGTACATGGCATATTCTTATTTTAAATCGAATAAATTTAGTAGGTACATAGACGAAAAACAAACGATTTAAAATTGTTATTATATAAGTACATTTGTCTTTACAGAATTTACCACCACAATTGCTGTTTATTCATCAAGGACAAACAGATATTAAAGAACTTCATTGGCACAAGCAAATTCCTGGTGTCATAGTGACAACTGCACATACAGGATTCAATATATTTAAAACAATAAGTGTATAATAAAAGTTTATACAAAAAAATTATTAAGTTTAATTTCTGTACTGTTATTATATACTTGTTATACATGATTTAACGATTTTTAAGACATTTTAATGATTCTTTAGTCAACAGTTTGTACCATTCCCAGATTTATGAGATGTCGTATTGTTGGTCTTCCGTGAGGGCAATTCTGAAACATAAAATAAATAATATTACTAAAGATTAATTTACATGTTTATATGTATATTTTACGAAATACTTATTGTATATTCGAGTTTACTGTATTTGACTGTTACTTTTCACACTTTGAATACATCAAATAAATACGATGTACTATTTTAAAATTATTACGCTCTTGTGTCTCGCTTTTGTTTGGGCAATTGCTTATTTAATACATATAAACGCTTATTGTGAACTAAGAGTAAACGCAAAGTATTTTTATACACACCCAAGGCTTGTCTATTTCAGCCATGTGGTCAACTAGTTTTCTCATGTCTCCTTTACTGAGAGCTGTTCCAATCATAACAGACTTTCTGCACGCTCGGGATGCAAACATTGCTCTTACTCTGCTTGGCCTACAATATTCTGAGTGATTTTCCTGTCCAATAACAAATCTATTAGCAAAATCTTATTATATACACATTCGTAAGGGTAATTAAAAGTAATATATTACATATACAGGGTGACTGGTGAATTACTATCAATATTTAAGGAGAATACTCGGTACATGATTCTCATTCGAATTATGTAAAAAAAATAGGTACTTAATTTTTGACCAAATTTCCGTATAAATAAATAAAATGTGGACACGTTCCAAGCGTGGACGCGTGCGCTGCCGTGCTGATACAACACCACGCCCCCGCACGCGTGTGTGTGTGTGTGTGTATACCTAATCTGTAGGGTGTTCACACGATGCGTAATTAATTACATAACTATTGGTTAACCTTACTTTTTTTTTTATGTGAAAGGTGGCAAACGAGCAGACGGCCCACTTGATGGAAGGTGGTTACCGTCGCCCATTGACATCCGCAACAAAGATGTTGCGGATGCGTTGCCAACCGATGTTTTATAGGGATAGGGAGGGGTGGGAATAAGGATATTGTAGGAAAGGGTGGGAATAGGGAAAGGGCAACCGGCTCTCTCACTCATCGGACGAAACGCAGCCATTAAAGGCTACTTCACGCCGATCTTCTGTGAGAGGGTGGTACTTCCCCGGTCGAGCCAGCCCGTGTTCGAGCTGTAGTAACTAACCACAGCTAGGCTCTACCACCTAAAAAAGTTACTTAGAAGTTTATTAATATTTATGTTTATGTTACTTAGAAGTTTATTAATATTTATGTTATATTAATTTTTATTTTGTCATATATGATCGTCAAATATCACGTCCTCAAGTATCGATAGTAATTCACCAGTCACCCTGTATATGCATGCATTATTATTACCTTCAGCATAAATACGAGTTCTTCGATGTCTTCTTTTCCAAATATCCAATTTTTGGACATAGGAAGAGTCAAAAGTTTAACTCTTTTGGTAGGGGCAGCCATTTCATCTATTGCAAAAGTAAAACCATTCTTTTTAAAAATATCTACATTGTCCATTAATATTTGTTCGTTGACCCCAGTGAGTTCAAGTTGCTGTGGGCTATAAAATATAAGAGCATTATAACATAGAAATAAATGTTAAGATTTTAATAACATAAAACTAAAATTTTTGCTTTTTATATTATTAGCAATATTTGTGACCATTGTGTACACGTTGTTGTTTTATTAATTCCAATAAAGACTGTTAAATTATAATTTTGTTTGGCTTTACAATTAGAGAATAATATAAATTGATATTATTATGTATAAGGTGAAAATCATGAGAAACTGTACGACATTTAAATTTTTGATAGACAAAAACATTATCATGGAATTCATTACTTACATTACTAATTTTTGACTCGTAAGTTCTGTAGTTTTCTGTAAGGTTTCAAAGTTGTATATCTCATCTGTAGCATGTTGATCAATAATAAAAAGATCGTCATCAAGTCTAGTTATTATAAAGCCTAGATTAAACTGACCAATAATTTTCATTTTAGTAAAAGATTCTTTTTCTATTTCCTTACTCAATTCTTCTTCACATTTCTTATTAAATATTGGATCTATTTTAGTTTTAAATCTTATCCGGTCTGGTTTTGAGTTATCTTTATTTTGTTTGTATGTATCACATAGTTTTTTTATTTGTTCCAAAGATGTCTTTAATGTGACTTCCATTCTCACAGCTTTGCCTAACTGTTCTTTATCTGTAATAACTTTATTTACTTTTGGTTTTTTAGTTTCTATACTTTTAGTGTTACAGTAAATAGTATGTGATTCTTCAACAATGGTAGTATCTTTATTTTCCAAAGAATTATTAATATTTTTCTCATTAGCATTTTCCATACTTTCTACAATAGATACATTTAGTGTATTATGATCCTTACTTTCATCTAACATAGAATTTTCTTCTGTTTCCTCTTCAATTAAATTATCTTCTTCTTTTGTAACATGACTCTTTTTTATTTTAATGAAGTTATCCAAAACTGACGATGACTTTCTTTTTAATTCACACTTATCAGGATTGCTAGGCTCGTTAGGTTTAATAGAACTTGATTTGTTGCTAAATTGTTTGAGAAATGATTGAAATATCCTGGGCTGAGAAAGTTCAGGTTCAGTTTTTACCATAGAGACAATGGATGGAGCCTCGACTTTAACAGATCTAGGAATATCTTCAAACACTTTCAAAAGAGAGCTCTTAACAACATCTAAAATAGCTTTCTCCTTAGTCAAAAATACTTTCCTCTTATCAGGAGTTACATTCACATCAACTGAAGTTCTTTCAATATTAACATTTAAAAATACAAATGGATACTGATGTGGGTTGTATTGTCTGTATATTTCATTGATCAGTTTAATAATTTTCACCGGCTCACAAGGCCTGGAGTTTACATAGAAGAATTGTCTATCCGTACTTGATCTTCCACTACCATGAGCACATGAAGAGATAAATCCTGTGAGCTCAACAGGATTTGGTATATTTTTGTAACCTTGTGATCTTTGAGATGATGGTATTTGACTTGAATTATCATCAGTTTGGGCATCATTGGAATCCTCAGATAAATCAATTTCCACGTCTTCTATATTAACACTTTCTTCATTTACCATTGCTTCTCCTGATAGTCCTCGAAATATATTATCTTTAATATTGGAAACCATCTCAGTTTTAATATCTAGAATACTTTGTAATTGCTTCACTCCAAACACACTTGCAATATTATCCTTATATGAGTTAGAGCCTTGGGTTGCAACAACTAGTGACTTAGAATTTGAGTTTGTTTGATTACTACATGTAATTCTGAAATTTCAATATATGTATTTAAGACACATAATATTCAACATGAGCAAAATAAATAAATATATAGTTTTTCATTATGTTACTTACTTAACCCCTTTAGATATTAAACAATATGCATATAAAAGACTGGTCATTTTATTAAACTCCCTTTTTGCATTTTTATGAAACTCTTTTTGTCTTACTGGTAATGTGTAGAAAAGATTGGTTAAAGTCACCGTTGTACCAACTTGACGGGAACAGGGTGTTTTGCTTGATATGTGGCCTTTGTGATCATATTCAATTTTGGTAGCTAAAAATAATTTAAAGGAAATGTTCATAACAAAAATATGAAGTTTTAATACATTATATATAATCTTCCTAATACTGATGCTAGATAATTATTTAAGCATCTGTGTAAAATGTCTGTAAATGATGATATTTAACCAATAAGAGCTACTCACCATGTTTACTTGTTTCATGTCTGGTTGTAACTGTGAGGTTGGCTAAAGAGCATAGTGAACTTAAAGCCTCTCCCCTGAAGCCAAAGCTTGATACCCCAAGCAAATCCGAGTAATCATTTAATTTTGATGTATGGTATTTTAAGGCTAAAAAAGGTAATGTTAGTTTATTGAACAAAATAAAAAACGTATAGCACATAACAAGGATATACCAACTCAAAGCTTCAAAATTATCCTCAGTCACACCAGATCCATTATCTGAAACTTCTATTAAATCTGTGCCATAGTTTTTAAGTCTGACTTCAATATTAGTGGCCCCAGCGTCTAAAGAGTTTTCAACTAATTCCTTCACTGCTACTGCTAAACTAAGAACCACCTATAAATAATATTGGAAAATTAGCGAAGCGACAAAATAGAATTATAAACTTGAATGTAATTAATAATCACAATTTTTCATCTATTCTTGCCTACTACTAGTGAAATTAACGAATGCAGAATTATATAAAGTTTTATATTTACTTGATCAGAACATATTTTGTGAACAGCATCCTTGTTAATTGGTTTAATAGTATTGATTTGCTTGTTTTGTAAATTATTTTCTTCCATGATTTACCAATTTAACATACATCTATTTTAAATATAAAATCATATATAATAACAATAATTTAAGTTAGTGATAGAGAGTAAAATATTGATTTCAGGTTCCCGCCAGTTACTATATAGTTATGAAAATTATAAACATTCAATTGACAACGATATGACCACAGTTAAAAAATAAGTAACTGCATACCTATTTATATTTTCTTACTAATAGTAAAACTTTTATATTTTATGTTATACCATAATATCTAATAAATAATAATGATCAAAAAAAACACAACGTTAAAGAATAGAGGTTAAAATTATAATAATTAAATTTTTTTTCCTTTTTTACATTCGGAGTTTAAGCTAAGGGATAAAGTGGTTATACGATGTTTTTTCCCACCTCAACAGTATTTTATTTAAATTATGTATTTTTTATTACATCAAGAATATCATTAAAATTATGTAATCATCATTGTTCGGTATCTGTATTAATTGTCGCATAATTCAACTTGGTTTCTGTTAACAGTAGGGGCATTTCACGTGAAGCGGACAGGAAAAAAAAAGTGAGGTTCGGAAAATCGATCATATTGGGACCATTTGTACTTCTAGTAGGTATGAATGTAAACACAGAATATTTTTTTTGTATAATGTATATTTCACAAGTTATGGGTATCTAAAGAATTGTCATAATTGAAATATTGATTTTTATGAAGGTATTTTTTCGAATTAAATAATTTTACAATAAAGTATATATCATAGCGATATTTATCGGAAAAGTCTGTTCTTTTTAACAATAAAAAAAAATAAAAAAATAGGTTTTGTTTTCATGTCCAAAACCGGAAGTAAACTTTTCAAACTTGAATTTCATTCACTTCGACCATTTTTATTTTTTATTTTTTTCATTCAAAATATAGCTTAACATATATCAAAAATACCCTAAAAAAATTAAAATGGGATTTCTATTAGTTTAGGAGTTACATTGATATATGTCCACACGCGTCGCAATGGGCGCGATGTCTGACGCTAGCTTAGTTCGGCTGGTGTGCGTTAAACATCATGTCTTGTATAACTGGTGTGGTAGAATAATTATAACATCATAAAACATTATTGTAACAATGAAAGAACTAGTTTATTTTGTAATTTTTACTACTTTAAAATCTTTGCTAGAACTGGTCCTCTTCACAAGAACGCCATGGTAGTTGAAATAAAGCTGTGAAACTTTTTGGTTCCTGAAATCGTGACTGTAGATTCAAACCGAGGTTGCAAACAATTTCTCTAGCGTTCTATATCCTCTTTAGAACAGAAGTAAATGGCTGTTTGTTTTGAAGGTGATTTTGCCCCAACGTAGAATCGTATTGGTGTTACGATTGCTTTATTCGAAGATTACTGTAGACTCGCACGCGCAGCTAAACGTTTGAGATTCCCTCCTAGACCATCGCATGGCCCTTTACCGTGAGACGTTGCATGAAAATGCAACTCTGCATCTGCATTAAAATCTCGTTTGTAATGAAACAGATTCACAAAGTTGAATCTGTTTTTAAAATGTTGGGAAGCCCCGTCGGTTATGTATATTATTCTAGATACAACTATTGATTTTTCCAAAAGATGCTTGTGTAGTATCTTTTGGAAAGTTTAGAAGGTGACTGTATAATGTATCAAGTCGTCAGAGATCATAACGATGCTGCCGTGCTTTACTTCACTACCGTCTCTATAGTAAAAAACCAACGTTAGAAGTGTTGTTTGTTCGGTATTCCATTGAAAAGATGGAGCAGCATCTTGGACAACAAAACTATAATTTTCTGAAAAATCACATTCTACGACAATTTGTCCTCCATCGACAGTCTCCCTAAGAGTTTTAAATAAAGCGCCTTTCCTCTGCAATGTAAGAATGAGGTTTCAAAAGGTCCAAAACGTCGCATAACTCATCTACAAAATTAAAAATTACAAAATAAACTAGTTCTTTCATTGTTACAATAGTGTTTTATGATGTTATAATTATTCTACCACACCAGTTATACAAGACATGATGTTTAACGCACACCAGCCGAACTAAGCTAGCGTCAGACATCGCGCCCATTGCGACGCGTGTACACATATATCAATGTAACTCCTAAACTAATAGAAATCCCATTTTAATTTTTTTAGGGTATTTTTGATATATGTTAAGCTATATTTTGAATGAAAAAAATAAAAAATAAAAATGGTCGAAGTGAATGAAATTCAAGTTTGAAAAGTTTACTTCCGGTTTTGGACATGAAAACAAAACCTATTTTTTTATTTTTTTTTATTGTTAAAAAGAACAGACTTTTCCGATAAATATCGCTATGATATATAATTTATTGTAAAATTATTTAATTCGAAAAAATACCTTCATAAAAATCAATATTTCAATTATGACAATTCTTTAGATACCCATAACTTGTGAAATATACATTATACAAAAAAAATATTCTGTGTTTACATTCATACCTACTAGAAGTACAAATGGTCCCAATATGATCGATTTTCCGAACCTCACTTTTTTTTCCTGTCCGCTTCACGTGAAATGCCCCAGTAGTTAAAATTGACATTTGTCAATTGACAAACTTCGAGAGAGTACTTTTTACGTAGTTTTGTTATTGATTTGTCCTGTAAGAAGGAAAAGATTTTTGTCATATAAGTGTTTACAATGTCACTAAATACAGCTCATGCTGACCATGGAGTGCTTATTCACGCTGGAGAGTGGTAAATAAAGTTAATTAGTAATGTTCTCAGCCGAGACTTGGTATTTTCTAGTGTTTTATGAATAATTTTTCATGTATGGCAATGAGTCATCCTAGGGCTTATCAAATATTTATCCGTATTATAGAGCAAATAAACATTTAATCCTAAGAATTTAACTGAAATTAAATAATTCTACATCTTAGTAAATATTAAAATACATTCAATTTTGAGTAGTAACACCAACAATAATCAAAATTAATAAAAACATATTCAAGCTATTGTCTTTATGGATCATATTTATCTTTTGATATTATCTTGAAAGGATAGATGATCTCATGGGTTTTTGGTGAAAAAACACTTCATTTCCGTATCTTTCTATTTTTACCAAGTCTTTCAGAATAATCTTAGTCTAAAGAACTATATGTGACCCATATAAAAATATGTCTATTTTTTTACATACATACATAATCAATACTTAATCACATCTTTGATTTAGTAAGATTTTAGAAGTAGTTATTATTATAATTTTATGATAAATTAAACAAATGCTTTGAAAATGAAAAGTGAAACAATTTCAATTGTTATGCAATATTTCTACAATATGTGCTTTCTTTTTTCCAGTATCATTTTGTTTTCTGATAATGTACTGGTAGAATTTTATGGAAATGATACACCGGAATTCAAAGGATCCAAGCATGGTCGCATGTACCTTACAACACATCGTATGATCTACAACTCGAAGAACACATCTGATAATCTAAGATCATTCAGCTTTCCATTTATTGCTCTACAAGATGTGAGTAGCCTTGCCAAAATAAACCGAAATATTTTTATATACCTCACATATTTTGCATAGCTCAGTTTTATGTTTCCTAGTAGTATGTTTCCTATCATCTATGTATTATATACTTGTGAATAATATTATAAACTTGTGATTGTGCATATTGATTAAACTTCTGATTTCAATAAAACAAATTGAAAATTTTTGGAAAAGGCTACTATAATACTATGAACAATAGGAGTAGGGTTTTAATGAAAGATAGTGTAAAAAATTTAAATTAAACTGATTTTGGTAACTTTAATTGATTGCATTGCATATTAGTTTATAGTTTGCCAAAAAGACTACCACAGTAATATTAAATTCCTTTTTTTTTATTTTCCCATTAAGTGAATAAATTGCACAAAGACTACTTTCAACTGTCGTTTTGTAGAAAAATATATGTAGGAATGTATGAATTCAACTGGGGCTTAATTGTTTATAAATCCAATTAACATTTATAGGTCACTGTGGAACAGCCAATGTTTTCTGCAAATAGCATTAAAGGAAAAGTGCGTGCTCAACCAAATGGTAATTTCATTGGAGAAGTTAAATTTAAACTGACATTTAAATCTGGTGGCGCTATTGAATTTGGTCAAGCTATGCTAAAAGCTGCTCATCTCGGTGAGTACTTTATATATTTTATTCTACTCAATCATCTGTAGAAATTTCTATAAAATTTTCCTAATAATATTCCATCAATGACAAACTGAAATATTTTTGAAGCAATTCAATGCTCTACAAATAGTGTTATCTTACAAAGGAGTTATCATGTTTTATAATCGTGTGCATCATACTAAACACAGAAGTCACAACTATCTGTTGACAAAACAGTGTTTTCTAGAACAGACCTCACATTAAATTTATGAACATAATGCAATACTTAAACTGTTTTATTAAATTAATCAGATAACTCTGTTTAATATAAAATTTAATTAAGAAATTATAACAAGTTAATGATTAATAAATTTTTTGATTAAGTTTTCATTGAAATTACAGAACAAGCATTATTACTAACAAGCTTTAAATATTAGAATTAAATGTACTTATTTACACTCATGCCTTTCAGTTCTAATATGTATATTTAAATATCTGGTACTATTCCTAATAATTATTATCAACCAAATTGAAACATTTTTTAATTACTTTATATTACAATTTATTAACTACATATAATATAATCTTTTCGGCTTTAAATCATGAAATATTTTATTTCATACATTTACTGTGATAATATATTATAATTTTCCTTTGTCTATGTGCACAGTAAACAAAAAAAAAAGTTCTTTTTTATGTGTGCTGAAACAATAGTAATTATTTTAATGAGATCTAAGACTTTCGCGAGTATTCATTAAATAAAACTATTTTTTTCGGATAACTGCGCGTTTGTTTACATACTCTGGACGTTTTAGTAACTTTGCATAAATCCTGATCACTGGCAGACGAGATGAGAATATCTGACAGTCAAAAAACACGTAGTTAATAAGATTACAGACGTAGTTTAATTTGTATTTATAATTCTTTCATCAGCATCCCGTCACATGTCAGCGGACGCGCCCCCTCCGCCATACATGCCGCCGTCCGGTCCGTGGTACGCCGCTCCCCCTCCCGCATACGCACCCCCTCCACAAGGATATTACGGATGGGTACCGCCTTATGCAGTGAGTATTTTCTTTTATATGATAAATTCCAACTTTGTTCGATTTGTAAAAGACAATCAAAATCGCAAAATCATTAATTTTCTTGTGACATAAAGATGTCCATTAAAACCTTGTACACTTGTTTTAAAATATATATATTATTTTGTCAGCAATTATATTATTATACCTAGTTATTAAACATTTTTAAATATTTCTATATGAAAACTATAAGTATGTTTACATTATTAATCATTCTTTTATTTTAATAGGCTTTCCCAGATCAACCATCGCCAAACTCCGTTTTCGTTTCGAACAGTCCTCCTCCTTACCCTGGTGTAATGGGCGTGGCTTACCCTCCGGCGGGAGCAATATCCGGTGCGAACAGTCCTACAGGTGCGCAGGCCCATGGTTATCCAAACGCTCCCGGTTACCCGGGTAACAATCCCCCTGGTTACCCGGGTAACATGCCTCCCCCCGGTTACCCCGGGGGATTCGCGCCCACCTCGGGAATGTCGTCAAGTGGTAAGTGTATTGTAGTAACATAAAATTATTGACAATGTTATAAATTAAGATTGATTGATTTTATACAACTATATTAACTGAAATTGAATATGTAATTATTTTTTTTATATACATTGTCTAATTTTTTATTCTTAAAACATCATTAAAACCATTTGTTATTAAAATACTTAAAGGGTAAACGACATTCGTCTGCGGAATATTGACGCCATCTTGAAAGGCAAGATTTTGATTGGTTACATATTATATCATTAGCTTCATTATTGTAAATAATACGTATAGTTCTCATATTAATTGTTGATTTTATACGTAATTTAGTTCGTGTAGTAGTTGGATGTAATATTTTCAGATGCTAAGGCGGCTGAGGCAGCTCAAAGTGCTTACTATGATCCCAATAAACCACAAACAGCCTATGTCCCACCACCGTATGTGAGTATACTTAGAAAGTATAGGACTAGCAATTAACAGTATTATTATTTACTATGAGATTTCATTACCAAAGGTGATGGTACTAATTTCATAATATTATTTTTATTTCCCTCTCAATAATAATATTTATTATTAGGGCCCGGATAAATATGAATTAAAAAATCTAAAATATGTACATAAAATATGGACGAAAAAATAAAAAATATGGAGTATAAAATTAAATACTTTCATAATTAAACAATGTTTTACTATAAGAAAACGGACACTCGTGACGTATATTGTTAAGTTACATTTAAAAAACGATGAAAAAAAGTAGCGAAATATTTATTTCAACAAAAAATAACAGTTTTATTCAAATTCCATTAAACTAGACTTATCAATTTGGTTGCTATACACAATGACGTGTTTCTTTAAATTATCAAAATGAAAACTGACCATTTGGTCGACATATAGCATTACATCTGCTGATTGGTCTCATCTCAAGTCACGTGACGTGATGGATGCATACTTAAACATGTTAATTCAGTAATTGGTTAAACCAAGTCTACAGCCCTCGAAACTTTCGCACAAAATTTTGTTAATTTTTTTTAGCGTATTAAATCCTTTATTTTTTCCAAAACATTAGTGGCGGGGACGTAAATTTCATGTATTTTTGTGAATACATATATGGATGATTGTGACATTTTCTTGTAAAATATGGACTTAACTTTGAAATATGGAAAAATATGGAGAATAAAAGTTGGTTTTTCACAGTCTAAATATGACAATCCATGTAAAAAACACATTCTAGACCGAAAATCGCGTAAATAAAAAATATGTATTTACATATTAATCCGTCCCTATTTATTATATTAAATATTAAAGCTATAGTTCTACATTCTAATACAAAATCTTGCTTATATTTATCTATAAATTTCCAGGATCAACCGCCAACCTACCAGGAGTCTATGTCCAAGAAAGAAAACTGATGCATTGTCCACACTACCACATGAACCCAGATATTAAACACAGTTTATTCAAATGATATAAAGATTATATTCAAACAAAATATTTAATCATATAAAATTATGGTTATTTCTATCATTCAAGACAAATATTAAAATATAATATAATCAATATAAAATCCTTTTTGCAATATTCAATCATTCCTTTTGCTATAATAAATTTTATTTTGAAGGTATGGTATTTGCTTTTAGTTATTACAATACTTATCACTTATCACGGATGAAATTCAGAAAGAAATTAATTATAATAAGTAGGATGGAAAAGAAGTGTTTGGTGCATAAAAACTCACAGGCCTTAAAAACGATTAAATTAATTAGTCATTCATAAATTCATTGCATATAATTTTAGGGTGAGATCCTAGGAACTTTTGTGTACTACAGTATTGTGATATTAATAACTTATTAAAACAGTCGCCACAGATTTATGAGTTCATATAATTGTTTGGAAAAACTATTTGTTTTTAGAAAAGTGTGACCTCACCCTTACAAACCTGATAATAGCATTCATATTAACAAATAAAAGTTGTGTCTTGAATTAAGCTTTAAAATTAATTTCATGTTGAGGTTCCATTGAGTGCTTATACACAACAATTGTACATTTTTTAATAAATGTTTTTGTACCAGAATTATTATTATCTGTGATTTGTCATAGACTAAATAGCGTTGCTTTATGTTTAAAAAATATAATAGCCGTTTTACTAGAGAATTAGATGTTACTGCTATTTACCATCACTGTATTAAAACTTATACGTGCAAAATATAGAGAGTATAGTTATTTTATTACTTATTTATACAATAACATTATAAAGAATAAAGCTTATGAAATTGCAATATAAATTCTTGTTTTTGTTTAAATAAATTACACATTATTTAATGGATATTGTTTTATTTGTAATTCAAAAAACCCTCACACTAGTATTACCCCCCTACTCTTTCAGTAGTAAAACTATAGTATTTTAATTATGTATATAGGATTTTTTTTGGTTGATAATGTCTGGAAGAATAATTATATTAAATTAATGTATTTTATTACAATTTAAATCAGCACAAACATATATCTTTAGCTTTAGGAAATGTCAAGATATTGTCTTTCTGTACTTGACCAGAAAATTGTACAAAAGTAACAAAAGAAGTTGATGACCTCTGTCAGTATTGAAAAAAGAAGATCACTTTCTGTCAAATATGAAAATTTAATGTTTCAGTTGAAAATCATATCTATATTAAAAAAAATGTTTCAATAGACATGAAATAGATTTAGATACAAATTTTTGGTCTATTATTATGGGTAAGTTTTTACGTAATATATATTTCATATTTATACAAGTTTTATATAACAATTGACAGCTTTGTACAAAAGCCTAAAAGTGTAGAATTATAGTAATATGGAAGCCAGCTTAAAGATTGATAATATTTAATTCGTCTTATCAATGAATCCTTTAAATGTATATACAAAAGTTCAATCGCAGTTAAAATTTTATAAGGCAAAAAATTCTTTATGACATACAAAGATCTTGTATGAAACCACACATTGAACTTTTGTACAAAGTTGTAAATTATAAAAATAAAGTATTAATGGAAATTTTAGAAATTTGTATAAAAGAGAAAATAATATAAATGTATTTTTTCTTTTATCTTAGTGTAAAATTGAAGCGGCTGAGAAAACTAAGTAACAACCAGAAGAAAATAACATGAACAAGTACTGTAAGTATAACATCTGGTGTTAGGTTTATTACTGAGGGTTTTTGCGTTTTCCTTTTTTACTTTATTCGATATAAATCGGTCGCGATAGTAATCCTTACTTTGAAGATTGAATGCTTTATTATTTGACTCCCGGTAAGTTCTTTTAAAATAATATAATAATTATATGTTCTTAAGCTGGCTTCTTATATTAGTTTTCTTAAATTTTATAAAACTATATATGTATTTACATTTTAAACTTGAAGTCACTATCTTAAACTTAATTTTTCAGAGTAAAATAATTCAGAAATGGCCCCTGCAATACATCCACCGTGCACACCCACCGCTTCCTGTACACCAGTCAGGTGCCACCCTACGCCGCCTCCATGTAAAAATCCAGAAAAATGTTTGAAAAAAACAACTTCGAAAGGCTTAAGGCCTTGTCAAAGTGCCTTATCAATAATGTCAACAAGATCCAAGTCAAAGTGTGGCAGTTGCGGTAAATTTAAAACCAAAAATTCTGATGCGAGAAGTGTCAAATCAGTTGAAAAATTCCTAAAACGAAAGTCCAAAGAAGCAAAAATGCAGAAGAAGGATAGATTAACAGGAAGTAAAAGTTACGAAAATTATCTAAGAAAAAAAGGAAGTGCCAAGGAAAAGACGGATTGCTGTGCTGGCAAAGGTCACAGAGGACGTCTCAAGAGAGGGAAGAAATGTTGCGAAATTCTTTAGTTGACGGAAATCGAATCCCGAAACATTCGTAATTAAACCAAAAGGTGACGTTAGAAGATGACAATGAATATTTAACTTGGTCTGTCTCCATATTACATAAAACCTAAAGTACCTTAATGATGCTCCTTTCACACAAGGAAATGTTATACAAAATATTGTTCTTATTAAAACAATGAAATGTTATAATAATTAAACCCTGAAATAAAACCAATTTTAGTTTTAATTCAAACTTCATAACAATCAATTATAAGAGTAAAGGTAAATTTATTGAATTATCGTCTACTTTGCTCGAGTTTCGTATTCAAATATGAAAATATCAAACAGACGGTCCCTATAATATTAGTTTTCTTTTTCAGCTGTTTATTCAAATAAGAGTCTAAAGCCATGTGTTTCTGCACCGACATGCAGTGTGCACAAACATAGACCGAGACCTGCTCCTTGTCCAGATCCGGATAAGTGTTACAAAAAATGCATTAAAAGTAAACATAAGTGTCCAAGCGCTATGGATACCGTCAGCAGAATAGGTTCGCCTTGCGAATGTGCGAGAGTGCAATCCAAAGATTCCAGATCTAGTAATAAGTACACCAATAGGACCCATAAAAAACGACTTAAAAATGCATATAAAAAACGCTCTATGGAGTCTCGGTGGAGAAGGAAGAAGAAGTGTTGTACAATTTTATAAATCGATAATAATCATACGTAAACTTTTTAAAATTTAAAATGTTAATAGACCAAAAAATATCATCATACACTAAATGCCCAATAAAAACTGTACAAGTAATTGTCTTTTATTGAGAAATTAAATGATTGCCCTACAATCTATAGTTAAGTGTTTTGTTCTATTAAAACCAAAGTTCGCCAAAAACATAGGAGAACTGCTAAGAATAGTGATTTTCTGAAATATGTCCCAATGTGTCCATAAAGCTAGGTGATCATTATTGCATTAGGCCTAATTTTTTTTTCCATTTTCTCAATATCTTAGATTACATTCATTATGTATATGAAAGCAATTATTAAAAAAAGAATATTGAATTATGGATATTTTTGAAGGAGATTGTCCACAATATAGTCAACAGAATTTACACTTCTCTTATTAGGTACCAAAAGAAAACATCACGTCAGGACTAAGAAATTTTTTAAACTAAATTTCTTTTTGTAGCTTTGTAAAGCTGAAATAGTTTTAAAATCTTATTTTATATAAAACAAGTAACTATGATATTCTCTTTTTTGGGTTCAAGGATCTTTTGTTTAAACATATGAGTAAGAACGACTGTACGAATATTCTAGTTTGTTGACATAAAGCACACTGACTGCAGTTTGATATTATATACTAAGACGTTAGAAATGTATGTCCTCGGACCAGATATAGAAATTTGTTAACGAAGTTCCCTGACATGTCGAATCGACTGAGATGTCTGACAAACGGCACATATTACTAAAATGTAATCAACAGATACATATATGCATTAAAAAAACAAAAAAAAATTAAGGAGAGTATCAGCTGTGTTTGAGAGAATTTATAATTATCGGTACGTTTTCATTATAAATTAAATCATTTGCAATTTGAACTCTCCTAACTTCAAAAATTAAATATTTTTTAGGTACATCTAATCATACTATTGTTTTAAAGATATATGTTAAAATTGTAATGTCCGTAAGTCATGAATCATCATAACAGCAAAAATTTAAAATAATATTAACTATCAATTTTAGAGCACCTGCTGGCAACTAAATTAAAGATCAAATTTCTTCAGTATACACTTATTTTAATTAGGAAATGCTTTAATGTAATAATAAAATGACAATTTTGGTTTCCATGTGTTGTAAGTCGCATTACAGCCGTCCAACTAGAAGAGATGAATTGGAAAAAGCCTGCAAAACAGTTAAGGCCAAAGATGCATCGCCAATGTAAGAATTAACTAAACGTAAAACTACAGGATTTTTGCTAAAACTACTAACTTTGTGACTTACTTATTAGTTTTTTTTTATATATTCTAAATAGGAACAATAATATATAAACATTCGATTACTTACAATCCTCTTTAACTGTACTTATAAATATTAAATATATTCCGAAATGTGCCCCGAAAAAGATTCCCAATTAATTGTAAAAATTATATATTTAATCTGTTATGTTGTGGATTTAACATTTACGTTATCTGTGAGCTTCTAATATCAGCACTAAGCGCTCAGCAGTCAAGACATTAAATGTGTGAAACTAGCTTTAGAAATTTACAATAAATTGTGTAGCAATGGCTCGTAGCTGCAAGGTTTGCAGGGAGATAAAATTTTGAAAAATAAATACAGCAACACGACGAAATATTTTATACATATTATAAGTAAATCTACTATTGATTTAGGTCTTAATAAATTGAGTAACCGCTTTACTAGCAATGTACATTTCTAAAGCATCTATGCCAAAGTACAAGTTAGCTGGCCCGAATTATTGACGTTTTGCGAGTGTACAGGAGCAGGCTTCTGCTGTTTGTATCGGTCTGTTTTGTGGGTGTGCGACGTCGCGGGTGTTCAGTTTAATTATAACATCAATTAAAAATATACATAGGATTGTGTGAAGTGTAATAAACTGTAAAGAATTGTGTATTTATTATGTGATTCAAATTAGCACTGATGTGGCAAACCGGATCGGATCTTTCTAAGGCGGTGAAAACGTGACTTCGATTTAAGGTCAGTATCAAGATTTCTTTAAAAATCTTTAATAATTATTATTTCTTAAAGTATGCAATTATTTTTTTCCCATATATAAAGCCATCAACATAAATATTTCTGATTTTTAAGGGTAATTTAATGTGATAACATATTTCATTTTAAAAATTATATTATTTCTTCTAATGTTTTAAACTGAAAAAGAAGGTAAATTGTTCCGAAATAACTTTTCACTCATGAAAGTTATTTAAGTAAAGACTTAAAATAATTATTATTATTATAGTTTTTATGAATTTTTATTACAAATATATATATCAGCTTTAAATTGTGTTCTCTTTTAAATTTAACTCTCAACAAACATTACTTGCTTAAATATAAATTAAAATTTCTGAAATATTAATAAATACCAAAGTTATCACTAACACTAAAAATTACAATTTATTTAGTAAATTTTTTACTAATTTAAAATTTAGTAATAGTAGTAATAATGTTTTCTCTATTATAGTATTGTTTTTAAAAATGTCAAGGTACATTTATATTGTAAACTTCCCAGAACATAATATATATGAGAGAAAATCTTCACATTTCCTTTGCATATAAATGTAAAAATCGTTAAAATGTTAAATGTAACACTGTCAGTATGCAAACAATATAAATGAAATCTATATTTAACTTTTTAACACACATGAAGTTTTTTTCCTTATTATCTATATGGCTTCATATACATCACAATATATTGTATTCTTATTACAAACATTTATAATTTTTATTCCATATTTGCATTAATAATATCTTATGTTACTAGTAAAATATGAAAAACTGTGTCAAAATTACCAATAAGTATGAACGATGTAGTCTTTGTTGTATCAAGAGTGGAACGAGATATCGTGTCCAAGAGGCAAGAAGCCCACACTTGTTATACCCCTAATGAGTACCTCTTTATGATACTTAATAGACAAACTGTTTCCTAAGCAATAATAAAAAGAATATAATTATTTACACAACATGGTTTTAGTATTATTTTGTTAAAAGGCCAATATAAATTATATGAGTGATTATGTTGCATATAAAATGAAGTAATTTGAACAGGAAATCAGTAGTGCATTAATATATTATATTCAATAAAATAATTATATATAAATTTATGTTAATTTTTGTATTTTGTTGCTATTGTATGATATATATTTTTAATAATTTATATTGGAATATCTTGCTTTTTTTCTCAAGCAAAAAATCATACATATTAACAAAATACTAAATATTTATTTCCTTTTTAAATAATCATTCAATTTTAGGTATTTTTTATGAATTATATACTTAACCCTAGTTTTTTTTTCTGTTTTTTTTCTTTTCTAAGTCCTTAAATGTTTATCCAAATGATATATTTAAGGACCAGTCAACATTGTATAGTTATTGAAGACAATATCAACATGCATGATTGATTTCCAATAAAACATATCCTTGCAAATAGAAATATTTCAAACTCAACAGTAAATAAATTTATTGATTTACAGTTCATTTATCATAAACATTATAATTGTGATATAGTTAAATATATTGATTGGAATAAAATAATTTTTGTGACATATTACCAAAATAATGAAAAAAAAACTTATATGTATATGTATATTTGAAACTGAATATATTGGTATAATGTTACGAATTATGTTAGAATTTTGTCAATGTAGAAACTGGATATCGTAAAAAATATCGATTGTCGAAGGTCGTCGTTGCGGAAGTGAAGTGCGGTTGCAGCAGCAGTAACCTGAGCCGTGTTTCAGATGGGTGGGCGCGCGCGGCGTGCTGACAGCCGCCCGGCTTACGGTGACATGCGTTGCGCGACGCTAGCACCATACAACTTTACGTTTGTAATGTACGTATCAATGGTTTGTTTATCATAATAATATTGAGGAGTGGGGGGAGGGGTCATATACCTTAATTAAAACAAATAACTTACTTTTTCATTGTAATATTTTATTATAACTTGTATCATATACGTAATATGAAATAATAAAGGTTTAGATATACATATAAGTAATTTTTTTCTACGGTGGCGCCGGTGTATTATTGACGCATTCTTGGGGCCATTCGTCTCTTTCTATGGGGTAACCGTCGGAGTCTACACAGTAAGGAACCTCCCCAGCGTTCTGGAACGAACGGTAGTTGCCGTTCGGTAAACAAACTTCGGACACTGTCATGCCTTTTTCTGGGAAGTATATCGTTGTATCGCGAGCGCAATCTGTAGACAAAAATAAAACAAAATAAAAAATTACTTATACCTTACATACTGTATATACGGGATATATTACGAAAGCCAATTACTACGTAGTGTCAATAAAATAACAGTACATTCGATCAATGAAGTAATTATCGATTTTTAATCGCTTTGTGTTTGGTTGCGATTATTCCACTTATCGATTACACATCAGATCCAACTTTTATCAAAGCTAGGTGTTTTATCTCATATTTTTCTTAGCCTTATCAGTGATAGTCAATGTAAAGTATTTCTAGGAACAGGTTGCACAGTTATGTTATGGCATGAGAGCCAGTCGCGGTTCCAGCATACCAGAAGTCAGATAGTTGAATGGAGTGTTACAACAGGTCGGTAAGAGGGTCACGGTCGCAAACCGGTCGTCGCAATGCGTGCTCACTAACGGTACTACAGTCTACAATACGGTCCAATGTATTCTAACTTATTAGCATACTTAAATACCGAACTTATCTTAATCAGTAGGTAGGTACCTAGCGTTTGTATTAATCGAATATTTTTAACATTACTAATTCCTCAGTGAAGGACATTGGTTCACTAGTTGCTGTTATTTGCACATTGACAGTTTATAATCAAACAAATCATAGTTGCAACGTAAATTATTTTTGTGTAAGGAATTTTTAAAAATTATGACTTTTTTAGAATTTCTTTGTTTTTATGGATTCAGATTAAATAAATTTTTGTTTATGTACGTTTGAATTTATCAAAAAGATTATATAGAATGCAATACATATATAATTATGGATGATAATCTTACTGCAATTCATTTCACCCATTGAGCTGGACACCACTTGCCACGAACCCAGGATTTTTCCGTCTCGTCCGGTGCAGTAAGCACTGAAACACATGATCAAGTTATTCGTGTTCAACGTAATGATTATTTCAATATATAGTTTTTGCAATATTACATTCCATTTTGTATCTGATATGGTCCATAGCTTCCGTCGTAATCACAGAAGGTAGTTGGATTTCCTAAGAAATTTGTTCCGTGTTCAGCTTGCTCCTTTGCAATAGCGGCAAGGGCGTTTACAATACTTTCGCATCTTCTCAAATAGTTTTCTCCAATCAAACCAGCGCTGTCTAATGAAAAAAACTCTTTTAAATTTCAATTGAATATTGGTTATAAATAACTTAAATAAATCTTACATGGGAGACCTTTCATTGTCTCTCCCCTCGTCACTGCCGCTTCAGTGAATGTGGACGTTCTATTTTAAGAAATCATTTTGTTTAACCGATATCATTACGTTACAGAATTATAAAAATATACATTTGAATATAGAATACATTTCGATTCCTTTTAAAATGTAAGAATAGGAGTAAGAAATATAGACAAAAAGAATTGATACGGTTAAGGAATATTGACTAAGAAATGGATCATAATTACGACAGGGTAATATCGTCATGTCTTCTTGTTGTAGTGGGTATCATTACGTTACAGACTTATGAAAATATACATTTGAATTAAGAATACATTTCGATTCCCTTTAATATGTAAGAATAGAAGTAAGAATTGATACGGTTAAGGGAATATTGATTAAGAAATGGATCATAATTACGACAGGGTAAATAGTCATATCTTCTTGTGGTAGTGGGTATCATTACGTTACAGACTTATGAAAATATACATTTGAATATAGAATACATTTCGATTCCCTTTAATATGTAAGAATAGAAGCAAGAATTGATACGGTTAAGGGAATATTGATTAAGAAATGGATCATAATTACGACAGGGTAATATCGTCATATCTTCTTGTGGTAGGGGGGGTGCTGTCGGTTGCCCTGTAGATGGATCAGCACACCAGCACATGCCGTTGTCACACTGTAGACGCTCATAGTCACCGTTGGTTGCGCAGTGTAAAGTTGATATACGTTTTTCGGTATTTTCTATCTCATTCCTCCTGCGACTGCACGCTGGAAGTAACAATATATTTATACCTCGTTTAATATATAATACATATACAACCTCTGTGATTGCTATGACCGGTTTAGTTTGACATAAAACATCGTCGCATTGATTCCATTTTGGTTTATGACAAATTGCTTAAACATTTTTTTTTTGATAACGAATAAATTTATAAATATAATTCCATTTTAAATTATGTATGAAATATAAAAAAAATATTGAAGGATATTTTTTTTTGCAATTATGGTGTAATTACAAATTTTTGTCAAATCTATGTGATGTGTGTTCAGTTGTTAGTTTAACCTACAATAGATTCGACCATGGTTTTTCCGGCTATTAAAATGCATAACACTCAGGTAAATATGATATATTATTCAACTTACCACATTTCATATCTTGCGCCTCACTCCTCCACATTTGTCCAAATATTCTGTTTCCCTTTGCGTCGGAACAGAAGCATCTGTTTTTAAACAATACAAAGTTAGTGCAGACATAGTTCTTGTTTACGTGGAATATTTTAAAATCAATATTCATATAAATTTTATTAAGTATATATATTTTTCTATGAAGCTGTCTTTGTATGTAGTTACGTAAAAATTATTTCTTTCTTAATCAATGAAGCGTATTACTTTTTATACTATAAGTTGATTAGGCAAAAGAATAAATACCTTCCGGTAAATGTATCACCTTTGCATTGCACTGGTGCGTATTCACCATTTTCTAAACAATTAGACGGTGGTCTGCATACTTCCGACGGAATAACATCTGGGTAATATATTTTATAGTATTACTACATATAACATTCACAAAACTTAACAATTAATATTAAACTCAGCGGCGTGAAAACAGTCGAAATAATATGATTACGTAAGTATTATAATGAGCAAGAATCATAACAATGAAAATGACTGTTCAGCGGAAAAAAAATTACGTTACTAACAATGAAGTTTCACCAAACAAATACTACATTAGCATGAGCTTTCTCCTTTTTTGTAGTATAATGTTATTCTCACCGATATCATCTTCGTCATCTTCGTCATCTTCTTCAGGCACTACGCAGCTGGGGCAGCATCCGTAGATCCAGGTGTTGCGAACCAAAACAGTACCACCACCACAATCACTCTGCGACAAATCAGTTATACACGCCTGAGCAATTTCACATTTAGAGGCGTCCGTTAATCCATTTATTTTTAAATATAAAAACAATGATATTATAAAAATATTCATTTTTTTATAACGCATAAAAGCCGATGGACTCAAACGTACTGTAATTATAACTAATATTAATTACTTATCGATCGATTGTTATCAATGTTATCGCCAATATATTATGATTTCAAGGAAATTATTAGCAATCCATATGTACTCATTGCTAATAAATGTTATATATATTTTTTCAATAATAACTTTCTAAGTAATTTCTTCTATAATGACGTAATATTTTAGTTATTAATTTCTTATGATCAAAGTGTTATTCATATGAACATACATTATGTATATTTCATATTAAAATAGTTTTTCATATCTTGTTCTTTGATATACAATGATAACCGTTAGTGGTTGTAATGTGTGTAGGTTATTATCAGCGTTATCGCTATCTCAATTTAAATTACAGGACAAACGAAACATCTTAGACGTAAGCAGTCTCGTTGCCCTCTAGCTTCGATGCTAGCGCCGCATTCACCTGCGAGGCTACCTCCTTATCTCGTACTATCAGTTTTAACATTTGAAAACGCGACCCATATTTTATATTTGTATTTACGTGTCGTGAAGTTATTTCTAGTTTATTCACAGTGGATATATCCTTTACAGGTTATATTGAAGCGGCCGTACCCGGCTAGTATGGAGGAGTGCAAGAAAAGAGCACAAGGCACGAAAGTTTCTAAGATAGCGAATATTTTTCAAGGAATGCCTTCAAGGGACGACGAAGACATGCGTGGAAGTGATGTGACAGTTGTGCGAACTGAAAGCCATTTGGCCAGATTTAATAATGCTAGGGCTCTGTTTGAAAAATTAGGTGAAGAAAATCGTAATTTTCGTATTGAGAAGTCTCCATCCGCGGCCGCCAGTTTTGCCGGTACTCGCGGTGTCCTGCCGGTGGTTCCATCTCGTTCACGTTCAAGTTCCGCGGGATCTGTCAGCCCTACGCGGAACACGGCGACTGGACATGTGAGTTTGGGTTCCACGGTTGTCAACGGTGACCGACTTTCTAATGGTGCTGGTCAACAGCCTCCCCCCAAGCCAATTAAACCTAGTGTTCTTCCAAAGCCAGAGAAACCAGACAGAAGATTTAATAAAGAACTCATAGAAAAACAAAGAAATTGGACGGCACACTTCAATAAACAGCGGCCGAGTAGACATGATCAAGATCAGAGGATAGAAAATAGATCAACTGCTTTCCAAGACAGAAGATCCCCTGAAGTGGCGGACAGACATGTGGTTCCGTCACGAGTTTACTCGCCTCCTCTGTCACCAGGGGCCGGTGATACACATATAGAACGTCCAAGTACTCTTCCTTCTGCTTTAGTTAGTCGAGGTATACATGTTGCGAAATCACCTAGTCCTAATAAAAATATTGCTCCTGTATTACCTTCACCTAGATCTAGTAATGTAGTATCACCCACACACAGAACGGATGTCCTCATTTCACCCTCAGTTAAACGAGATGATCTTATCTCTCCAGTCAGACATAGTGCGCAAAAAAGTGATGCCTTAGAAAAACCTCAAGTTTATTACGGCAGAGGATCCGTTTCACCTGATACAAAAAAAAGTATTATAGAAAAAGATGAATTAAAAATAGAAGCAAGTTCGAAATCTGTAACGCCGACAGAGAACTTTATCCCTACAGAAACTCCTTCGATACCTTCTATTGTCGATGATAATTTAAGTTTCATATACAACAAACCGTTACCATCCCCACCAATTTGCGCACCGAGATCTCCGCCACCGCCTATACCGGAGACGAAGCCCATCGTTTCGGGTTCGTTGGAATCAGTTACTGAAGTTAACGAGATAACCTCGTGTATATCAAAAGTGAATATTTCAAACGATGATGTTGATTTCGTTAATGATATCATAAAGGAATCGCGAGTCATTTCGTCTATAGCACCAGCTGATAATGAAAATGAAGCGAATGTATCGGAAGCGTCTGTCATACAAACGCCGGACGTGGATGTTGTTCCTAGATCACCTCTGAAGAGCCAAGATGATGATTATGAGACTGTGAACTATAGTGATTGGGATGACAAGAGTAAACGGAAATCATTAACTTGTGATACAAACAGTGCAGTTCTTGAGGAAGAAGCCCCGAAGTCGCTCGAACCTGAATTGGCTTCACCGGGACGTGACCCTGAGTTTTCACCGTCTCCCGCACCAACCCCTGCTCATGGTATGTATTTTGTCTGCTACATTCATTTAAAAGTACTTTATTATTCACAAATTGTTACTTATCGTTTTATCACTGCTAACAAATTAGACTTGCGGATTAAATTCTAAATTTATTGCGGCTTTATAATGCGGTAATATGTATAGTATTATTTTTATAACGTAATAGACATTGTTGCTATTTACTTTTCATTTCATACATAGATATATTATCTAAAGAATTAATTATTAAAAAAAAATTACACTCGTACATTTTATATCGTATCAAAGCGACCGGGCGAGGACGCGTTCTCTGTTAAAAACTCAATTGGCTTTAATATGCATCCATTTAATGTTTGTTGATTTAATAGCCCTCGTTTAAAATTCTTTATCATCTTTCTCTGTTAACTATATATAGATTGTTAGCGTATCTGAATAGCTAGACGTAAATTATCCTTAGATGATTATGTCGGTGTAAGTGGGCGTCGATTGACGTACGTTTGGCGGTCTCGTGCTGGCTGGGTTCAATGTAATATTGAGGAAGTCAAGGTATTTGAGTCGTTGCGAGACTTGCGAGTCGTTCCCGATTTAGATGCTCCGGCGCCGCCTCCTCAGCGACGACGCAGTAACCCGACCGACGCCGTCCCATAATCTCGCCTTTTAATAATAACTATTGTAACAAATTATTTAATACACACCGACGAACAGCTAGTGTAACACATGTGATGTTTGTGTAGTGTTTGTGCAAAATGACTTAATATATAAATGTTCTATTGACATTCGATTCGTTTTTAAATTTGAAGAAAAAATATACATTGCTTTTTTTACGTACCAGAAAATTATCAAGTCATTGTTTTGGTCGACGGTTACTTTTGTAATTTTTTATTAGCAACGAAAAAATCGAGATTTTCTGATTAGTTTTATATATAATCCAAAGTGATGCAAACAGGCCAACGATACTAAAAACATAGAAATACTTTCTCTTATTTAAGTATCTATGAAAAATGCTTCAATTTTGTAGAAAAGAATGAAATAAGAAAATAGTAAAATAGATTCTTAAGAACTCGGTTGATTGAATGAGAGACAATTAATGCGTTCAGAGTTCAGACGAGAGCTAGGTCGTGTTCAGTTGAGAGTTAGTGTGAGTGTTGGGGCCGCGGGTAGTGAGGGGAGGTTATGGAGTGGAGATGAGGGCCGGTGCAAGTGTGGACACCAGCCCTCGAAGAACATGCGTCTTTGTGGATGCTGTATCGGTTAGTTGTTACAAATATTACATTCAATGACACACCCAACATAAATTCTACAATACATTTAGTTTCGTACCCTTTCTTATAAGCTAACGTATCCGGTAATTAACGAAGTCGTTGTATTTAAGGAGATCTTATTATATATATGTATCCTGTGTACAAAACATTTAGTTTCCAATCATTTCTTTTATGTTTTCGTGTCCGCTAAATAACCAAGTCGTTCTTTAACGAGATCTTGTTATATATATCTTGATTGGTAGTTAATTTTATGATGTATTCAGTAATAATACGGCCTCGCTCGCATCATATATAGGTAAAGTCGATAAACATAACCGGTGTTGGAATAATAGCGTCTTATGAATGAACATTGTCCTATATAAAGGACGAGCGTTCGCTTTATCAAACCCAATAGTTGGCACGTTTGCCATTCGGTTGAGTGAACCCTCTTCACTACACTGTTTATTTCAATACAATATTGCTTTCGTAATGTTTGTATCGTCTTGTTTTATATTACATTATATTTATAGATTATTTTTTGTTATAACTGCATATATTAAATACAATTTGTTTGTTTTTTTAAGTAGGTCATTGATATATAACTCTGTTTGCTTGCTTAGTCCAAGTTTTCATCTTAACACCTAATACTAAGCGTTTCCCGTTTCTCATTCAATAATGTACATTATTCTTATTACTATAATGTGTGAATATTTAGGAGTGTGAAACTGTTAACGTTTCTTTTATAGCGTGACGATGCCGGCTTGGACTACATTTTAAATTACGCTTGGTAATATTTTCTTATACGAACTATTTAGAGATTATAGACATTTTTTTCATCGTTATCTATTTATATTTATAAACAGTTTCACAATGTAGTGATCAGGATACTATTTTCCCATGACAGATCCCTACTAATATTATAAATGCGAAAGTAACTCTGTCTGCTGTCTGTCTGTTACGTTTTCACGCCAAAACCACTGAACTGATTTTGATGAAATTTGGTACAGAGATAGAGTGGACCATGAGAAAGAACATAGGATAGTTTTTATCCCAGACTTTTGAAAAGTTCTCTTGGAATCGCGATATAACCGAACTCCACGCGGGAGAAGCTGCGGGCGGAAAGCTAGTTAAATTATATTATTCTATCGTATCTTCAGCATTAATTTGACCTGCCTATAGTTATCGTAATGATGTAAGCGATGATATAATTTAGGTTTTTTAAGTTGAACATACTACAACCTATATTGCCAGAAAAGTGTAAAACTTCCTTTGTAATTGTAAGGAAAAAAAGATGTTTAAACTCTAAGAGCGACTCCCACCAGTTCCTTAACAATGAATCATTTGTAATCAAAAGTTTTTCATCTCAAAATATAATTTGAAAAATAAAAAATAAAAATTGAACGATACAATAATTAACAAAAGCTTTAATTTCATTCCAAATTAAATTAATGTTATACATTTTTTTATTTAACATTAGAATCTACTTTTTATTATTGGAATAGAAAAAAAATGCCTGTTTATAATTTCGTCTACGTATTTACAAATTATGTAATATTTCTTTTTTAACACAGAATTTGTTCCACAACCTTTAGAATGCTTACAAAATTCTTATTATAATAAATGAATATATTGACTAACGTTGATGGTTGAAAAAAATTTAATTAAGTGGTAATATAATCATCTTTCTTTCAAATCTCCACTAAGTATAGTAAATAATTCAGAAAATTATGCATTTTATATTGTATAGGATGGATTTAACCGAGTGCTATTAATGAAAATTAAAAAAAATTGTTCAGTCATTTAAAAACCATATCATGGGCATGCAAACCTGTAATTAGTGGAGGCTTTTCTGTTTTTTAATGAAGTAATATACGGGAAAATTACATTTATGACTTTATAAATGTTAAATGTTTGATGACGTGTGCCGCACATTCATTATATCGCATTGCGTTGAAGTCGTGTGAAAATCGATTAAAGAAGTAGAAAAATATGAATTAATGAATATATAAAGACTACGAGTCTCGTATGTATCTCCAATAAATTTCGGGAATGTCGATCGAAATGCCTTTCTCAATAATATGAGAAATAAAATTTACATATATTAATCTCTATTGTTTTGAAGTAATACATATTATAATAATATACAGGGTGCCTGGTGAATTACTATCAATATTTAAGGAGCATACTCGGTACATGATTCTCATTCGAATTATGTAAAAAAAATAGGTACTTAATTTTTGACAAAATTTCCGTATAAATAAATAAAGTGTGTACACGTTCCAAGTGTTCCAAGTGTGAACGCGCGCGGCGGCGTGCTGATACAACACCACGCCGCCGCGCGCATATGTGTGAGTGTGTGTGTATACCTAATCTGTAGGGTGTTCATACGATGCGTAATTAATTACATAACTTTTGGTTAACTTTACTTAGAAGTTTATTAATATTTATGTTATATTAATTTTTATTTTGTCATATATGATCGTCAAATATCACGTCCTTAAATATCAATAGTAATTCACCAGTCACCCTGTATATGCCATAATTAATAAAAAAAATCTATTGTTTATTTTTTCTTTGTAATATCGTAAATTTGTATCAAATTATACATAAAGATACATCTAGATATGACTGAATAAAAACCGTGGGAAGTGGACACGTCCTCATCAAATACGAGAATCATCGCCCGTTTAGGAAAGTTGACTTTAAAATGATACATCAGTTTACAAAGATCACAGAAATGTACGAATTTATAAGAAATAAAATGCGTTGTAAATATACTCGTCTTTATAAAAGATGTTATTCGTTTAATGAATCTTACGTACAATTTTGCATGAAATAAAAAGGTATTATATTGATATAGGTTTTAATGTACATATCTATAAAATTTTAAAGAATTCTATCAAAGAGAAATTTTGTTTTTTTAATTCAAACTCGTTTTATGCTCTCCTTAATAACGTCGTAGATTCAAAAATCTTGCATAGATTTTGTTAGAAAATGTTAATAAGACGTAAAATATTTTTGTATAGTAAAGAAGTCGGGAAATATTAAGTATTAACAAAATCTTAAGCCCTAGAATTTACTTAACTCCAATATTTTCAATATAAAATAAATCTTAGAACTATATTATAAGTAAGGCAGTAAAGCGATGTATTTTATCTACTTATAAAATTTTGCACATCTATCACTAGCCGTCTAAAAAAACACCAACTACCAAAGTGATGTAAACCAGACAAAGCCAAACACATCTTAATGTCAATTTGATCGCCTTAAGTGAGTCGTCGTTTGTAGTTTTAGAAATTTTCATACAAAATTTATTTCGTTTGTATAAATGAGACATATATTCCTGTTTTTTTAATTATTCCATTAACCGGACTTGCAAATATTTTTGATAATAAAAATACCTATTCAAAATAATTCCTATCACTCGTAAGTATAGTCTTAAATGTACTCTCATCAGTGGTCATTATTTAATATATTACTATTAAATAAACAAGTAGATAATTCTCAATTCATTCGATAGATTTTTTCGCGAATTTTTTTTCGACTTTCATTATAATCGTCACATCGTCACACATTGTCAAATTAAATTAAATTTCACATATATAATATAATTATTTGTATTGTAGGTATGTATGTATGTATGTATGTATGTATGTGTGTGTATGTATAATTTTCTTTAAGCATATTATGTACCAGTATCTGTAAACAAGTACGGGAGAGCTGGGTTGTTGGTGTTAAAATTAACATTATTAACCTATTTCCATTGGTCTCGTTCGAGCTCTTCGACTATACAAATATCAGGTTCTACAAAACGTGATTTATATTATGACTAACTTTATTGTTGTGAAACTTTATACAACCGTATATAATATAGAAATAGGTTAATGAAAATCTGTTAAGCATTGAGAAAGAACAATTAATGTACCTAATTGAGACTGTTTGGTTATATATTTTATAATAATGATTACCTACTAGAGACTTTCGCGGAATAGTTATTCGTTAATATTTAGGTATTTAGGCAATATAAAATCCCAGAGGATATTTGTACGTCAACGTACCAGAAATACTCATATATACGCGAATTTAAATTTTAAAATCGCGTTGTGCTAACGAACCCACTAAGAATATGTTCGTTGTAAATTTGTACGCTGTAGAAGTAGGAGCGAGTAGTTTAACAGCTAAATCTCTCTACAACCTACTAAAAGACTTAGGCCTGTCAAGAACTAACGTTAGTTCATTATTGGAACATGCGTAGAAGGTAGCGCTAGTAGGTCCTTTTCAAATTTGGTTAGGTAGAGAGAGGAACTTGGACAGTAGAGGAGAACGTTTCACGCACGTTAGATAGGGCCCCGGTAAACCTAGACCTTGGTTGCTAGCCTCAGGCACTGTTGAAGTTCCTCTCTCTGCAACGCGATGGAACCGTCACCTGCACGGTTAATCTATTAAATACCATAAAAAAGTTCCACCTTATTACCTTACATATATTCCAGTAAAAGTCCTGTCCAAATATGTTTAGCCATTGCAGAGATTAGGAACAACAAACAAAAACAGTGTTATTTTGACAAACGTACCGTGTTTTCATATGTATACATTTAGCAAAATACCGATATTTTACTATTACTTACATATTACCAATACGTTTTCGCTCATATGTAATATATAGATAATACAATATTAATACCTATACGTGCAAATTCCAGTGGGTGTTGGTGGCAAGTCATCGGAGGCCGAGACGGTAGCAAGAGGAAGGTCTCGAGCCTCCAGCGTGTCGGATGAGGGCGGGTTCAATGAACCCTCGCCGGAGGTGGTAGCGAGACTTCGCCCCGCAGACTACCGCGACCCTCACCAGCCTCAGCTGACACACGACATACGGGACGCGGAGCGGGCACGATCAGACCCCGACACGTTGTCTGTACTGCAACAGGTATAACTTGACATATATGTAGCAATAGTACCAACCTGCCCATATTTAAATTTTGTTATTAACATTCTGCCAATGTCTTAAATGTATGAACAATATTATACCAAAAAAAAAAAAAATTGCACAATTTATTCAGTAATAGTTTTTACTTTTAATACTATGATAAATATGACAATATGTTTATATAAATATGTATTGTATCAGTAAGAAATCTGTTCCTTTAATCATAAACATATTAATCCTGTGATGCGGATGCATGCATTTTCGTTCTGGAAGCAGTCGTGAATTGTTAATTTTGATGATGAAATTGTCCGTTTAACTACAACGTACTTGCAAGGTCGCGTCGTTATGTTTACATTAATGCATTTAGTGCTGAACAAATGTATTTTTATGTGAAGTGTGCTGTATGTTGAAATATACTTACATTATAACTTATATGATGTAATTATAGTCATAGTGAGTTCATAATGATGCCGAAACATTACATTGTCCCTGATCGGAGAAAAGAAATTGTTGTCATTTATTTTTGTCTTTAAAAATAGAACGATTTTGTTATTTTTAGCGTTTTTTTATGATATTATATAATTGGCAATATTTAAAGTGACATGCAATGACTAAGGCTCAAAAGGAACCGTATCCAGAGCCGTAAAAAAAATTACAAAAAAAAATACATGCAATGAATGTAGTAAATATCATATTTTTGTAAATGGAACTCAAAGATTATATAATAAATTTAATTTTTATATATTCTTTAGGACTCCGGTGTGGTAGTGAGTGAAGCGAGCCAGGGCTCCATCGAGGTGCTCGACAAATCGACCACCAGCCAATGGAGTGTGTCGGAGGAGCCGGCCGACGACGCCAAGCAGCCCGACAGTATGACGCCCGACGAAGCGGAGATACTGCTCAGCTCCAGGTTACAATACAATTCAAATATCGAACGCTTTAGTTTAGTTGCCAGTAGATTTATATATATATTAAGGAACTTCGAAATTTAAAAAATAAAATAACAGTATGACATTTGACAATTTGACTATGAACAAATATAAAAGGTAAATTAAGGAATAAAATGATGAACTGCTAACTCCAGTTAAACAACAAATAAAGTACTTACACAGTAATTTCCTTAAAATAGCTTTAAACTATTTAGTATTTGCTAACACAATATTAATAGTCAAAACCCTTGAGCGATGTCGCCTCGACGACGGACCACCAGAAAGTGTGTCAACGTTTCTTTTTCGCTCTGCTTCTATTTTGTTTCTTGTCCAAGGAGTTCCTAACTATATACAGCTCATACAAATAATGAATTCCAAATTTAAACACGCATGTAGTCAATTATAGTTAAAAAGTATAGCATGCTTTACTTAGTGTTGCGAGTAGGTTTATAGCAATGAAATGAATTCAAATATCCATTGAAAAAATTCCAATTTAGAAAGCTAAGTGGCGAGATTGCAGTCTAATAAAGAAATAAATTAAAAAATCGAATTATAAGTGCAGAAACAATTGACAATTAATACTGCAGTGGGATTTGTAGTTATCAAGAAGTTTTGTATTGAACGATTATATAAATACTTAATAAATTAATATTAATACCCTTTCTTGGTTCAGTTTTTCTTCTTTTTTCTGTGATTGATGTGATTTAAATGATTTCTTTACTATGATATAATAACTTTTTTCTACAAATAATTCTGTGTCAATGTGTAGTTAGTATTAAAATCTTCTTAACTAATAGCACGTACATATATATAAATGTATTTATTTTTTGTTGCACGCGTTAACTGTTTACCAATATATATATTTGTGAGTATTATTCTTTGCTTTTTAGACGAGAAACATTATATGTTTATTTCTCTGTAGCTTCTAAATCTAATTGAATGTTTTTTTTTCATCATTTTATTTGCATGCCGCCTGTGCGCACTGCGCTTCAATTCTTGACCACATTCGCAGTATACTGGAGAAAAAACTTAGGTAAGCTTGCTTGCATGATTTCCATAGTATATTTTGCAGTTCTAGTTATACTTTTTATTAAAACAAATATATATGAATGTTATTAATGATATACGTGTATGTTCCAGGCAAGAAGCTCTGCTGTCGGATGAGCAGGCTCAAGAGATAGTGGCCCTTCTGTCACCTCACGCGATCGCTCATGACAATGGAGTCTCACTCAACGACAGCTACCAGTCCGTGCTCTCGTATGAGAGGTAATTGAAGAAAAATATATTATATAACTATAAACTACTAGCTTTCAGCCCGCAGCTTGGAGTTCGGTTATATCGCGTTTCCAAGAGAACCTTTCAAAAGTCTGGGATAAAAACTATTCTATGTTCTTTCTCAAGGTCAACTCTATGTCTGTACCAAATTTCATTAAAATCAGTTCAGTGGTTTAGGTGTGAAAGCGTAACAGACAGACAGAGTTACTTTCGCATTTATAATATTAGTAGGGACGGTATAAAAACTACTATGACGTCATCAGCAGTCGATAGCTATTTACTTTACCGTACTAGATGAATATAATTTTATAATATTACTAGAAGACCCGGCGAAATTCGTATCGCCCTATAATCAAGAAATATCTGTTACGTTTTTTTATTTATATTTTTGGAGTTTACCTATTAAAGCCATAAATCTCCGTGTTTTGAAGTGCGACGGAATGATTGACGTATTAGTTACTTGTCAAATCTAATGTAAAAAAACCGTTTGTATCGGAAATAGAAAAGGGCTGTTTTTAGGCTTTTCCCGGAAATGAATCAATTTTTTTTCTTTTAAACCTTCCCTGAACCTCCACGAACATTTCACGACTAAGATAAGATAAATCCGTTCAGCCGTTCTCGAGTTTTAGCGAGACTAAAGAAGAGCAATTCATTTTTATAAATATAGACTTCTTACAAATATCAAATTTGTCATCCATACGTCATAACATATCTGTCATTATACCTCAATTACATAGCTGTCAATTGCGTTTTGTTATAACAAGTCTGATTATTTTCTGTTATACCACGTTTTATAATGACTGACGTTTCATGTCAAGTCCCGCGGGAATTCTGTCGAACGGGATAAAAAGTATCATATGTAATTTTCCTGGCTCTAAACTATCTCCCTGCCAATTTTCAGCTAAATCGATTCAGCCGTTCTTGAGTTATAAGTGGAGTAACTAACACGACTTTCTTTTATATATACAGGGTGACTGGTGAATTACTATCGATACTTGAGGACGTGATATTTGACGATCATATATGACGAAATAAAAATTAATGTAACATAAATATAAATAAACTTCTAAGTAAAGTTAACCAAACGTTATGTAATTAATTACGCATCGCGTGAACACCCTATAGATATACCTAATACACACACACACATACGCGTTTGGCGGCGTAGTGTTGTATCAGCACGCCGCCGCACGCGTCCACACTTGGAACACTTGGAACGTGTCCACACATTATTTATTTATACGGAAATTTGGTCAAAAATTAAGTACCTATTTTTTTTACATAATTCGAATGAGAATCATGTACCGAGTACTCTCCTCAAATATTGATAGTAATTCACCAGTCACCCTGTATATAGATTTACAATGACTTTAAATATATAAATGCTGTCTTGAAAAATAATTTCCTTATGACTGAACAAAATGTTCCAGCATATTATGTCTAGAGTATTCTGTTTTTAGTTCAGAGATTGATTTTTTATAATATGTATACATCTGTAATAATTAATACACCGACATTATTATTTCATATATACACATACATGGCTATCGTAAAGATTTGATTGTTTATTATATATAAATATCATATAATGTGTATATGTCTCCAGTATGCAGTCAGTGGACGAGAGCTACGAGTTCGTATCATTGGAGGCGGACGCGGGCATGGCGGGAGGGGACGCGCCGCAGCTCGAGCCACGAGCCGAGCCCGAGCTCGAGCACGAGCCGCAACACGAGCCACAGCCCGAGCTCGAGCCACAACCCGAGCCCACGGTGTTCGACCACTACCCACCGCACTCGCTGCGAGAACTAGCTGAGGAGAACGGTATTCATTACTTTGAAGACGGACACTTTTATACAGAGGTATCAAATATTCACTGATATGTATATGTGTATATATATTTATTATTGTATATGACAGATTTTGACAAAAGCAAAAGAATCTCATATAGATAAAAACTTATTTCATGTCACATGTGAAATCATTCCAACAGACACTCTAATAATATATAATATACTAGCTTTCCCCCCGCAGCTTCGCCCGCGTGGAGTTCGGTTATATCGCGTTTACAAGAGAACCTTTAAAAAGTCTGGGATAAATCTATTCTATTCTTTCTCAAGGTCAACTCCACCTCTGTTCCAAATTTCATTAAAATCAGTTCTGTGGTTTAGGCGTGAAAGCGTAACAGACAGACAGAGTTACTTTCGAATTTATAATATTAGTAGGGATTAATGAATAATTATGATAATGTTCTCATAATAAATACTAGTTTCTTATAAGTGTCTCTATATCCCCAGGTCGCCGGTCTGCCGCCCATAGAAGAGGACGACGACGATGATTACTACCCGCCAGTATTTGTTAAAAGAAATACCAAAGTTAAATTTAGGTATACTATTCATTATATATATAGAAAATATTTTTCGTTCATATATAATAGCATTGTATTGTTAATCTATCAAACGTCTTGAAAGCTACCCAAGATTTCGAAAAAGCGTCAGTATGACTTGTTTTGTTTTTCTGTTTTATCAATAGTATCGACGAAGGTTCTAAATGAAATTTAAAATTACTTGTGGTTAGTTTCACATTTATAACTAGTAATAAGGGTAATTCATGTTTATTATTATTATGTTTAATTTCATAATAGGAATGTATAATATAATTATTCCTTTATTATTATAAATTTTTCCCATATATTTCAAATGTTTCTCTGTTTGTTTCCACAGCACTGATCCGATGCGAGTATTCTCGACGCACTCGGTCCGTGAGTACGACCGCCGGAACGAGGACGTTGACCCCGTGGCCGCCTCCGCTGAATACGAACTGGAGAAGAGAGTCGAAAAGATGCACGTCTTCCCCGTAGACCTGGTCAAAGGAGCGGACGGACTTGGACTGTCTATTATTGGTGAGTGAGAATTTTATTTATAGAACACGCGTTCCAAATTTAATTTTTTTTTCTGTTCATATAATTAGTGCGTTATATGTTACAATTTCATTAAAGTAGAAAACGTATTCCAAATTTAAATTTTATTATTATTTTTCTGTTCATATAATTAGTGCATTATATGTTAGAATTTTATTTATAGTAGAACATGTGTTCCAAATTTAAAATTTATTCTTTTTTTTTACTTCACATAATTATATGGTTTTTATCGAAGAAAGTTTACGTTAAAATTAATCAATTGCTCGCATTGCTCGAGATATTAAGAGTGCGTTATTAAAGAACGAGAAATCATACGAAAAATTATTTATTAATAATATGAATTTTATTCTACTTCAGGTATGGGCGTGGGAGCTGATGCTGGTTTAGAGAAGTTGGGTATTTTCGTTAAAACGATCACAGAGAGCGGAGCGGCCGCCAGAGACGGGCGGATACAGGTCAACGATCAGATCATTGAGGTTGACGGAAAGAGTTTGGTGAGGAATAACACGTACTATACATTAAGATAATACAGTTTATGTGAATAAAAATGAAAATATAGAATAAATAATTCATTGATCTTAACAGTTTTCGAATCTCTAAACTTTAAATTTTTTTCATATCAGTTGACTTTTGGTGATATTCTGTATATTCTAAGTTGGAATCCTCGTAATAATGATCTTATAATCAATACATTTTATTATACCTTTAGTTAAAGGATTATTTTCATTCTTATAATGTTAAAGCATAAATTAGTTTTTACTTTATTATGTTATATCTAATTCTTTACTATACACATAACATAGTTACATTATATTAATAAAAAAACAGTTCATGTATAACTGAACTTCATTTGAGTCATCGAATAAAATAAATTTGAACCGATTTATTCTTCTGAATATCCTGACATGTTTAAAAAAAAAATTATACGTGTATTTCACAATCAGAGACGGTCAAACAATTCATTTGTCTACATACCAAAAATTTAACAAGAAACCATAAAAAAAATTGTCTTATGCGTGGAGTTCCTTCGCGCGGAAGAAGTGAAACTTCGTTACGTTGGAATGAAAACGGGAAGGGAAGAAATTGATTTGATTAGACAAACTTGATTAACATTACTTACATTTAATTTATGTAAATTGTGGATTTTTTTAAACTTTGTAATTAGTTGATTTGATTGTACTCGTAGATTGTATTTTTGTCTCTTTCTGTTGTCTTTTTTACACGCACTCTCTAACATTTGTACTATTTTTAAGTGGAAACTTTATTGGTTTATGATTTAGAAATAATTCCTTAATTCTATGTAATAACACACTGTATGTTTCCCAAAAATAAATTAAAAAAAAATGTCACAATTGTTTGACTCTCGCTCTATCTCTTTTATCCCCTCCCCTGGAGCATAAACTCTATTTTTCCAACCGTCTCGGAAGTCCCATAAGAAGTTTCTTTAATACTATTGGTTTACTGTTAAAGGTGGGTGTGACTCAAGCGTACGCGGCATCAGTTCTTCGCAATACATCCGGCCCCGTCAAGTTTCTGATCGGTCGGGAGAAGGATCCTGAGAACAGTGAAGTAGCGCACCTCATACGACAGTCACTAGCTGCGGACAAGGAGAGGGAAGAAAGGTGACATACATTACTCATATATATGTTATAGAGATATTAATTTGGTCATGTCATCAGCCTATCATAGCCCACTGCTGAGCAAGTCCTCTTTCTCACATGGAGAAGGTTTGAGCATTAATCACCACACTTGCTCAAGACGGGTTGGTGATTTCAAACTTACAATGGTGAAACTATATGTCCAGGATTCCTCACGATGTTTTCCTTCACCGTATGTCAATGGTGTCTAAATATTTATTTGGTCATGTGACGTAAATAACTATTTATATTATATATTACTTATATTCTATGAGTAAACGTAAACTGTGATTTACTTACATATTTGTATAAGCACTTCTCGATTATAACATTACTATTGTTGTATAAGAATTGTATGTGATAGTGATGGAATAATTTCTTGATAAACGTAAAAAATCTTCATAGATATATCTATACTGTATTTGTACATACTTTTAAAACTTAAATTTTTAATAAATTTTATATTAATGGTATGACAATACTATATTTGTTGATGATTATCGTTTCAGAGCTTCTCGCGAGCGACAAAGGAGACAACAGACAGAAGAAGAAGTTAGTCCGCCGGCTGATGTACGGCATCCAGATATAGTTGACCTCAGGGCGTTACTCAATGAGGTATATCACTACAGAATAGTAAAGTAAAAAATAAAAATGTATATTGAGCTTAATCTGTAGTCAGACTGACATAGGTCAGGATAGTTTGGAATAGAATTATAATTAGGTGGCTATAGTAATTGAACTTATTAGGATAGTAACAAAATTAATTGACTTTTACTATAGACTCATATAAGTGACACAATGTTCTCTAAACTTATACAAGTATATATCAATATAATTAATTTAATTTAAAATAAAAAATATGATGCATTCAAAATTCAAAGTTTAGGAGGTAGCATAGAATTTCAAATTTGGTAGGTCAAAAAAAGATAAGTAAATCTCAGTATTCACATATTTTGTTATATTCTTTAAACTTAAAAAAAGTTCCCATATTAATTTAACAAATATTGTATGGGTTCACCCATACATTAACATAATTTCATTGTATGTTCACATTCATAAGCAAATATAAATGTAAGCATTGTCATAATTTAGTCAGTATCAGTAAAGCGTTCAAATAAACAGGTCGTTCTCATTACCTAAACGCGATACTCACAAACTAGCTGGTCTCCATAAACTATCAAATCTAATAATGTGTGGTATCAAACTCATACATCGTTTTGGTCCTTCGAGACGGATCTGAACCAGCGACCTATGGATATATATATACTAATTATTATTAATATATAATATGTGTTTGTTCTAGGTTGTAGGTATGGAAGCCGGCGGTGGTAGTAGTCAGGAGATCAACGCTCGTGTACGTGAGTGGTGCGCCGCGCGGGCTCCGTCCGACCAGTTACGAAGAGCTCTGGCTGCAGCCGCGGATACAGCGCACAGGGCTCATCGGAAATATGATAAGGTACGACTTGTTAAAGATCACTATTCATATCAGATATATTGTAATACAGTGCAAACTCGATATAAGAAATCGGAGGGGAACAAGAAAATATTCGTTGTATCAAGTAATTCGTTGAACTGAGGTTTGTTATGTTGAGGTAAGGTTGGTCTAAAATTCGTTATAAAAAGATGAAATAATACATAGTTTTATTTACTGCATCATTACGATTTTGGTCATAGGATTTTGCTCAACATAATTAATGATGTTTCGCTTTTCTGCGACCGATAAGGAACACCTTTTACGCTTCAGAGCCATTTTAACTTAAAACTTTAACAATAGTGACGAGCAGAAGTGTTTACATTACTTTTCATCAAACAACGATTACTTTACGTTATATTGGGGTACGTTATATTAAGGTTGCACTGTATACTACGGCCATTCAGATAATGCGTTCCTGGCAATTGAACTGAAGACGTAACTTTTGTAACGTTGCAGCTGCGATAAAAATATTTTTGCTGGTTGTTTATCGTTTTAACAATTGATGTGCACTAAAACAACATTATTATATCAATAATCTATTAATGTTAGAATTTTGTGCCAAACTGAGTGTCAAATAACTTGCTAAACAATATTTTTCTAAATCTATACTGCGCTATTACAAAGTTATGTCAGCGGTTTGTATTTGTAGTGCTGTGCTAACAATACCAGGCAATAATACAATCATAATCTGTCTTATACAGTTATACTTTTTATATTAATATTACCTTTTCTTGGTTTCCACTTAAATAACTAAAATAATAATTTTAAATGATTCCGCCAATTGAAAACAAAAATAATTTTAATAATAATGCTACGGTTCATTTTGGAGAAACCGTAACGAACTCAGTGTTATGTTGTGCCCATCACTAGTCGCGACTAACTGATAAATGTCAGGAACGCATTTCCTTAACGGCCGAACTATAATATTACATTTACCTCAGGGCCATATGACTGTATCAAATTATATTAAAGATATATTACATTCGAAAACAGTTTTTTTATTAATAGTGAACTAAATTCAGCATCATTATGTTATTTATCCATTACATTATTCGTCTTTATCAATAACTATTAAAAAACTTTACCAATAACTAGTAAAACAGATCAAAACTTACACACTCTAAGATAATACTTACATTATTGTCACAATATGAATACCGTTCTTCTTCTTCTGCCTGTTAATTTCCCAGCTTTAGCCAGGGTCTGTTTACATGTTGTGAATAGTTTTGGCTAATTGTTTTTACGACCGGCCGCCTGCCTGACATCAACCCTCTTTAGGAATATAACCGTTATGAATATCGTTCTTATAAACAGTATATTCAGTACTGTTCGTGTCTTTTTTCGCTTGTTTATATATTAATAATAATAATAATAATAATAATAATAAAAAACTTTATTGCTTCAGATAGGTCGTATACATATTTTTAGGAGATACAAATTATTCATACTGCCAAACAATTTCCTTTTCTTAATTTACCACTCGTTTTCATTGACGACCATATCGCAGTAGGCAAGCTCAGCTATGTGCTGTGCTATGCCCAGCGCTGATTTTCAGCTTGCTCCTTCCACATGTTGACTGTTCTTATGTTGACGTAGTTAAAAGCGCCGCACCGTTCCGTAACACATTAAAGTAATACAAAAAAAAAAGAACTAATATTATTATAGAACACAAAAAAAATAATAATAAACAAACAAAAAGTAAACAAACGATTTCTCCAGCTTACAACTAAATTTTAAAAACAAACATTAAAAAAACGATAAAACTTAATACACGCACATCTTCGCATCATAACAACCATAACTTTTATGTGTACATCATGACTAGGACAATTGAAACTATGATTATGCAACCAATATGTAATATATTTATATAGGCTCGTCGCGCTCTCCGTGAGTGGCGTCGCACGCGTGCTATGGTCCGCGCGCGTGAGGAGTGGTGGAGCGGCACCTTGAGGGACGCGCACCGGGAGTACGCCGCCGCACTCTCAGCACTACACGACCGAGTGGCGAGGCTAGAAGTACTTCTACTGGTGAGATAAACAACATACCGCTTCTACTATATACGTGATAGATAATGAGATCTAAGATTTTCTGATAAAATAACCAGACCAACTGACAGACACTCACATCTCGTCTGAAAAGTAGCCAAAATGTTTGGAGTATACAGGGTGACTGGTGAATTACTATCGATACTTGAGGACGTGATATTTGACGATCATAATATGTGACAAAATAAAAATTAATATGACATAAATATTAATAAACTTCTAAGTAAAATTAACCAAAAGTTATGTAATTAATTACGCATCGTGTGAACACCCTACAGATTAGGTATACACACACACACACACGCGCGTGCGGCGGCGTGGTGTTGTATCAGCACGCCGCCGAACGCGTCCACACTTGGAACACTTGGAACGTGTCCACACTTTATTTATTTATACGGAAATTTGGTCAAATATTAAGTGCCTTTTTTTTTTATATAATTCGAATGAGAATCATGTACCGAGTATTCTCCTTAAATATTGATAGTAATTCACCAGTCACCCTGTATATGTAGTTCATAATAAAAAATAAAAACAAAAATAAAAACGCGAAGTAAATATAAAAATCCGAAAATATTGGTTTCATTTACGTGACAGATATTGGGTTGTAGTGACGAAATCTCTTAGCATACAATTGATTTACTTTACGGGCGCCGGGTCCATCGTTGCAAAGAGAGGAGCTTCAACAGTGCCTGGGACTTGCGACCCAGGTGTAGGTTTAAGGGGCCCCTTATATAACGCACGTTATACGCTCACTGTCCAAGCTCCTCTCTCTACCTAACCGAATTTGAAAAGAACCTACTAGGGCTGCCTTACAATTAAGTTTAATTATATGGAGATGGTATTTATTATGTGGTCAAATAAATAAACGGAATATAACACCTATATTTAGTTTGATTAGTATCGTGATGAGAAGCCTTAGGCCTCGGCCTCGAATTTTGAGGGCAGCGGAGGGGCAGCGGGAGCGGCAGGATCTTACGCGTATAATCAAATGGACCAACCCTCGAATACAGCGGTGCCCGCTGCCCGCTAGTTTGAAGAACAGTATGCTTTTCCGTGCCGCCGCCGCCGCCGCCGCTCCGCTGCTCGCAAAATTCGAGGCCGAGGCCTTAGCCTTAGTCTGTCTCATAAGTCATATCCTTCTTATCATTATTCTTATTTTTGATTTCTCCTTAATGAACTCCAATTGTATCTAGGACTGCAGAGTACCTAGAATTAATGTGATTTAGAGTGTGCATGTGAATGATTAGGGTCTAAAACAATTCTGATGAAGGATATTTTCTTATAGTAAATAGACGGTCGATCCAGCGATCGAAATGACTTAGCAATACATACAATTAATGTGACAAGTAGCTAGTAGGGCTATAAAATATGAGGTCTATACATTCTTTGAATAAATTTTATTCTATTGACGTATTTTGTGTTTTAGCTTTAATGCTCTCAAATAAATATCTACAATTAATTTAACATTCAACAACCGAAAATATAATATAATTCAAATTACTTAGTTAAAGTTATAAAAATATATATTTTAATACATTTATTCCAAGTATTTTCTAAATAACAGCGAAAATTGCTTACTATTATAGGAAACTCAAAAGAAAGCCGGTCTACCCGTCATGTTACCGCACGAACCCTCGGCCCGACGTGAGACGCCGCCGCTACCTCGCAGACCAGACCCTGATCCTCTACTCATTAATGGTGCACGATCTATTGACTGTTTTGGATAATGCTTAAGATTGTCTTGAACCATTTCTATTTTGTAATCATGATTATGAAAATTCTTTTTAAAGATCCCTGGAGTTCGGACAGCGATCTATCAGATCTCTCTCCCATAGAAGACGAATATGCCAAAGTAGACAAGTCAGAAAAGAAGCCGCGGGAAGCTCCCGATATAGGTGACGTAACGGTGACAACCACCAACGATAATAAACCCACAACCACCAACAACTCTATATACAGCACGATCACTACGGCGTCGTACGCGGTGACGTCCACGACGAACGTCACGGTGGTGACGTCACAGCCCGCCACACAAGCCCCCGCCCCCGCACTACCGCCAATGAACTCTGTAAGCCACGTGACTGTAACTACGGCAACACCGACCACAGTCACGGAAAGCTTGTGAGTATGATGACTTGGGTTTTGGTATATACAAAATTTATATTAACTATAGTGCGTTTGGTTTAAGCTGACCTTTGAATTTGTGTGAGTGCACACTGATAGTGTAAGTGAGATGTCAAATTTTTGAATGCCACGTTCTTTTCTAGTTTTGAACCGGTTTATTCTGCTTTTACTCTTCCCCGCACTTTCCACACTTCACCATTTGTACTGATAGCAACGTCAAATGTTGAAAACGCAATGTCAAGTGAAGAAGAATTTGTATAGTTTTTTCAAAATTTTTATTACTTAATATTTTTTTCCATAATATTTAGATCTGGCCTTTTACAAGTTTTGCTTATTTTATTTTTAATCTAAAATAGCACTAGCACTTATGTCATGTATCTATTTAAAATATAATAGATTTGAATTCTAAAATTTGTTTGTCTAACTCTACTTTTACTTTCACTCACACCAATGAAAAGCTCAGCTTAAGTCTAACGGACTATAACATTAAGTGTATTATTTTGAAATCAAAGTGTATTAAAATGAAATTTTATATTAAAATTTTCAGAAGCAGTGCGAACGCCAACGCAGTATCAACTACAACACTAACAGCGACATCCAATACTAGTTCTAACGTGGGTGCGAACGTTGGTAGTGTGGAGGTGACGTCACGGGAGCTGGACGCGGCCGTGCCCCGCGGCGCGCTGCTCGACACGTCCGCACACCGCGCGCGCACAGACCTCGCGCGGCACAGACACCACGCGCCGCTCTCACACTCCGCGCACTCGCCGCACTCGCTCAGCAATGCGAGCTCTGTGAGTGAGCTGCTCTGTACATATACCAACATAAACAACACTTGTATCGTGCACAATATAAATACACATATTTTAATGCTAAAAATGACACTAGTGTCACAGCGATGTGACCTTGTGATTATTTATGTATAGTTTGTCTTTTCACATTACAGACGAATGGACCGTTTTCAGTTGAGAGCGTAACAAAAAAATAGATAATTCAAATAAATAATGACTAAATGATTTTACATAATATTGTTCAAACATTCCAGTACGACGGTTTGGATGATTCATACAACGACTCTGCAGATGAATCGCTGAGTGAATCCACATCGGGGGCACCGCCTCATGCATCACATCATATTGTAAGGACGAAAATCATGTTGATTCTTATCATACAAGCCAATACTTATCTAGTTTAGTTACTTTCTATCGCGAGAGCACAAAATTTTATGAAGTACAATAAAAGATGCCATCCCTACTAATATTATAAATGCGAAATTAACTCTGTCTAATTACGTTTTCACGCCTAAACCACTGAACTGATTTTAATGAAATTTGGTACAGACATAGAGTTGACCTTGAGAAAGAACAGAATAGCTTTTATCCCAGAATTTTGAAAGGTTCTCTTGGAAACGCGATATAACCGAACTCCACGCGGGCGAAGCTGCGGGCGGAAAGCTAGTAATAAATAATTATTTAATTACATATTCCATTTTTTGTCATTAAGGCAGTGATTCTTAAATAATTTTCCTCTTACACTAGATAATATAATTAGTTTTCGCTTTAATGTTTTACAGCAGCGAGACACGCGGCAGAGTTGTGGCAGCTCAATCGGCAGCGCGACCGACGACGGAATGTACACACGAGATACAAGACATCATCCGCTCTCAGGTAGTGTGACACGAGCCTAATGGTGTTAACATTGCACTGTTGCTTTATATAATAACATATATGTAACTGCTTTGTTACTTTGTCTTTGTGTAAAAATAATTATTAATAACTGCTTTATTGGGAAGCTTTCATGCAAGCGATATTAAAGGTTAGGTACCTTTTGAAATTGTTAATTTATTTGAGTCTCAATTCATGAAGTAAGTAACTAAGGTTAGATAAAAATGGTATTCAGGATTTTTATTTGTAAACGTATCGGAAAGTAGTATTTAAAAAATTGGGAAATTTAATAATTTTTATTTAATCAACTGGTTTAGCTTAATCTTTTACTGTATAGAATAAAGTTATTTTTATGAAACGTAATTTGCCCAATAATACTATTGCGAATCTTGGATTCTCTACTAAGTTTTTGTGTAGCATTATCAATTCGACTGTGACATGCGATAGATGGGCGAAAAAATAATAAGACGTAAGACAAGTTTCACTTTTAATATTTATGTTTTGTTCTTATTTATTCTTATACGTCCATAAAAAATCGGTTCGTTATTCTTATCTCACTTAACATTTATAGATATTATAACTAAGATTCCAAAATATTTGAAAGGAATAGACTTTAATTAACATAGCGTGTAGATAAAATGCCTCTACATAAGAGGCATAGCTATATGTAGTTGTGTGAGCGCGGTGGTGGGTGGTTCTTAGGTCCGCCGGCGTCCTTGGCAGAGCAGCTCAAGCAGGTGTTAGCGGAGCGTGAGCGGCGGCTGGCCAGCGGATCCCCCCACCCCGACCCCGTGCAGCTCACCAACGACCTGGTGGACGAGATACGACAGGCAGTCAGCGAGGCCAACGCCAGAGGTATACACGAGGATACCTCTTAGCATTCTATGGATTCACTTTACGGGTGTCGGGTCCATCGTTGTAGAGAGGAGCTTCAGTGACTGGGGCTTGCGACCCAGGTGTAGGTTTAAGGGCTTATCTAACGCGCGTTATACGCTCACCTCCACTGTCCAAGCTCCTCTCTCTACCTAACCAAAATACGAATTTTTTATTGTATTTGTTATAGTATTGTTGTGTCTGCCAACTAACCAGCTGTTTGACCTGAATTAATTCGATATTTTTTGTACTTCGTCTATGGTGATGGTGTGGTGTTATATGCAATTTCGCTTTCAGTAACCTTTGTGTGACTAAGCGTTATCTTCTATTTGTAAGTGTATTTTCTTCTATAATTTATATTTTTATGCTCGTGTATCTATATATTATATACATATAGTTATAGGAACATCACGAAATCCAAGTGTTATTTAATCTTTGGCCAGTGTAAGTGTATGGATATTAATTAGTATGGTGCGAAACAATGAACCTCAGTGTTTGGAGAAAGTTCAATACATATATGCATTTCAACTGTCGTTTGTTACATACATTTCATAGATATACATAGGTGTCTCATTTTCACAAATGTTCCTTTCGCTCCGTCACTCAAGTTCGTTTGGAGTACAAGTATGAGTAGCTAGACTATGTCGTAAGGTGTATGTGACACGAGGGTGTGGTTGTAGTGAAGAAAGCTCCGGCTTGTGTAGTCGGCGGTGAGGTGCCGTGGCAGCCGCTGTCTGCGGGGGCCTCCGAGACCAGCCTGTCGCCGGGCCCCCACGGTCCACAAGGTCCTCACGGCCCACAAGGCCCCCACGGTCCACACGTGTCACTCACGTCGCTAGTCGCCTCGCCCCAGCCAGTCAACCTCTGGACTAAGCAACAGGTTATATATTTTTACTTAAATTTAAACAAACACTCGCAAACATCATGCCCAAGTAAATATAATTTATTATCTTGAAAATAAATACGTTTCAAAATCTTCAAATATTAATTTAAAAAAGTATTAATTAAATAAAGCAGTAGCACTATGTTAGCCATTCGTTTGAATACATATAAAGTCCAAACAAAACCCAATATCGTATCATTTTATCTGAATGACTTTGTCTTGATAATAATGTTATATGGCCATAAATAATTGCATACATATAATGATATCTAAGATTTTCGCGAGTACTCATTTAAATGAAACTAGTATTTTTCGGATTTTACTACGCGACTTTATTTTTGATAAAAACTACATACTCCCGACGTTTCGGCTACTTTTCAGCAACCGTGATCACGGGCAGACGAGATGTTGATGTTGATGATGATGTTGATGTTGAGATGATAGAGTAAAATAAAAATAAAAAAAAGTAAAAGTAAAATAAAAAAAATATTAGTTTCATTTAATTGCATACATACTTTTCACTATAGTAATGGATAAGTTTATATAGTCACTAGAAGTCCCGGTGAACTTCGTATCGCCCTATAATCAAGAAATATCTGTTAGGTTTTTTTATATTTTTGGAGTTTACCTATTAAAGCCATAAATCTCCGCGTTTTGAAGTGCGACAGAATGATTGACATATTAGTTAGTTGTCAAATCTAATGTCAAAAAAAAGTTTGAATCAACAACTACTAATAAATTAAAAATTAATAATAAAAACAGTCCAGCGGACAAAATTGTGAATCTAAACCATTCCCAGATCCTCTTGAACACACACAAAATTTCATCAAAATCGGTCAGAGAAGTTCAGTGACATACACACTCACAGAAGAATTATATAATATATAAAGATAATGTGGTGCTGTATATTGTAGGTATGGCAGTGGGTATCGAGCCTGGGCGAGGGTCTGGATCGTCACGCGGGTTCGTTCGCGACGCGCGGCGTGGACGGGTCGCTGTTACTGGCGCTCAGCTCCAGCGACCTCAAGCTGCTGGGGCTGGCGGGGGACGACCGGCGGCGGATGAAGCGACGCCTCAAGGACCTGCGGGCATCACACGACAAGTACCTTAAGGCCGTCAAGAAGGCTGAGAAGAAAGCCAAGAAGAAGTAACCTACACACAAGAACATCTGTTTCAGAGAATACTTAATAATTCCCCTTACTGTATCTATCTCTATGCTTTGATTCTTGCCCGTCTTACTCAATGATGTCCTTTTAAATCTTGGTTTTTTTATAACAATATTTATATTCTCTGAACAGATTATAACAAATAAATCGATTAATCGCTGTAGTCATGAATTAGAAAACAATAGATTAGAAGATGGTCAATGTGAAATCTCCCGGTACTTATGAAAGCATCGTGCTGCCGTCTAGTCGCCATGATTGGCTAGTAATTTGCCAGCTGTTAGACTGCCATAGAGATTTGGACGCATAGAAAATAAAAAAAATTGTATATGACTAAAGTGTAAAGGCGATGTAAATGAAAGCTGCCTGAAAGCCTAGAGTGCCATCTGAAGTATAGCCGTTAGTGAGTAGAAACGATAGTGACGCTATGAACGAATAATCGAATCGTTTTGATCGAAACTAGTATAATATAAGTGAACATGATATATGACTATCCCGACAAGTGCTACCAAAGTAACAAATACAATTAATATATTTTCAACACTGAATTCTTTTGTTCCTACATTTTTTATAATAAAACATCTTTTCCTTAATTTTCTTATTTATGCGAGTGGATGGTTCGTCTGATGATACTGGCTCAATCTAGTCATAAGATCAATTTGTAAGCTGTTCGGACTTTATAAACTACTATTGCATTTTATCTTGGAATTTTCAAATTTTTAGAATATATTGTAATTGTCATGTGTAATATCTTTAGGACTATACATTATGTAATAAATCAGTAAATAGCCTTCAGTATTTGTATCTCAATATATCGTTAACTACAAATTCATTCAAGTTAAAGCATTTATTTATATTATTGTATTGCACAAAATGTACTTAGTCAGGTGACTGAATTTTTGCATCATTATAAACCGATTTCTTAGTACTATTTATATCTAAAGTATTCATTAAAAATCATTCATTACATAGTGTGATCTCATAACTAAATAATTCTCATTAATAATCATTATATTAACAGTATTTACTATAGAACTGTTTACATCCCAGTTCCTGTATTACAGACTCCACAATATCTATTACATTCCAATGAACTTTCTCTTAAAATGGTTTTTCTGTGTGATTCGAATGATTTTTTAGGCGCTTTATAGTTTTCTTAGGCAAAATATTAGGGTTTATATAAGTGTCTTTCAGTCTGTGGTCGCTGTATTCATTGAGTGTCTGTTTCTGTAGCTACATTAGCATGTAAATAACGTCTCGGGGATCTGTTGGAGGTATACAGAGACTGTTTCGGTATGTTTCTTGTGTTTGTGTGCCTGATTGTATATCATTTAGAATATTTATTTCGATTAAGATTTAACAGGTAATATAAGTAAGACTCCATTAACGATTGCCAAAATTGATGAGTACTTTATAACATTGTTGATTTTATTATTTTACTTTCCCTTAAATTATTTAATATTTATTTTGGGACCAAATTAATTTATTGTAACCTTACAGTTTATTGTTTATGTATTTGGGTGTGTTCAGAAAAGAATTTTATTTATAAATAAATAAAGAAACCAAAGTCTACAACAATATTCTTTTTATTACTGCTAATCCCTTTTCATTATAAAAATATGAGAACATTAAGTTCTGTAAAAAGAATGTGTTTATCAATGAGTAATGTTCTCGATGCTTTAAGTATCAAATAGAATTACATAGTTTCTCTAAAAGGTCTGTAGTCTCACTCTGCTATAGGGCGTTTAGTTTAAGCTGAGCTTTGCATTTGTGTGAGTGCACACGGATAGTGTAGGTGTTATGTCAAATTTTTGAATGCCACGTTCTTTTCTAGTTTTGAACCCGTTTATTCTGCTTTTACTCTTCCCCGCACTTTCCACACTTCACCCTTTGTACTGATAGCAACGTCAAATGTTGAAAACGCAATGTCAAGTGAAGAAAAATTTCTATAGTTTTTTCAAAATTTTTATTACTTAATATTTTTTTCCATAATATTTAGATCTGGCCTTTTACAAGTTTTGCTTATTTTATTTTTAATCTAGAATAGCACTAGCACTTATGTATCTATTTAAAATACATGTATAATAGATTTGAATTCTAAAATTTGTTTGTCTAACTCTACTTTTACTTTCACTCACACAAATGCAAAGCTCAGCTTAAGTCTAACGGACTACATATATCTATTGTGTATCATAGGTAGAGTTTCAAGACGTTTTAGACATCTTAATTAAATGTGTATAATATATTATTCTTAAGCCGGAATACAACTGTGGACTTTAAAGCATGTACAGACTTATAATTAGTCAATATAATAGGTATAATTTCGTAAAGAACAATCAAAACGTATTAGAAAACAAAGTCCCCCGCCGCGTCTGTCTGTTCGCAATAAACAGAAAAACTACTGTACCAATTACCAAGCAGATTTCACCATTCGATAGCGTGATTCTCGAGAAATGTTTTAATAGGTATAATAGTTTGTTAAGGTTTTGTATTGATTTGTGTGTACATTAACGATATTTGTTGAAGATGTCGGGAAAAAATGAGCCGTCTGGGATCTATTAACGCAAACGCTGAGAAAACTCTTTGGAAAACAATGTATGGTGGAATTGTATTTCTAATATAGGTCTACAGGAAATTCCGCGATATCATATTAGACTACAGGCCCATGTCCAAAAAATGGATCGGTCATATGAACCACCAGGTGACGTATATAGGACGATATAAGAGCATAAAATAACAAGATTCAATTCAAGACTTTATAATGATTTTATCATATTATCATCTGTTCTCTTTAAAAATATGTTAATGCCGTACAGTATCAACTGGCCATAAAGTACTACACCCTTAAAATGGTAATATCATTTTCATCAGCCTTAAAGATATGGTCTGCATTAAAATGTACGGCATCACTTCTTCCTAATTTATTTATCTTAATACTATTTAGAACAAGAGGAAAATCTAGAAAATTCCTATATTTTATTAATCTATGAATATTTAAACTTTTGCAACAATTAAAAAAAATCATTTTTTGCATTTCTCTATATATTTTTTTTAAGAACAATTTCTTTTGAACGGCAATACTATTAGCTTCAGAGCCAGTGAACGGATATCTATATGTATTTGACCAGACCTGGGCTTTTGCACGTTGAGACCCCTTTACCTACCGTACATGAGATGGGGACTCACTAAGCCCAAAGTGGTGGTCGCGGCTAGTTTATTTTTTGAAAGTAATTGACCAGATCTGCTAACAATATATTTTATTTATTATAGTGTTAAAAACTTATATTGTGAATGGCAGTCTTATTCATTGCGGATAAATATCAGCAGATAAAAAAATCTGAGATACACTACCCGATCAGATGTCTATAGGTATATTACATTAATATAATTTACTTAATCATTGTATTTAATGAATTTAATACATTCCATGTAGTCTACATACTAAACTTTTAAAGTTAAATGATATACTTAGTATAAATAAATTAATATATATATATATATATATATGATCTTCAATCATCATCATCCGAGCCATTGTTATTATCTTTGAACTCGTCTTCATCATCTATATCCATTGAGGCGGATTCTGCATAATTAAACGTTAATTTTAAAATATAAATAATTTGTAAATTGATTCGAACATATTCAATCGGAAGATTCCCATCTCACGTACGGTAGGTAAAGGGGTCTCAAAGTGCAAAAGCCCAGGTCTGGTCAAATACATATAGGTATCCGTTCATAATTCATTGGCTCTTAAGCTATATATAACGATTGTATTTTACAATGTCATGTTTAAAAAAAGGTGCCGTACAGAGTCCAACGATTTTACAGCTTTATCAATCAAGTATACCAGGAAATCAAGATAATTATTAAAATATTCGCATGATTTTTGTACGGCGTTGCGGAATAATGGATGAGAAGCTGTATTGAAACAGAATGAAACTGATGCCGTACAGAATAAAATGACCAAATTTACCCTAGAAATTGTCAGAAAATCAAAAAAAATACCGACTTTGTGGGGCATCATTTTTTACGGTACTGCGCGATTTCTTATTATTTTTCATGGATTTACCGATGGTAAAAATGCCGTACAAAAATTATATGACCCAAGAGATACTCTCTACCTGCACCTTTGATTTCTCACCAGCACTCGGACAGCTTACAAGTGACTGCAAAGAGCTGAATTTTATTATTTGATGCTCTTATATCGTCCTATATACGTCACCTCGTGATTCACATGACCCATCGATTTTTTTGGACGTGGGCCTGTAGTCTATATCTTAAGACTATAAGAATATACACTATATTCATTTTACTACTTTTAAAAATTGCATTCATGAAGCGTTTATAGGAAAGCTATTTTCATAATTACAGTATTAAGTCTTTTCAAAATAAATTACTTCGTGATCAAGCCTACATCAGTATCAATAAGTTACTTTTTGAATTATTTAATTCAGACGTACCATTAGAAAGTTATCATAAGTTTAATAATTCTCAAAATTAAATCCTCGTCATAGCTAACTTTATCACATGATCACGTCATTAATTTTGTATACAATTTTTTTGTAATTTTACTGTATTAAAAAACTATTATTAACATAAAAATATACCGTTTTTCTAAGTTCAAACTTATTTTGTTTACCATTATATAAGGTTGTAACTATTGGGCTACAAAATTACCAAGCATAAAAAAGTAAGACATATTTATTCAGTTTTATTTTTCTTTTTGTTTTTCTTCTTTCTTTTACTTTTCTTGGCTGGAGGTGATTCTGTGTTGTCTTCGTCATAACTGATTCTCACAAATGCTCCAGGCTGTCTCTTAGCTGGTGGCTTTTCTATAATTTCAGAATTATCACTTTCGTTACTGTTATCTTCATTATCTGACATCCCTGAAGTTTTTCCATCATCTTCGCAATCCTCCTCCTTCTTGATTAAATGACGTTGTCTGTTTAAGGCGATACAAGTGACTCTACATGATATATTTGTGGAACATATCTCTTGTAAATTATCATCATCAATATGCCAGGCTTTTAACACACCGTTACTGGAAGCTGAGTATAAGTTGCTGTTTTCGTAATGCATACATTTTACTCTTTGCTTGTAAGCCTGATAAGTCGTTGCTTTGGTCTTGGATACAGTGAATTTAATAATATTTCCATTTTCCAATCCCACAAACAGTTCATCGTCATTGGTCCATTGAGTTGTTGATGGTCTGGAGTTGCATGTTAAACGTTTCTCCAACCCTGCCTTACTTATGGTCCACACATCAACATTTTGTAAGGATATGAGAGAAAATCTATCACCGCTTGGTGAAAACTTTATCTCTGTAGGCAAACCAACTCCTTTACTTCCAAGATTTATGGTAAATGCTGGTCGACCTTTAATTAAATTCCATGTTCTCAGGGTCTTATCACCTCCTATACTTAATGCTAACTTGTCCGATGGATGAACCACTATAGTTGTGACTGGTTGACCTGCAAGTTCAAAATATATATTATTTATCATATATAATGATATATATGAGCAATAAGTTAAAGGTTTTAAATAATATGTAGTAATGTTGTCCAATTTCTTAAACATTTCTTATTTATGAATAAACACGTACAGATATTTAGTAAAATAATTTAAAGTATACTGTATTAACTCTGAGCTTATAGTAAGAGAGTTCATTTAACAATTTTTTTTACTAGACTAACCTCCATGAGCTTTTTTCCAAATTTTCTCTATCTGCCAATTACCAGTCCTAGTAACAATAACAGATCCATCATCACTTCCAGTTAATAGATGGGTCCCGCCATGAGTAAATGCAACAGTGTTAACGGTTCCGTCATGATTCATAAGAACAGTGTGTTCTTTTCGAGTCTTCAGGTCTATAATTACAACCTTGTCATCAGTTCCACCTGAAGCTAAAAATTTCCCAGAGATTGATAAGCATCTTACGGCTGCAGTGTGGGAAGAGGTTGCGAAGGTTTGTTTAATAATTGTTCTCTGAAAAATAAAATACAATAAGATACATATAAAAAACGTGTTATGCACGTTATAAATTAGTTATTTACATCGTCCTCAGGTTGCAGTGAATATCCTAGCAAAAAGCCTTCATATGTGCCCACGATTATTTCATCCATTTTATTTTACGTTATAAAGTTCTGAACCACAAACATAACCTTTAAAGCAGCACAGGGACCTTAAAAAACACGAAAACTTCAAACTTCAAAGTTGAAGTATGTACACTGCAGATTTAACACATTTTTCAAATTTAATCTTTATCGTCGTTAATTTTAAGATTAATTAAAATTATATTAAATCTGATAGTTTAATGATATTAAACATTATTTTATACATCAGAGACGTTTGTTTATAATATACAATATAATTTATTTATATCTGCATTAATTATGAAATACAGATTAAATAAGATATGAGTGCAATAATGTTGACAGCGTCAAGAAGAAAGAAGCTTGGATTAATTTTGTAATTTATTTAATAATTTAAAACAAAAAAAACCTTCATGTATTTATTTCCTTGTCATATTATTAAAATCGTGTATCTCAGTTGTTGCTAATATATCCATTCTGGTGAGTTTTATGTATATAAACAATATTTTCAAAATAAGTATTGTATCTTCTTACTATCGATCTAAAAAGCTTTTTTTGTGGTTGTATAAACAGGATTCCCAAAAGAGGACTTACTTAGACATCTATAAGATGGATTTAGCGGAGACCATGAAAAGTGTTTTGGCAAAAAGTACGGGAAATGCAAGTGGTGCTTCAAGTAGTTCTAATGCGGCCGCCCCGCATGGCGCTGAAGGCTATGTGACAGAAAAACTTTACATGTTATTGCAGTTGTACTTGCAAAACAAAGGATGGAGTCCCAGTATAGAATTATTACAGTGCTTCAGTGATCTCAAAGAGTCTTCAATGTTGCCAAGTGCAGCTTACCTACAGTAAGTTGTGATTTATTTCTATATAATAAGTCTTGTAAGATTCTTAATAGACTCATAGTGGATTAAATATTTGTGAGTGATATAATTGATGATTGTCTTATTTTAGAATGATGGCTTCGAGAGTGGGTCTTGATGCCCAAGGTAGACTAATATACAGAGAGAATGGTAAAATTATATTGCCATATGAACACTTTGCTAATGCGGTGATGCTTAAACATATGAATGGTCCACATGGTCTGCATCTCGGCTTGGAAGCAACAGTTAGAGCTGTGAGTAGTAATTAGTTTATATTATAAAATATAAAGGAAACAATTTATAACATTGAAATATTGTATACATACTGAATAGTTGTGAATGAACTTGATTTTAATTTCAAAATATTAGTGCAAGCCATAAATATATTTTGGAAATAATGTTACATATATCAAGTAGGTATATGTAAAGATACAAGATCAAGCTTTGTGGTGTTAAAGTTTATGAAGATTCCTGTTTGAATGTATATTTACTAATCTTAATATAAAAATATTGTATTTGACACTGGCAGAATACACTGTGTTGTCTTTGCACCGATGAAGGCCATATTTGAAAGAACCAACCAAAAATATTGTATATATTTATCAAATTAATTACTTATATATGAAATATAATTAAACTTTTATCAGAATAATGCTTAAAATAAAGTATTATAGACAATTGCTCTTATTTAAATATAATATGTTAAGGGTAATGAAACCAAAAGAATTACCAGAAAGCTACTAATTATATTGTTTATACAGTAGAACTCCAATTATCCGAACTCCGACTATCCGAATCGCTGATTATCCGAATCACTTACAGAAAAAAAATTGTCCAAAAAAAGTCTAAGTGCGCTAATATTCTTCCCTCCGCGAAGTCAGTGTAGGCACAACGGCAAGTTAAGACCGCAAAACAGCTTACATTGGCGAAGATGTCTAAAAAACATTGATTTTTATTTCTAAACTTGTACATAGGTACAATTTATTTACATTTAAGACATGTGAAAATATCATGTTTCTTTCATTTAATTCAATAAAAAAATTGTGCATTATCAAAACGTAACTTTTTTTCTCTCCAATGGCAATTAAAAAAAAACTCTGATTATCTGAATATTTGATTATCCGAATGGGTCCCGGTCCCCATTAATTCGGATAATTGGAGTTCTACTGTATATATTTAATATGGAGTCACAGTATATTTATTTCAATACAAAGTCTTGTAATTTCTTTGTTGTTATAAGATGTAACTGTACTATAGTTAAAGCCTGTTGTATATATGTAAGTATATTGAGTACATAATAAATATAGTAGTTAAAGCTCCATTGAGTTATAAGATTTCTTCATGTAAATGTCAATAATATTCTATAAAAGTATGTAGTTTAATAATAATTAATGGGCACATTCAAAAAGCACTTATAATTATGTTTCATAGCATAAAAATTATGAAATCACTGCAAAATTTGAACTGTTATAATTGTTATATGTATAAGTATTTTGAAAAATAAAATGTATGATAAACTTGGATGAAACTGTTATTGCATATATTATAAACTCATAATTAAATCGTAAATTGGCTTGAGTAGGAATAGTAGAAAATTGTAAATTGGTTTTACTATCAGCAGAGAAATTAAAACCCTAATACACATTTTTAGGTTGTGGAATCTTATACCATTGGACGAGATCAATTTGGAATGGAAAAAGAATTTATTGTTGAAGTTGTTCAGAACTGTCCCAATCCTGCCTGTCGTTATTATAAGAGCCAGTTGGAAATGACACAGAAATCTATACAACAACATTTGTCACAACAACCAACATATATACCAGGTAAAATTGTATATATTTTTAAATAATAATAGCTAATAAATTTATTAATAATATTCAACACTCATATGTAATATGAGGTATGTGTTTGTCGTTGTATTCTTATGATAATCGTAAGATCGTGTGTGGTGTGTGTAGAAGCGGGCGGCGCAGCTCTTCCTGACAACGCGGCGGTGGAACGTCTCCTTCGAGGCGGCGCCCTGCCTCCTGACTACCAGCTGCCACTGGCACCACACCTTGCTGCTCTCAGTGAGTTGTTATGTAAACGTCACTATTAATTACTGTTACTGAATATATGAAAGAAAAATAAATATTATTTATGTATTGAATTTAGTTAAAAAAAAATTATAATTATTTCAACACATAATTATTAATTATACATATATAACTTTTCATAAAACTGTATGTAAGTATCAAAGTTTTATTAGAATGTGAAATACTTTTAGGGGAAAATGAAAGTTTATGGACTTGTAAACTGAATTTTAAAACATAAGAAATAGTGAAATATACTAATATTTGAAATAAATAACTAATATATACAGTATATGGCATGATTACCAATAAATGTAATAAAATTCCAGCAAACCTCGCCGGTGACAAGTCAGAGCGTCGTGGTGATAAGATGTCAACACAGCAGATGTTACTACATCAGAACCGCTCCCTCGGCCACGGGGACAAGTACTCACACTCGAGGACCCACTCCGGAGACAATAAGAACAAACACCACTATGATGAACATAAACTAACTGACTTTTTGAGGTTTGATATATAATTTAATTAAGTTTAATTAAAAGTCATTTAAATCTTTAATAAATCTTTTACAAGCCTTTCTTTAATTGTATTGGGTGTCCAGAAGTAGTGCATTCTTTATATATTTGTTTTAATTACAAAAAACATATATGTTTAGTTAAAGACCTAAATATTTGTAATGATAATATATGAAGTCTTAATTTCATGTAGAAAAAAGTCAACAAAATGATTACTGAATTTTTCAGAGCCAATCTAGAGAGTTTGGAGTCTCTATCGAGCGGTAGTCACGAGCGTGGTTCAGGTGCGTCGGCCGGTGGCGCTAGTGTAAGCGGTAGCGGTAGCGGGAGCGGAAGTGGGGGCGGAGGCGGACAAGAGCGTGTGGTGCGAGCGTTCGCGGAACTGGCGCGGAACTTACAGCGGATGAGACCTTGTGTACGACCAGCGATGTGCAAGCCTTACGGGAAGCAAAGTGAACAGTTACAGAAAAGTATGTTTATATTATACTTATATAAAGAGTATCTTTTCTTTTGGCATATTCAAATAGAAGGCCATAACTTCACTGGTGACATGATATGAACCACCAGATTAGTCAGTTCAAGAATTTAAAGGCGAATTTCTGATACATTTTATTTTGTTATTTAAAAAATTGAGAATTTAGCAAGAGTGTGCCTACTTAATTTGATCATTAAACAATTGCAAAGTTAATAAAATCTATCCGTAAATTAACAGTATAGTTATATATTATATGTTATTGATAAAAAGATATGTAATATGATCATTAAATGTCTCCTATATCTATCAGTTCTACTGGACACAATTCAACTGGTGCAGTCTCTCCGGAGCTACCTGCCTCCACCACACATACAAGTCACCTCATGGAAGAATGATGACAAATTACGGTGATATAGATTTTCATTATATTATACTATTAATTACTTCTAGTTTATATTTTTTTCATACTTAAAACTTTTTGATAACCTAATCATGATTTTGTACGTCTTTTCGTTACTGTAGTGTTGAAAGTTACTTACGTTGTATACTTATAGGATAATTATAATCAAATTGTACATTTATATTAATTATTGTTAACGTATATATAATGAACATTACAGTTCTAACAACATGGATGACCTCGAGAGTCGTAAGATAGTGAGCGGCAACTGAGAGGGCAGCACTGTGACAAACAAACACACGCTCTTCCGTACTATTGTACTTTATATTCGTTTAAGTATGTGTTTAAAATGTTTATATATACAAATAAATTATTTACTTCGTATTTTTGATGAAATTAAATGAAATTTGTTACAATTTCTATATAATTTGATAATGTATTCGGACTTATATTTTGTGCTATAAAATTTTTGATTCCGCCTGATAATGAACTATTTAGATTTGTTTTGTGATCTATATTATTGTAACGAACACGCAGGCAGTGTATTGTACGAGCACAAACGTTGTTTCTATGTACTAGGCAGTTCATTGTTTCTAAGTGTTGCTTTATTCTTGTTGCTATTTAGACTTACTTTATGTCGATCTTTTTTTATGTATTGTTACGTAATACGTATGTTTATTTTGTTTATTATTATTTTGTATGGAGCCGTCGGTTCAGTGTTGTAAGTGCATTATTTACACTGTGATAGAAGTGTAAAAATTCAGAGTGAGCGGAGTCTTGACATGAATCTGATAAAGTATTATGTAAGTTAAGAAATTTAGGCTTTTCTAAAATAAATTATTTTTAAAACACGTTTCGTTCGATATACCAGTTAGTTTAGGCGTAAGTGTATTGGAAAAAAATATTTATAAAAAAAAATGATCGCCATTCTTGTCTTGTAAAGTGATAGAGGAATAGTATCGTACTGAAGACTGCAAGTTTTTCACATTGTGTAAGCTAATAGCCGAGTGCGCGTTTAATGTAAGGTATGATTATATTAAGGAAGTGAACTGTTGTGAGGAATGTGTTCCAACACTTTGAATATATTATATACATACTCCCCACTTGCCGTTGTCGCTTCTTATGTATTATGAAATTTTTCTTGCATTATTGAAGCTTCTCTTCCAAAATAGCATGTTTTTTTATATAATAATGTAAGCTTTAAGTGATTTATAAATTTTATTATTTCTATACTATATTATCACACAGCTTCTACTCGTCATATATTCGGCTTCATAAGTTCGTTAGTGCAATAAAAAGGCATAGCCTTCATTATATTTTATATCTTAGTACTATTAAAATATATACATATAATATAAGTTTAAAATTAAGAGTAAACAACTCCGAGTCTCCTTTCGTCTCAGTGTCAATATTATAAAATACAATAATGTGTATGCAGCTTTATTTTTAAGTCTTCATATGTTGAGTTCGGACAATTATTATGTGTTTAATGTTTGTGTAACGAGGCTATATCATGTTAGTGAACTCACACGACTAGTATTAAGATACTTTCCACTTGTCTTCGAAGTATTAAACGACCGGATGAATCTCTCTCTGTATTAGAGTTAAGCTTTCTAGTCAAAAGTTAGTATCCAAAATTTGATTTTATTGGCAAAATTTGTTTTTTTTTTGCTGAGGCTCGCGACTCCGTCCGCGTGGACTTTGACTTTCTCAGCTCGAATATTGTACTTTATTATTTTCTCATACAAAATCTCAAATAGTATTTATTATAAGTTTCATGTCTCATTGAATAGCTATCTGATCTAAAATCGACTGAATCATTGTATTTCTTATTTTCTAATTAATAAACTAGAAATGCTAAATATTATTTTTGTAATAATGCCTTTATTGTATTGACCAGAATTTCTGTATTGTTTTCTTTATGTCGTATGTTAATGATAAACTATTGTATGTACATAACACCGCAGGAGGGAGCCACTGTCTTTGTATTGATCTCACTTCCACATCACATTCAATAGTTTAGTTTTTTTATTTTCGTTCTTTATTTTTGTATCCATATGTAATGCACACATTGAATGATTTACAATAGATCAATAGGTATCCTAAGCACGAGTTTGCATACTTAGACTAAATACGGGCAGTTTTTAGTCTCCTCCCATGTAACATTAATAGAATGTTAAATTGCAATCTTTAAGTTTGACGATGGCAACTGGTTATAAGCGTATTGAATAATTTAGATATTAATGTACTACCTTCATATTGTAAATCACAATAAGTACGACCGATTATATTGTTTTGTATTATTTTTTTGTTTGTTATGGCTTGTTTTTCATGTTCGGTGATTATGTATTTGATAGTTTTTCTTGCACTTCAAACTTTGCCGCGTCGTTTCATTTATAAACATTTATCTGTAAAAATAAAATATTGTGGATTGAGAAAATGCATTAGATTTAAATAAAGTGATGCAACAAATCTATGAGTTTCTCTTAGGAATTATTATGTCCTTTAAAATATTAAATAGTTTTTTTTTTTAATAAAATGGTAATAACACTTAGGAAAGTTTCAATAAAATAATATAACGTTGTAAATATTTTTATTAAATACACTGAAATACAAATAAATAGAAGAAAAGACAAATTCTTAGATATCCATTGACGATATTAAAATTCTTACGAATATTATAACATTTCAAAGTCACATTCGAGATTTAATTAATAATTATTATAAGAAAGTCATTTTATAAAATTCATAAGTACTCCGAAAGACATCACATGAAAATTACGAACATTTAAAATACAAAGGAATGATAACGAAATAATTTTAAAACGCCTGTACTTTTATCTTTTATGAGTTTTCAAAAGACACATTATTTTATACCCAATACCCATATTTTTAAAGGATCAGTATTAATATGAAATTTAAACATTAGTTACATAAATAATATTTAAACGACGTAATTTCGTCTGGTACATAATGATATGCCGATCTTAAGTTGTAAGTTATGCCGCAGTATTTTTCAAAATGTAACATTTTAAAATTTCATTAAATCTATAAACGATAGACAAAATAAAGTAAAATTAAGCTATATGGATATTTACTTCAATATGGAAATTAAAAAAATACTTCTAAAGTTTTTTTATACTTGTTATATAAGAAATGTGAAATTGTCAGTAAATTTTTAATTAGTATAACTTTTCACAATTTCTGAGTTTCTATGTTGCTAACATTGATGACGACATCGTTTGTCGCTAACTGTCAAAAATAATTCTATCAAATTACATACAGAACAATGTTTTAAAATGAAATATCTTAAATTAACAGGTGATAGCTGGAAATTCATAAGCGGGCATATCGTTCATGTCCAGACATATTTATCATTAAAGTTTAAAAATAGCACAACAAAACAACATAAGTATATAATAATTATATAAAAAATGTATTTTACATTGATTTTCCTACACTTATATTACGACATCAAGATGAAAAAGCTACTTGTATAAAGTTACAGCCATGTCTTCACACATCAACATTTCGATGCCACAGTTAACTTGACAATTCGTTAGCATCAATAGTATAAACTGGTTCAAATATTCATAAAGGTATATTAAATTCAATCCGTGATTTCCTATCATTCTGCATATAAGAGGTAGAGACGCGGTTTTGATTAGAATATTCAGTAAAACCTACTTACAGAGTTATGATAAAAAAAAGAATTTGGAATGTTCTAATGCGTGTCTAAATATGATTTTAATTTAAAAAAAAATTAAAAGAGTATCATTACAAATCGACACCGACACACGATTTGTATGACACAATTATTATAAATATAATTATAAAAATGTTATTCTATAAATAAAGTTTGGACGTTAAAAATGTATCAAATTATTGTTAATTCGATGGTTCTTTTTTGGAATAAAATGGCGTGTTTTGTATGGATTGTCTATATGGGTGTGAACACGTACACAGAATCGTCTAGCCAGTAGTATGCTTGAGCGAAGTCTCCTTCACAGAGGTAGGGTGTTCTCGACCATGAGGATAATTCGAAGCCGATCTCATCCTTCATGAACTTTATAAAAGACGCCGCTTGTTCTTCGAATGTCGCTCCCGTTATAGGAAGACGCTCCTCTGGCTTGTGATCTGATGTAACTAGAATTCAGATATGTTTTATTTATATATATTGCGTTATTGATCTCTATTTTAGGATAAGGTACTTGGTGTAGTTTGATGTTAAAGTTTCATATGTTCAATGGGATAATATGTTGATATTAATTGTATATATTTTTTTGCATTGGCTCATTTTGTTAAGAAACAAAAAGCCTTAAAACGCTAACAAAACATACTCCTGATAATCAACTATGATTTTTCTTATAGAAACGCCCTATCTATGTATCCAAAATTTTAGCAGCAGTGTACGATTATGATGGCTAAGTAAATTTCTTTAGCAAATACTTCCACTCTTCGTCATTCTCTAGATAATAGCGTAATATTAATATGTATTTACATATACCTTACATTAAATATTCCATAATAAAATATTAAGCTATAATCTTCTTACCTTCAACATATGGCTTGAAGGGTAACACGAGGGCCAGTAATAGAACACCTCCATCCCTGATAGCTGACCGCGCCTCACGCAGCATACTCCGAGGTCGAGCACAGCGGTCCAACAAGTTCAACATACACACACAGTCGAAACTTTGTCCCTGCCACCAATTCTCCGTGTCCAATAGTCTGGAATATAGGTTATAATATTTTCAATGATGTATAACAATTATCTTGAGTATTTCTTCTGAAATAAGAGCAAAATTTTAGTGATGCGTGATCTTGATTAAATTTTAAATGAATTTCTACTGAATTCTGTCGACATTTAGGCCTTAATCTGAAAGTCGCATTACAAAAGACAAACTGACAACAACTCGTTCTCGTTCGGAATACAAATGCAATATATGTAGAAGGCTACTTTTAGTATGATTCCAAAACTAGTCATGAAATACAATACATCTTTTTTATGGGTTTATATATAAGTAATGACCTCTTGAACCGTTTACTCACAAGAACCCCTTACTACTGAGCGACTTCCTCATGCTGGCGGATAGTTCCGTCGCATATCTCTCGTCGAAGATGTGAGCGAAGCGCCGACTGACCTCACCGTCTCCCGCGCCGACGTCTACAAGGGAGCTGAGCCCAGTCATGCGTGTACGAGTAGCGGTGTTCAGTAGCTTGAGCGCCTGCGCCTCAGACAACACGAACATTGAACCCCGACCCAGCCATCTGAGAACAGCTCATCTATTAGCGTGTTTTTGGAACAATAGATAAGCTATAAGTAACAATCAACCGGCAATTTATACCAGGGCAGTTCTTTGTAATATGCACCACCCGCTTATTACACAAGGAAGCAATAACATCGAGGCCCCCATTAATCGTATATAGAATAATTGTTTAAAATAACAAGTTGAATCGCGTATGCTTTTAATTTAGTTGGAAAACGTTTTGGTGGGTCGGGTTAAGCGGATGTGAACAACAATAGTGCAATTACCCTCCACCATCGGTTGTGGAGGTTCGAAGGCGATTCGCGTTAGGTTAGCAATTACTGAGGATAAAACACAAAGCAAGTTAAAGGCTGCGGCCAACGGCTCGGTGAAGTCGGAGATCGCAAATTGTGCGCTCGCGGCCAGCGCGACGTCTTCATCGCGCCCGGGGCGGCCGTGAAAGTGGATAATGAGCGGTAAATCACTCATTAGTTGGGAAGCAGAGTCGCAGCGATCGATATTAGTCGCGTTTCACAAAACGGATAAAGGCCGTAAGAGCTCAGCTATGTTATTAGATGTTGTTCCATATATCACAAGTTGAATAACTACCGCCCTCTGGCGGCCGACACTATTATTGACGCGAGCGGTGTACAATACAACATATACGTTCTAAAGTATGAAGCATTTCTATATGATTTTGAATGAATTGTTATTTGTGATACGTATCGTAAATTATTTTTTAGGAGATTGTCATATAAAAAAAGTATCAGGGTATTTCTTTCTTACAATTTACGTAATATTTTTTACTTCAGATACGATAAAATAACATTTGACGATAACAATAAGATTTTATTTAAACAACTGAAAATTTATGTACTTGTTAATGCTAAATGTAAGTTGTATAAATTTTTAATAGTTAATTGTTTGAATTTTTATGATTTTTTTCTATCACAGAATATTCTTAAAGTTATAGTGTACTGGTTTAAAGCTGAATGGAGGATGTAGTGGCAACAGGAGTGAAAATTGATTGCTTTATTGTCCTTTGGTTTGGTTCCCGACGTGCAATACATGATACATGAGGAGGTTTCCATGTAATGAGCACTCATCTTCACGCTGTAATTGACACTAACTATGACAATGGATTATATCGCTACGGTTAGCTGGGTTCACGTATTTCAAAAAGAAATTGTAAAATAGACAATAAAAAAATTGTGTATTATTATTTTCCATAATAGATCATCACGTTGAGTGTTATTTTGAAGATAAATCGAAAATTCTGATATAAAGTAACACCCTCTATATCTACTAGTAGGTTGTTAGGCGTGTATCGAGTATCTATTTCAATAGAATTCGGTGGCTTGCAACAAGGAATTCGATGCAGTTATCGAAGACGGAGGTGAGAGATGTGTGAGGTTGGAGGGAGGGAGGGGGGGGGGGTTCAGGCAAGGCTTGTATCGCGATTGCATCGGAGAGCAAACAAGCGGGCGGGGTGTCGCCGTTCAAATCATATTACCCCCGGGCCCGCAGCCCACCACCACACACGTCATTTGTGAGTGCGTTTCTATGGCGACGGCCCGGGCTGTGGGCCCAGAGCCGCGGGCCGGGCCGTGCATGATATTAGTACGTGAGACTCATCTCCGGCTATTCAGAGAACGGGAGCGGCTCGCGCGGGAAATTAAAAACTACACGGAAGGATGTCCAGCAGCCGTCCCGCTACCACCCGGTCATAACATACCTATATCATTAGAGATGACGTGCTCACAGTGTTCTTATATGTATATATTACACGTTATATGTTGTATGTATGATTAAAGAAATGGCTTGCAGCCAAGATGAAAATCTTTTGTCATATAATATGTGATTAAATCTTGGAGTGTCTTAAAAGATATCTCTTACGACATTAACGTCAAAATATAACACACTATCAACTAAAACATTACATCTTAGTTTGAAATTATTGTAAGATCAATAAAAATAACTAGAAGCAAACATACTTCATTATAAAATATATATATAATAAGTATTGTAGTGTACGTATGAGGCGATGTGAATAGAGATAGGAGGAACTCCTCCCCTACGTATGTAGATACCTACACATTTGCTTTCCTCAAAGACATTGTCGCTTTCAGGCACCTCATTAGAGAGCTTCCCATGTGCCTACATCCCCCCCCTCCCGGCCCCCTCCCGGCCGCCCCCCACACACCCCACCACTCACATACAAAGGAGAGCAATTCTTTTCCTGAGCTCGCAAACTTGGATGGATAATTACAGTTAGGTACCTACCCGCCAACCCATTCTTTGTTTATCGTTCGTATTAAATTCCACTCGAATAAATTTAATAGACTTTATTCAGTATATAAAAATTATACGTATGTACGATACGTTGATATACTCTCGGTAATACAATATGAATGTTTGCGTTATTGCTTAAGATAGTCAACTTAAACAATTTTAAAAGCATCAAGGGCAATAATATTCAAATTTATCGTATAACATCCGCGGAAACTTACGTGTCCCAGTGGCAGCGAGTGACGCAATAAAGAAAAAAAAAATATAGACACCAAAATGATATAAACAATGAGAGAAACGCTGAAACGTTTTAGTGTTGAGAGTATGAAACGTTGACACGCACGCTATAAAATATTAACGAGCGCAACCAGAAAAATGACGTCTATCAATGTACGGAGCGATTTTTGGTCGCGCCGAGCCGTTACAAATAATGCCCGGACAGAATTTATACGCGGACCCAATTGCCCCGATTGAATATTTTACCGCGTCACGAATGCCTTCGACGATATTTTTCTATTTCACCGCCCATTTCCACTATCAATTGCTTAGTTTCCCCTTTAATATTCCGAGGTGAAATATTGCAAACTAGTTGCAGCTTTCAGGCTATAAATTAAATTACTCGATTTATTTAAAAAAAATCTACAACATCTAGTACCGTTTGAATGTTGGAGTATTTAGATGAATAATTACGTGAATTACGACATTTGTAATACTACAATGTCAGGAAGTTGGTCACGATTTCTTAGACCTTAGGTTATAAATCGAGAAGAACAATAATTGTTGGTGATTTAGGTAATCAATTTAAGATAGTTAAATCACAGTTAAGCGGACCTTAAAATAGCTGGCAATAATTAAAAGTAAAATGATGTTTTATATTAGGAATATTTTGTATATTAGAATTTTCTTTAGATCGCTACTGGTAAGGAGTTTAATGGGAACAGAACAAACTAGCCAGCGTTCCTTGTAACAAGGGTATCATGAATTATAACAGTTAGTAGAGCGACCCGTGCTCGCCGGCTACGGCTTTGTGCACTGAAATAAAATAGGTCGCTTACATATTTTATTCACAATTATTATCATAGCTACATTATTTAACAATGACAATTATTTTTAAGTAGAAGGAATGTTTTTATTTTACAACCTTTACTGTTTTTTATATGTTATAATATAATAATTTTAAGATATTGAATGTTGAAACAACGATGTAAATTTTATAATGTGTTAAAATGATAATCGTTTATTGTTCCCTGTTACATTATGTTTCACAAATATGAAAGCAGATGTACGAAACGACTCGGAGCGTTTAGCGTTTGGAGAACACAATAACCTTTAAAGGCGTAAAGAAACATCCCAGTCAGAGTTTAAAATAACTTCTCGGAGGCGGATAGTTTATTGCTTATTGAGTAGCTCTGACGAAATGCGAAGGAGATGCGAAAACATTCCGCTGTTGGAATCTCAGTCAATATCACAATATACGTGGCGACATTGAAATTATCGCTCGGTGGGAGGCGCGGCCGGCAGCCTCCCGATGAGATTGAGCGGAGCAAAACGAAATGAGACTTGTATGAAACAATGAGCATTGTCGCGATGTCGTGGGGACACGCGTGCGCGGAGCGGGAGCGGGAGCGGGTGGCGGGCGAGCGAGAACGAGTTCCATTGGACGACCAGCGGTGGGCGGGGCGAGACAAACTGCGCACACGCAAATAGCGCACTCGCACACAAATTAAAATAATAAAATGAAAGTAATAAAACTAAGTAAGCAACCGAAGAGTTGCCGCTATCGACACTTAATGGCCGAGCGGAGGCGATGTACTTAATATTTATTGAGTGATGAGGTCTCACAGCGCCCTCATCGACGGCCGTTAGGAGAGACGATGACAAAAATAAAGGAAAACATAAAAGACTCAATATAATTAATATGTATAAATGAATATTCAATAACATTTCATTATAAACTAATATGACATTAAATTAAAATACACTCCAACTAGAACGGTTAACGAATAAAATCTTAAAACTTTGCTGAGCCAAATTTGTCTTAGCTTGTATCATAATGCTCTTTAGCTGTAAAGGGTTCCAGTGAGCAATATTAGCGAGCTCCAAGTAACGGATGTCGTCTCATTTACTAATGTGTCACACACAGAAGGCGCTGTGCTGGCTATCGAGTTCGACAACCGGAGAAATTGTTACAGACTGGAGAACATTTAATTAAAACATTACAGAGGACTTCAAACTCGATGTTAGTACAAGTTAAATTATCGTTAAATGTGACAATCGTATTAAAAGTTAAAACTTTATAAAGCCGTATTTCATTCGATGTTTTGTATTTTCATTCGTCGTTTGATTTGTTTACAAATTGTTATGTTTTTCCTCAAGGAGGAGAGTTGTTAGTTATCCCGCTCGGTGGAAACATTCGACGTCAAAGCGTGATTGTGAAAAGGATCGTGATTATTACAGTGCTCGTAGTTAGCGGAGGCTTCATTAGACGAGAGAGAGGGGGGGGGGAGAGACAGGGTGACGGGGGGGGGGGGGTGCTGAGACTCATCTCGTCGGGTGCATCGCGGCTGCGCGCGCAAACAAATTAAAAACGTAAGACGCGCCCTAATCAATAGCCGACTACGCCGCGAAGCCGAATTAACTCGCCCGAATGAAAAAATGAACAAAATTATATTCGCGCGAGAGCTCGATCCCCCGTCCCCCCCTCCGCACCCCCCCCCCCCGGCCGCGCCGCCCGAGGAAATTGCTTTTCTTTCAGTGTTCGCACACACACGACCGTGAGGCCGGCGGGACGTAGTCACGTGAGCGCGAGAGGGTTAGCACCGACACACACAATATTATAATTTACGTTTCGTCGTATATCGCGCTGTAAGTAGGTACTTTACCTGGGCGTTTCACGCCTGCTCAGCCCTCGGCTCGGCTCTCTCTAAATCTGAGCTTTATACGTTCACTTGACGCAACGAGAGCGATATTAGTTTCGAGCCAACTTCTCCTACTACGATATTTATTAATGTTTTAAAAGGTTACATATACACGTACCTTACTCTGTACAACAGATTCTTTTCATACATCACACATCTTGAGGACCTTTCGTTGTAAGCGTACATTGTTTGTTTCTGTTATATATCTACGCTGTAACATAATTTGCCAAGTGGCTGTAGGTATAAATTAAGTTAGTTATGTATGAGCTATATGTATCAGGGTGTGAGAGGAGTCTCATTAAGGCTTGGCGCTGTTCTAATCGTCGCTTTAGTCCGCCCAATTAACGCGTGGGCGAAGATCCGCCGCCCAGCGCCGGCCAATGGCGGCAGTGCGGGGATTAATTAAGTAACTTCCCGTCAGTTGCCTGCTGGTCGACCTGCTCCCTCCCCCTCTCACACCCGGGCGCCGCCACCCCGCACGTCCGCAGACTCCGCGGACACGCCCGGAAAACTAACCACCTAATGAGGGGAGATGACCTCACGTGTTTGTGTGCTTTGTCTGCCATGTGTACGTACAAACTGACCGGATACACTAGTGTTAGCCTTTTGTATACACGCTATGTATTGTGCATGCTCGTCCCCATTAGCTTGTATTTGATACGACCACTTAAATCACTGTCGATGCTAAGGCTCGAGACTATGCTGCTGAGATTTACCGAGTCTCGAAAGGTTTATGAACAGCGGGCTTTAGAATCTTCAGATATTTATAATGAAAACAATAATAATTGATGCTCTTGTATATACATACGTTGTACATTATTGTATTGTATCCTTATCAACGTATGATGCCATAGTTTTGTATGGCATAGTACTTATACTACTCAAGTGCATTTATACATATGTTTCAGAACATATAATACTCTGTCCTGTATAAAAGATCAAAGGTCAATTAAACAAGTGTCTGCTATATGACGGATGGGTGGGACGAGCTGTTTGCTTGTCTTCTATGATGGAGCGACTTATTTTCACCTACATTACAATGATTCCTATCGAAGTTAATTGGTTTTAAGCAAAACTAGGCTCTTTTATTTCATATGAATTACTGGTGTGTACGGAACTGATTCAGTACTTAATTATTGATCGAGTCAAACAAAATTTAGACAAATTTATCATTTTTATTATATTAGAAGGATAAAAGAAGTATGACTTATAAGTTATGTACTTTGAATCTTCACAAAATAACAAGTTGTACCAATTCAATTGTTTAATTCATGGGCTTATGTTATAGTACCTACGTAGCAGTTATTATAATTATTATGGTGTATGATAAATTGTTAAATCTCTTTATTGTCTTACTCGTCAAAGTTCCTTTTGTATCTCATGTTTATGATTGACGCAAGTATTAAATATGTAGTCGACTTCATAAATAAGTTAACAGCAATGAAAGTTTTATGGGCCATATTCTTTGCCATGCTTTGAATTTCATCAGAAGCTCTGATGCCAGATTTTATCGTAAGTTCCTTATTTCGGTGCGCTTCAAGATAAAAATAATATCTACTCAATATAATCTCCATATTTTGATGAACCAGTTATTAAAAACTTCGAATTTCATACACGGACTAATTTCATAGTATATTATACATAGTATAGTATCTTATAGTAGATGAGTCAGTCACTTATGGACTTCTCATTTTGATGAAATTTCGCCTACGTACAAAAAAAATACAACTATAGCAGCAGTAAAAACAAACGTTACCGTATAATCGTCAGGGGTGCCAAAATAACTAATAGTTTTCGCGGGGGCGTGTTAGCATTTTTCTTCTGTCGGTGACGGGCGGGCGGTGTTACTGGGACGGGGTCTGTGGTGGTGTTGGGAGGTTTGAGGGGGGATGAAGGGGGGGCTCAGGCCCGGGGGGAGGGGGAGGTCGAAGGCTGAGGCCGACTCCGGTGGCCCCGCGGATCATTTACACTTCATCGGCTCTCTTAATAACATGTTGGTATTGACTGCTCGTTGAGATCAATTTAAACTAACATTTCTAATACGCTAGGAGAACGATTTTGTTAACAGAAATTACTTTGCGATATTATGTATGTTATAAAATGTCGCGTTAACTTAACGGTTCAGTCGGAAGAGATAAGGAGAGATATCAACTTAACTGAGAATATAAACTTAATCACAATGGCTTGGTCGTACATGTTAGGGAGGAAAAAGTCTTATTTATATTTAATATTATATCAAGGCTTGTAGTGCATGACGTCCATACATATATTAAGTTAACAACGATAGAACTGTTTTCCATTTGCATATGAGAACACTGGATTAAAATAAAATTCTGTAACAAGAAATCCTCGAGAAATAATATAGAAAACTGTTTCTTATTCAATATTATTACTATGATAGCCGTCTACATAAAATGCTTAATTGTAATTATATAAGACACTAAGTTGAAAATCAGGGATGGACCAAAGGAAGCCACATTATTTCCTGCAAGTCGATCTACATAAAAGCTGGAGTGCCTCCTTTTCCTTCATTATATAGACTCTATATAAAGCACCCGCGGGTGTTATTAATCAACGCCCTCGTTCCCAGGACGCCCGGGAAAATCAACCCTTTCGTCTTAATTACCACGCCTCGGAACACTCCAAGTCTCCCATTCGCCAGTTTCCGTGACGCTCTAACGCGCCGCCGTTTAATTGGACGCTCGTAATTAACGCCATGTAATCACCAATCGCGGCAGGGGACACGTTATTTAAAATTTTAATTACTTAGCTGCGAGAATTTCCACGTCTCCCATTGGTCGCTTTTCCCTTTGTTTCATGGGAAAATTAATTTTGTACTTGCATATTATGTATTCATAACACCTCCTTATCTTACTACCTACTGATATTATTAACTAAGATTGTTATAAAATTTATTTCTAATTAATCCAACTTTACGCAAAATAAATTTGTAATGTTTGCGCTATCGATTGTCCAATGAAAGAAATATTTCATAAATTGTCCTAAATGGCTCAATAAAATTTTATATAAATAAATTTGATTATAATAGCGATTGCAATATTCGAATATAAATTATCTCATTACTTAACCTTCGTCTCCCCGAGTATTAAGACCTCCATCGACTTGGCCAATTTGAATACTTCCAACCGCAACGTTTCATTGGAACTGAATTACAAATTGACCATCGAGTATTGCTTTGGGAAAATGTTATATTTTATTTACATTGTGAAATAGGAAATTTTCAGAACATCATATCAGATAGAAATAACTGTAGTGGATTTGAAAAAATTTCATACGTTCGTATTCGATCAGAGTGCTGTACAGAATTTTGTATTTTAAATGAAACAGCCGTATGGCGTTTGAGTTCGACTTGTTATAGAAATTGTTATTTAAAAAAATTCATACCCAAAAAATAAATTGTATTGGATCTTTTCGATGCATATGTATCTTTTAGTTTTATGATATTAATTTATCAAGTATACGTAAAATAACATCAAAATCAAACTGGTCAGGAGACACATTATCGTCTTATTAGTAAGTTTTTTAGTTTTCTTCTTCACATAAATGTTACAAGTAATTATATTGCAAAATTTATTTTAATGTGATTTTTCTAATATAAATACCTATCTATATTTTTCATTTAAAACAGAAAATTCCATTTACTGTACTGATATTATTTGTATCTGTACGTTATAAAGACTGTAACGCATCGAAACTTGGTACAACTATCATAATAAAATTTTACTGTGTATTCATAGAGTACACATTTTTGTGCTCACATTTGTAGTTTCACTATGCATATTATTATCTAGGTCAGATTCCATAATAATAAAAAAATTGTGTTTTTTTGTTTAAATAATTAGTAAGTTTTTTAAGTTTCTGGCACTCATAAACCATGTAATATTTTGTATCTTATACAGATTTGAATCGACTGTAAAATTTTTTTGGCACTCGATATAATGACAAGAATAGACTTAATATCTTGGTTAAATCTTTTAGCCATTATATTTTAGTTTTGATCAATTATTCATTTAATCACCTGCTATTATAAGACAATCGTCAATATAAATTGCCTATTAGGGGAGAGTCGGATATATCGTACCACTTTTCACTTTAACTCAAATATTTCGACTATAACACGTCTTATAAAAATTAATACATATGTAAAATAAAGTTTCATATTTTAGATTCCTAAGAAGAAGAGAACAGATCCTTGCCATTATTCTAACATTGTTAAAAATGCTTTTTTATAGAGGCTTGCCATCGGTACGATTTAGCCGACTAGTCGTTTTAATCGTACCACTAAGTCTTTAAATCATACCATGGGCGTGTAAGTCGTACCACTGAATGAAAGACATTAAAATTCTCAATCAAATTATTTATTTTTAACTCTTAGGTAAGTAATAAAACAACATTATTTATATCTTTTAGGTAATAGAAACATAATTTTTAACTCTTAGGTTATATAAAGAAACTATAAGCTTTCTCAGTAAAATAACATGATTATACTATGATAATGAGATCAATAAACATAACTAATAAAAATGAGACAAAAAAAACCGGTAAATTATAATAATAAAGTAACAGTTAACAAGAATGTTATTTGTAATATAATTATTGTGCATATATCTTAATGGAAAAAATAATGACAAATGTCTGGATTCGAAGTACACGTCTCATGTAGCCACCGTTTACAGCGAATGCATTGAATCCAATCAACTTTTGGACCCTTCTTATCGTAGTAGGAACAATTGTACTTTCGACATATATTTTCAAGATAATCATCGCTGTCATCATAATCATCTAGTTCTACAACAAGTGTCTCTCCTGAATCATCGCTACTGGTGATGGAATGAGATCGTTTCCTCTTATAACTTTTGTTCCTGGCCTTGGGTAGTACTTACTATATGTACTTGTGGTAGTACTATAGGTACTTGCGGTTGGTAGTCGGGTAAATCGTACCAGTACAATTTAACCAACTGCAAGTGGTACGATTAAACCAACTAAGGCATTTCTAAAACAAAAGCAAATATCCGGCATAAGCTCAAAACTTAGACACGCAACAAAAACCCCCAATAATCTAGTATACAATTGTGTAATAATAAAAAAAATGAATAACTATAGCTTATCTTGATTACGAGTTATCTCCTTACGAATGTACGACAATATTTATATTTATTCCTACAAAAAATGTTTTTCTTTTATTACTTGCACAGTTGTTAACTCACGTCGATTTAAACTAGTGGGTGAAGAGGGATGGTACAGGGCCACGATTTGGCGTTGTCAGTGTAGAAAAAAATATTCATTAAATGGGAAATTTAGAAGTGGTACGATTTAAATGCTAGTACGATATAACCAACTCTCCCCTAATTAGGTAACTAACTAAAATTTTTTTTCTATTTTCTAGGATTGCCTTCGTGATGACATTATTAAAATTTATTCATTTGTACGTTATGAGTATGTGGTTGTCTTAAAAATATTCTAGTAAGTTCTGAAACAGTCTTTTAATAGTGAGATAGAAACTTCTCAGGTAATTAAACTAATAATATCACTGTTTTTTTCGAGTTGTCTCACTTTATTTAGTACGAATATTTTCTGTTTCGGTAAAAACGTCTATCCTTGATATGAAAAAGCCTGTATTTTTTTACAGAATTTTATCTTTAAAGCAATTAAAATCTTAAATATTTCTGTTAATTAATGTACTTCTTAAGTCATAAACGCCTTACAACTCAATAACACATATAACTTAAATGTAAGAAAAAACACACAATGTTCATTACAAAAATCTAATATAAAGTAAAACATTGAAGGAAAATTGTATAAAAATTATTGTAACAGTATTTCCTTATCACAATCGACACCGCTGAGAGGCTGCCATCATGAAATTTAGTATAATAAACAAAAAAAAAATAATAATAACTCCAATCGCATTTAGATCGCTAACTGGAAACGTGTCCGACGACTTTTTACCAAATTAAATAGGTCTGGTATATATATTATTAGTTTTTATGTAACTTTTTGCCCGGGGCACGGGTCAAGTTCCCTGAGACAATGGTCATCGTGGCGACATCGTCGTGAAACACGTTTAGTTCTGCGTGCCTTCGTTATGTTGGCGTTAATCGCTTCATTCACTGATGCCGAGTGCTTTTTCCCTGCGATCGGTCATGCATTCCGTTGATCTGTGGAGCAATCTGTCGCCGGCTATCGATGTGGCAAATTACTTATTACGCGTTCCATACAACGTTTGTAGTTTTTATTAGAGAATCATTAAAACTGTTTTAATACATTACAAATCATCCACAGGTTTTTTTCACGATGTTACTAAAGCGAGGAATCCGTTTGGAATGTCTTTGTTATTTAAAATATATATAAGAAATATATATAAATGTAAATGTATTTTAATGTTAGATATTATATGATACTAAGTACAAACATTACACGCATCATTGACATTAGCAAGCGATCGCATTTAAGGCGATTTATAATATTGCAATATTTATCATATAAAATTGAATTGAATTTTTTTTTAAATAACTTAATCTCTATAATTTAATTTTTTCGTAAATCTATATGAAACGGGTTCATATTTGATTTATTTCGTGATGTTTTAATATATGTTCATGACAGATCTTCACCGTTTAATTCAATAAAGGCAGGCTACCAAACATTATGTACCATTTTAATAAACATACAAGTTAATATAAATTTATAAACATAATTATCTTAAAAGAACTTTGTCGTACTTAAATTTCATAAAACATAAATCAATTTGGATGAAAATTGACATTTAATTCTGAGATACTTGCACAGCTATCGCCTGTCATGTATTTCTTTTAACAAAGCAATTGAAATCTCTAGTCTAAACTGATAGGTAAAATGAAATAAATAAGTTATAAGACGAGACATAATATTGAAGAATTTTACGCTGTTTAGTTACGGTTGCGATTGTAAATTGGAAATATTA